TTGGCTGGGGCGACAGGGCATGGCAAATTGAGTCTCTTGCCATTGTTGTTCAGAAAGAGAGCTCACTCAACCATCTTCTCTTGGCTGCCCTGCAGGAATCTGGTGACGATGAGTACAAAGGCGACCAGTCGGACAGTGACGACGAAGTCGATTCCGACTTTGATATTGACGAGGGAGATGAGCCCAGCAGCGATCAGGATGACAACGAGCCCAAGAGGAAGCGGAGGGTTGTCACCAAAGCCTACAAGGTATGTGTAACAGGAGATGGGCAGAGCCGGGCACACGGATGCCCTCCTGAAAAGCCAAATCCATTAATGGGAGAGAGCAGGGCTGGTGGGAATGCTGAGCGCCAACTGCAGCAGGGTCTGATCCGCTCTTGTGTCTCCACTGAGAGGCAAGCAAAGCGGAGCGGAGCATTTGCCTGGCTGCATTGAAACTGCCCCCACTGCTGCAATGGAGACTGCTGGGAGTGCGGAAGAAGAAAGTGGGGAGGGAAGCGTTTGTGTGCAAGAGGCAATACTCCTGTCCCCTGCGGATCGTGGGATTATCCATGGGGTGGGGGGGTGGAGTTGGCAGTCTTCCTGGGGTTTGAGGAGAGTGGGCAGCACCTGCGAGGAGCCCCTGTGGGAAGTCATTTTAAGAACTGCCATTTAGCTTTTTAAGGACCTGAATTTTCTTTTCCTCTTACCTCCCCCTTCCTTTTTTCCTTTTTCCTTTGAAATTTTATTGACTGTTTTCACGTAACAAATTATTCCAGCAATTATGTTTCCCCCCTTCCACCCCCGCATACCCCCCTCCCCTCTACAACTTCCCTCAGTTCCTCTTTCGGATTTATTAGCACATTTTGTTCTCTGCATATTATAAAAATGTAAAAATCTCTAAGTTATCCATCTATTATATTAACAAATAAATTTGTGTATGTTTATTCAAAACCTGCCAGGGAGTCCAATTCATTTTGTTGTTTCTTTAAATACTTTGTAAAAGGTTCCCATTCTTCTCTGAAGTCACAGTCGTCCTTGTTGTGCAGTTTGTGCATCAATTTTGCCGGTTCCGCATAGTTCATCAATTTTTCTTGCCACTGTTCTTTTGTCGGGGTTTCTTCATTCTTCCATCCTTGTACTATTAAAACTCTTGCCGCCGTTGTCACATACATAAATATGCTCTTCATTTTCCTTGGCAGGTCTTTCCTTTTGTGTCCTGCTTTCTTAGACCATGAATCTAGAAGGGACTGTCTTGTTTTTGATTGATTGTACATAAGTTGCTCTGGGATCTTTTGTTGGTTGAAGAGTTGGGGGTGGGGAATGCTCTAAATAAATGCATCTTAAACTTGGTTTGTTTTGTTTGAAGCCATTTTAGTAGAGGCCCATGACTCTAATTGTAGGATGCTCTCTAGTTATTTTAGGTCTCTGCAAAGTCAAGAAATTGTAAGCTCTGACCTTCCATGCTTTTTAAACACCTGGTGGCTTTTTGTTCTGCTGATGAATCACATCTATAAACCGCCCTTCCTAATTTCTGTCGTTTGAATCCTCCGTAGGAACCCATCAAGAGCCTGAGGCCCAAGAAGGCAGACGCGCCTGTAAGCAGCTCCCAGAAAGTGAGAGAGGAAAGGCTGGCCCCAGCCGAGCTCCAGGATGACCTTGGAGACAGTAAGTGCCCATTTTGAGTGTGCATTAATTAAAAAGTCTCAGATTCCTTTTAAACCAGAGATGAGGATGCTTTCTCAGCCTGAAGGCCATATCCTTTCATAGGTGACTTTCCAGGGGCTGCATGCCAGTGCTGGGCAGGGCCAGAAGAAGAGTGGTAGAGCGAAGAATGTGATGCTCAACCTTTGCACAGAAGGCCACATCACAGCTACACAAAAATCAGTGATTTCTATGCGCGCGCACACACACACACACAAAAGAATGTAAGAGCAGCCAGGCATCTGGATCAGGCCAATGGGAAGCCTACAAGCAGCATCTGAGCACAATAGCACTTGTCCCTCCTACAGTTTCAAGCAGCTAGTCTTCAGAAACACCTCTGACAGTGGAGGCACAGCAGAGCCCTCATGGCTAGTAGCCATTGCTGTCACCATGAATTTGTCCAATCCTTTTTTGAAGCCCTCTCAAGTTGGTGATCCCTGTTGCTTCCTGCCAGAGCGAGTTCTGTAGTTTAACTGTGCACTGCCTGAATAATAATAAATAATAAATTTTATTTATACCCCACCCTCCCCAGCCTAGACCGGGCTCAGGGCGGCTAACACCCGATATAAAAACAAATTGATTGAAATACAACTCAAAAACAAGATTAAAATACAACATTAAAACATTAAAATACAGCCTCATTTCAATGGAAACTCAAATCAAAAAGTTTTTTTGGGATGAAAACATCAAGTCTTCACCAAGGCTAACTATCCAGACTGGTCCTACATGGGGCAGAAAAAAGCCAGGGAAGTCCCCAAATAAGAGTTCCATCACAGGAGGAGAAAGGAAAAAAGAAAGGGGAGGGGAATCAAATTGATTCCAAGCCGAAGGCCAGGCGGAACAACTCTGTCTTACAGGCCCTGCGGAAAGAAATCAGATCCTTTTATTTGCCCTGAATCTTCCAGCTTCATTGGATCTCCACGAATTCTCGTGTTACGAGAGAGGCAGAAAAACTTTTCTCCATATCCACTTCCACACCTTTCCATTCAGGCAAGGCCTTATCGCTGTTCAAAGGCATGCTGTCATTCTTGACTATTTTAGTTATGAATCGCTTCCTAGGAGGCATCCCTAAGTGATTTATAGTTGCCTTCCTACCAGGCAGAAACACTCCAGAAGGGTATGAATCAGGGCCTGTGAGGTGTTAGACCTAGGGAGAAGTGGCGTGGCTTGGGGAGTGGAGGTGTGGCTTGTGGAGAGGCCCAAGGGCCAGTTAGAAAGGCCTGGAGGGCCGTGCTTGAAAGTCCCAATTTGAAATGCTCTGCTCTCCCTCTTCTTGTTTCAAACTCCTTCCTCCTAACCCTTGCCTGCTCAGGCCGCAAACACATGCGCCAGTCGACGACCGAACACACGCGGCAGACCTTCCTACGCCTGCAGGAGCGCCAGGTGCAGTCGAAACGCAAAAAGGGGACAGGCCCCAGCTATGACCGGCCCCTGACCCAGGAGGAACTGCTGGAAGAGGCCAAGATCACAGAGGAGCTCAACCTGCGCTCTTTGGGTGAGTCAGGTCCTGTGGTATAGCAAAGTTACTAAAGTAAAGGTAAAGGGACCCCTGAGCATTAGGTCCAGTTGTGGTCGACTCTGGGGTTGCGGTGCTCATCTCACTTTATTGGCCAAGGGAGCCGGCGTATGGCTTCCGGGTCATGTGGCCAGCATGACTAAGCCGCTTCTGGTGAACCAGAGCAGCGCACGAAAACACCGTTTACCTTCCCGCCGGAGCGGTACCTATTTATCTACTTGCACTTTGATGTGCTTTCGAACTGCTAGGCTGGCAGGAGCAGGGACCGAGCAACGGGAGCTCACCCCGTCGCGGGGATTCGAACTGCCGACCTTCTGATTGGCAAGCCCTAGGCTCTGTAGTTTAACCCACAGCGCCACCCGCGCCCCCCTAGCAAAGTTACTAAGGTAAAGGTAAAGGTACCCCTGCCCGTACGGGCCAGTCTTGCCAGACTCTAGGGTTGTGCGCTCATCTCACTCTAGAGGCCGGGAGCCAGCGCTGTCCACAGACACTTCCGGGTCACGTGGCCAGCGTGACAAGCTGCATCTGGCGAGCCAGCGCAGCACACGGAACGCCGTTTACCTTCCCGCCAGAGCGGTACCTATTTATCTACTTGCACTTAGGGGTGCTTTCGAACTGCTAGGTTGGCAGGCGCTGGGACCGAACAACGGGAGCGCACCCCGCCGCGGGGATTCGAACCGCCGACCATGCGATCGGCAAGTCCTAGGCACTGAGGTTTTACCCACAGCGCCACCCGCGTCCGGCAAAGTTATTAGTCCATAAGAATTATCCAGGAACGGATGCGCCTTATGTCAAAAGTTTGGGGTTGTCAGGAGTTTCGCTTCCTTTCCTCTGTGCAGAGACGTACGAGCGCTTGGAAGCAGACAAGAAGAGACAGGTGCAGAAGAAGAGGAAATGTGTGGGGCCCACCATCCGCTACTACTCGGGGACCATGCCCCTCGTGTCCGACCTCGGCTTCAAGGAAGAGAATGTGGACGTTGAGGGGTAAGGGTTTTCGGCTTGCCCCCGGGATGGAGCAAGCTGGATGTGTGAAGCAGTAGGCCCAAGTTCCTAGTCCTTAAGGATTTTGTCAGGCATGGCTTGCCTTTCCAGGCATATTTTGAATCTGGGAGCGTTGTCGGCCTAAAAAAGAAAATGAGAGAGCCCACTTTTGTCTCCTAGTGCACAGAAACTGCCTGGTCGCCTGGTGGGGATTCCACTCACCAAAAGTGACTAGGCGAATGGTTATTCACAGCCTTGGGTTCAATTCTATATCCAGGCCAATTGTACATCCAGTCCTTTAGAGACCTGCATTTCTGCAAGTCGCAAACTAAGAACACACTCTAAATTTTATAGCGGGTATGCATTGCTTAAACTAGCGTATGGACAGAGAGGCTCGATTATTACTATTTTCAGTCGGGCCTCTCTACCCATTATCTACCTTCACCACTGAAGCCTGGAATACTACTGTGCCTCTGAGCATGTGCAAATTTTCTTTTCCTTCTCGCTGGGCAACCACAACTGGTAGAATGGGAGATCATATACCTTCCCTTCAAGCATTTAAGGGAAGGGCTCTAGCTCAGAATTGGAGCGTCTGCTTTGCATTCAGAAGGTCCCAGGTCCAATCTCTGGCATCACCAGGTAGGGATGGAAAAGACTCTTCTCTGAGACCTCCAAGAGCTTCTACCAGTTAGTGTAAACAACATGGTTCTAGGTGGACCAAGGGTCTGGCTGGGTATGAAAGAGCTTCCTAGGTTCCTATTTAAAACCAGCCCTTCATTCGGAGCAATGAGGACTAGAATCTTACTACACTTTAAGTGGAAGGGCTATAGCTCAGTGGTAGAGCATCTGCTTTCCATGCAAAAGGTCCCAGGTCCGGTCCATGGCATCTCCAGTGCCCCTTGTCTGGACTGCTGCTGCCAGCCAGTGTAGCCAGTACAGTGGTACCTCAGGTTAAGTACTTAATTCGTTCCGGTGGTCCGTTCTTAACCTGAAACTGTTCTTAACCTGAAGCACCACTTTAGCTAATGGGGCCTCCTGCTGCCGCCGTGCCGCCAGAGCACGATTTCTGTTCTCATCCTGAAGCAAAGTTCTTAACCCGAGGTAATATTTCTGGGTTAGCGGAGTCTGTAACCTGAAGCGTCTGTAACCAGAGGTACCACTGTACTAAGATAAATGGACTACTAGCCTGCCTCACTAGGACTTAGTTGAATACCATGTCCATTCACTTCAGTGGGGCTACTCTGAGCAGGACTAACAGGTGCCACATAATACCCATCCTGCATTTGCAAGAACTTGATCTTTTAGTGCGGCAGCACCTACACTTCGGAACTCCCTGCCTATTGACGTCAGGCAGGTGCCTTCACTCTGCTATTTTCGGCACCTGCTAAAAACGTTTTTCTTCAGGCAAGCCTAATCAGGCCTTTAGAAAGTTGGTGCCAGTTTGAATTGGTTTTTATCTTAACTTTTCGTACATCTTAAATGTTTGTAGATAATTTTTTGTGTGAAGCTGTTTGAGGCTCTCCCCCCCAAAAAAATATTCAGGTGGTGTATAAATTTTGTGAAATTACAAATAACACTGGACCCCCTTTCCCACCTGCTTCAGTTTGGACCAGGACATGCAGCCCCCACCCCTGGAGGCCCCGCCAGCACCTTCCACCTCGGCCGCCAAATGTTCGCGGACCTTCATCACTTTCAGCGACGACGAGACTTTCGAGCGCGTCTTCCCAAAGTCTCGGGCCCCCAAGCTGCCTGTGAAGGAGGTCTGCCCCGTCACCCACAAGGCTGCAATCTACCGCGACCCCATCACCGACATCCCGTACTCCAACATACGGGCCTTCAAGATCATCCGCGAGGCCTACAAGAAGTACATCACAGCCCATGGCCTGCCCAACGCTGCCGCGGCCGCCCTCGGGGCAGGGCCTCCCATGGCCGACTCCAATGTCCGAGCCACCAGACAGAAGATCATCATCAAGCAAAGTGTTCCGAATACGTAGGGCATGGGACCTTCCTTGCTGACTCCACGTCCTGTTTCCACAAAACGGCTGTTCATAGCAAACATGAGAAAATAAATAGGCATGGCAGTAAGAATTGGCCTTCAAGGGAGAAACAGAGCCTGGTTATAAGGTCATTGTAAGAGTTTCTCAAATGTTCCAGTTTTGTTCTGCTCCCTTCTGTTCAAAAACCGTTAGAACAAAGATAATCTCTGGTCATAATTCCTTTTCCAGTAATGTGGTCATTTTCAGGACGTCTGTCGGCAACAGACCATCTTGTTTCCGGTGTTTGGCAAGCCAGATATTCCCCGAGATTCACAAATCAGCTGCTAACCACCTCCAATTTCATTTGCACCACAACGGCCTCGTGTTGAAATGCCTGATTTGATTGCCTCTGTGTTTGTGATCCGTTCTTATCATACTACCACCAGTAATGTTTATATACAGCTTAAGATGCAAAGTCCCTGAGTAGCTTACACAGGACGTTAATTCAGAGAGAAAAAATGCATATACAGCATTTAAAACCAAAAATACAAAGAAAATACAAAGAAATGCATCAGTAAAAAATGGAGAAGCCATCAATGAAACATTCCTTTAAATATCAATAACTAATATAAACATATATAAATGCCTGCTTTAAAAGATGGGTCTTTGGGAGGTGTTGAAAGCTTGCCATTGTCTCTGCCTCAGGAACAGCGCACAGAAGGGAGCCTGACCATTGGCCAGGTTGACTGGGGCAGAGGAGAGTCCAAACAACAGCTGAAGCATCACAGGTTTCCCATCCCAGGTTTAAAAGATAAACCCGGCAATGGGATTTGGGCAAGGCTCTCAGACCAGGCAACCAAGGCATTTTAATCAAAATGTCTCCTTTAAAAAAACCAACCACCATCGCCCCAAATTTTTGGCACAAAGGTCGATGCCAAACTTCTACTGACTGCTCACAGTTCGAAAAGCGCCCACTATTACTAGCTGATTTGTTTTGGCTGCCTGTCCAAACGGTGGGCGTTACGCATCCAGCAAGCTATGGAACAGATCTGCGTCCCAGTGGGGCCGCCGTTGAAAGAGTGTGTTGCCACAGGGGTCAAGTCCCTGTTCAGCTTCGCTGGGGAGTTCCCACTGGGAAACTCATAGGCGCAGCCGATTGCAGTGGGGCTTGCTATCAGAGAGCCCTTTCAGAGGAGCAGCCTGTATTTCGTTTGTAGCCGTATCCTTCTCTGTTGTCACGTATGAACTCGGGCGCCTTGTGGGTCAAAAGTTGGACACCAGACCAAATGAGGCCCACGCCTGCTGCAGGAGAGGGGAAGGTTTTGTGGAGGTCTTTCCATGAGGGCCAGATGGTTGTCTTTCTTTGCAAATTGGGGAGGGAAAGCTATTTTTGTTGGGTCGAAGAAAAATGCTTCAAGTCTGACTGGATGGTCAAACGAGGCTGAGCGTCTGAGCAGGACACAGGCGTGTGGGAACATGAGTCTGCAGCCGGCGAACAAGAGCTGTTAGCGGGACAAAGTCGTGGATTTTTTTATTAACTGAAAAAATACTATCATTTTTTTTTTTAACAGTTTCAACAGCCTGTAGAACATTTCTCTGAAAATAAATGGCTTTAATGTGACGTCTTCATCCTTGTCTGTTGCCTTCCTCGATTTTAAGGCTGATGTTGCCGAACTGCAACTCCCTGACCAGTTTGAACCCAGGTCTTGCTGGTCCTCGGCTTGGTCCTATGACTCATGCCACTGCGTCACACTAAAGCCTGGGATATTTCAGTCGGTAGAGCATGAGACTCTTAATCTCAGGGTTGTGGGTTGAAGCTCCATGTTGGACCAAAAAGATTCCTGCATTGCAGGGGGTTGGACTAGATGACCCTTGTGGTCCCTTCCAACTCTGATTCTATGAACTTCTGGAGGGGTACAGGTGTCCACCCACCCACAATCCCTAGTGGCTGCCTTCATCTGCTCTGCTTTGATTGTCCACCAGGGGGCGACACCACACCGGGTACCACCACGATTCCTATCGTAGGCCAAAACCCAGCCTTTCATGCCTATCGGAGTGACCATTACCAGCCATGGGGATTCCCTTCTCTCCCCGATACTCACAGAGGAGCTTCTAGAGCTATAAAAGCTGTGGGTTAATTCGAGCCAGCGAAGGAGCCTTCAGGATGTGCAAGGAGCGTTCGTTCCTCTGAACGTGAGCAGAGTGCTTTTTTTCTTAGTCGCAGAGCAGCTGTGCCTCGGTGGTCGAGCATTTGCTTGGCAAGCAGAAGATCCCAGGTCTGAGCCATAGCACATCTGGGTAGGGCTGGGGAAGGCTCCTGGTGCGAAACCCTGGAGAGCTGCTGCCACTCAGTTTTGAGCTTGATGGACCCAAGCGTCTGGCTGGGTATGAAGAAGCTTCCCAGGTTTCTTATTTAAAAACAGCCCTTTGTTCAGAACCATGTGGACAATGATTTTCCTTTGCTTTTCGGGGAAGGGGTTTGGCTCAGTGGAGAGAACATTTGCTCTGCATGCAGAAGTTCTCAGGTTCAGCCCATGACATCTCCAAGGAGCGCTGGGGATATTCTTCACCAGAAGCCGTTGTGTAGAAGGTTGCGGTTCCTTTTGCATCCTCCCTTTCTGGGTCAGACAGCAGAGAATTTGGGTCTCTTGCAGAGGGAAGACGAGTTTCCCCCAACCAGTTCACTATCTCAGCAGGCTAAGCTTTTGTTTCTGTTTGCACACAACCAACTGTCTAAAAAGAAAAAAAGAGAGAAGGGGTGAGGGAGGCAACTCTGAGGATCCTGGAAAGTGGAGGGCTGAATCTGTGAGGTAGCATGATAACTATTTTACTCATTTCTGCACCACAAATTTCTCGTATTTTTTCTTAAATATCTGTAAACCTCTGTCATAAAACATAGCAATGTATCAAAGCGGTCTGCAGCAATAAAACCATATAATAAAAACCATTAAAAAAGTTAAAAACAAACAACAATTAACAATTGTGCAAGGACGTCTTCTTAATTGCTTGCATAGAGAGGGTAGGTTATAAAGGTTTCTAGCAGGTGTTTAAAAATGGGAAGGCGCCTGCTGAATCTCCAGTGGCAGAGAGTTCCACAGGACTGGGCCCAATGGCACTAAAGTGTTTCTTGTCAACAGCCTCATTTCACCAATGCCGCTCCTGCAGATGATCTCAGTGACCGAGCTGAGTTCAGGCGGTCCCTGAGACCTAAGCACAGGGGTCAGCGAACCTTTTCAGCAGGGGGCCGGTCCACTGTCCCTCAGACCTTGTGGGGGCCGGACTGTATTTTTTTGGGGGGGGGAATGAATGAATTCCTATGCCCTACAAATAACTCAGAGATGCATTTTAAGTAAAAGGACACATTCTACTCATGTAAAAACACACTGATTCCCGGACCGTCCACAGGCTGGATTCAGAAGGTGCTTTGGCTGGATCCAGCCCCTGGGCCTTAGTTTGCCTATCCATGCCTAAGGAGTTCAGGGCTTCAAAAATTACTGGTAATATGAGGACCTTGAACGCAGCTGGGTAGTAGATGGCAGCTGGTGCAGATGTTTTAACAGCAGCGCCATATGCTGTCATTCAGATTTCCCCATCATGAGTCTGGCCTCCACGTTCTGACCCAGCTGGAGCTCCTGAACCAGCTCCAAGGGCAGCCCCACACAGAGCGCACTGCAGTAGTCCAGCTGCAGTGGAGGCCTGGCTAGGCTTGAAATGAAACAAACCAGAAGCACCAGCAGCATCTTCCCGGTTGAACCGGTCCTTCGGCTTGGCACTTCTCAGCTGTGGCCGCTGGAGGTCTTGACTCGGCCGCTCAGCAGGTCTGCGGAGTGATTGATAACGGAGTCTGTATATGTGATCTCTCGCTCTTGCGCTCCTCACCCCGCCCGCCTGCCCGGCTGGAAAGCTAAAATAATAAAATGCTGATCTCACACAGTTCCTGGGCTTGCCGCTCTCTCGCTCTCTCCCCGTTTGCCCTGCCTGCTAGGTTCACACCGCTCGGGGTGGGGGAGACAAAAGGCAGAGGCCGACACAGCCTGCCTGGGAGGTAAGTCTGGGTCCCTTTCCCCCCCCTTTCCCCCCTCCTCGGCTTCGTGGGAATTTAAGAGGCGGCAAGCGGGTGGCGAGAAAATTGTACCCCAGGCAAAGGCAGGGGAAGTCGCCGGCTATGTTTGGGCTGAGTCCTTGTGGGGTGGAGAGTGTTGCTGAAGGATAACTGAACAGCTCTTCTATACACCCGGACACACACAGGCCCGGTCGGCACACGCAACAGATAAGGCGGTAGAATCCAGGCATGAGATCAGCGAGGACTGTACCGTTTTGCCGTGTGCACAGGCAACACCCCCTGCAAATGTCTGTGTGTGTCCTGTAAAATCAGACAAAATGAATTTCTGTGCAAGTAGCTCACTAGGTGACCAGTTAGAAAGGGTCAGAGCCTGGGGTGGGGTGTCCCCCCCCCCCCACCGCTGGGCTTGCCCTCAAACCTGAAGAGACTGTACCACAAAAAAGCTGCAAGCTGGGAGTTGGCGGAACGTCGCTGAAATCCCTCAGAAAGGATTTTGGTTCACTTTCAAGGGGATCCAGGCAGGGTCTTTTCAACTCTCCACCTGCAGCCTGAAGTGGCGCAGCCTGCTCTGCAAGGACTCTACCACTTCCTCCTGCTGCAAAAGTGTAGAGTAGGCCCCACCCCATGTCTGGTGGGAGGGGTGTGTGTGGGCATCACAAAACGCAGTTGTCTCTTGCTAACTGAAGATTTGGAAGAGAGGAGGAGGGCTTGCGAGGAAATAGATCTATGGGGTGAAGGTGGAGGAGAGCTTAAGTCATGTTTTAAGCCTTGATGGCGAGGTTAGAAACAGGTGGATCCTCTAATCCAGACGAAGGAAGTCTAGGTGGTTCAAAGGAGATCCCCAAGCAATTGAATTCAGACTCAAAAGTGGCATCAAATCTTCAAAACAGATTTGAGCCATCCTGGAACCCTCCCCAAGGCAAGCTGCATTTAAATAATTTTGGGAACTCTAGTTTGCAGGCGCTGAGACTTGCAGCTCGGCTAAAGGGCGAACTACAGTTCCCGGGATTCTTCGGGGGGGGGGTTATGCTTTAACTGTACACAGCCACTGTCTCTCAAATGGTGTGAAACTGGACAGCTACTACCCTTTTTATGACTCCGTCGATGGAGGCAGCGCTAGGCAGAGTGACATAGCAAAAAAAAAAAAAAAAAAAGCAAAAGATAATTGTTATGGATAGTGGCCTCACCCTGAGCATCTCACAGCCTTAAAGGTTCTGGAAGCCAAGAAGGGAGAGAGAGAGATCTGGGCAAAGGAGGGAGGGCTTTTGGAAAGCTCAGTTGTCCGCCTGGGAAATGAGGCCGAGGGCCAAGTTGTGGCTGCGGAGTAGGTGGGGATCACGCAGGGAAAGGATGCAGCCCAGGCATGGAGCACTTGCCTTGAAAGCAGAAGGTCCATGGTTCAATTTCCGACACCTTCAGTTAGCGCTGCCTAAAACTCTGGGGAGCTGCTGCCAGTCAGAGCAAACAACACCACGCTAGACAGACCCTAGTGACCAGACTCAGTATAAGGCAGCTTGCTTGGTTTCATTTCAAATTGGCCCTTTATTGAGAACTATGACGACTAGAGGGATGCGGGTGGCGCTGTGGGTTAAACCACAGAGCCTAGGACTTGCCGATCAGAAGGTCGGCGGTTCGAATCCCCGCGACGGGGTGAGCTCCCGTTGCCCGGTCCCTGCTCCTGCCAACCTAGCAGTTCGAAAGCACGTCAAGTGCAAGTAGATAAATAGGTACTGCTCTGGCAGGAAGGTAAACGGCATTTCCGTGCGCTGCTCTGGTTCGCCAGAAATGGCTTAGTCATGCTGGCCACATGACCCGGAAGCTGTACGCCGGCTTCCTCGGCCAATAAAGCGAGATGAGCGCCGCAACCCCAGAGTCGGCCATGACTGGATCTAATGGTCAGGGGTCCCTTTACCTTTACCTATGACAACTAGAATCTTAATGGAAGGGTTGTATCTGAGGGGCAGAACACCTGCTTTGCCTGCAGAAGGTTCCAGGTTCAATCCCCAATAACATCTTCAGGTAGGAGGCCAGTGGTGGTGTAGTGGTTAAAGTGGTAGACTAGGACCTGGGAGAGACCAGGGTTCAAATGCTGCCACTCAGCTATGGAGCTCACTGGGTGACCTTGGGCCAGTCACTGCCTCTCAGCCTAACCCACCTCACAGGGTGGTTGTGAGGATCAAATGAGGAAGAGGAGGAGAATTGTGTACGCCGCCTTGAGCTCCTTGGAGGAAAAGTTGGGATAGAAGTGCAATAAATAACTTAGTAAAAATAAATAGATAGGACAGGGAATGCCCTCCCTCTGAAAGCCTGGAGAGTCGCTGCCAGTCAGTGTAGACAACATCGCGTTAGATAGAGCCAAGCGTCTGAACTGCGATAAGGCAGGGGTTGACTGGGGGGAATGGAAGGAGGGGTGGAGGTGGAAACTGCACAATGTTTCAGGGAGGGGATTGCCGACATAAAGCCAGAGTATTCCTAGATACTTAAAAGATCTCTAGAGCAGGAGACCCATCACTCCTATCCAAAGCTGCATAAAATTTGCACACACTAACGACACACATAGATTAAAATTTAGACTTCAGAGGTTACAGACTTTGCAAGCCCATTCACTTCCCATCCAAATTGCCCCACTGATTAATTTTTCGTTTAATGCACACCCCACCCCAGATTCATCTGCCGTCTCCCAACACTTCTGTTCCCAGCTGATTCAACTGCCATTCAGTTGCCCTCCTCCCCAATCCCCCAATCTCTCAAATCATCTCTAGGTAAAGTTATACAGCTTAGGCCCAGGCTATATGAAGGACTGTATCCTCACATACAAACCTGCCTGGGGGTTTAAAATCTTCAGGAGAGGCCTTTCTCTCAGTTCCAGCACCCTCACAGGCACGCTTGGTGGGGACACAAGAGAGGGCCTTCTCGGTGGTGGCTCCTCCCAGACAACTTTGGAACTCTTTCCCTGGATAAACCAGACTGGCTCCCTCCTTGTTGTCCTTCTGCTGGCAGGTAGACTTGGGGGAGTGACTGTGGTTTTTTTTTGTGTTTTCATTTAAGGAAAGGGCTGCACTGTTTTTACTGCCTACATTTAAACAGTTTTGTTTTTACTTTGTTTTTAATTCTATTAGAGCTTAACAACCTTTTAACTATTTTTTTAAATACGTTTTTAGCCTTCTGCATTTTATCTGTGCTCTTTTAACTTGTGCAAGCCACCTTGAGCCCCGGCTTGGGAAAAAGAGGTGGGGGGGATATAAATAAATAAATATAATAACAATTCATAATCTTAAATTAACCTGTTTCCCCCCTCCAGTTAATATCCTACCCAGTGACCCAGATCCCCAGATCCCCGAGTTCATTACCAGTTCAGAAACACTCAGGGCAATTTTCAAACAAAGAAGATTTGGGGCCAAAGGGCAGAGTCTTGGGGATTTGGAAAGGGATCTCTGCAAGCATAAGGGGCTGTAGCTCAGGAAAGTCCTTCAAACTTTGCAAAGGACACCTGCACACTCAGTGTCCGCATTAGGACCACATTAGAGGCAATGCACAGAATAATGGAACCGTAGAATTGTAAGGGGCCCCAAGGGCGAAAGGGGGGCCCATCCACTCCAGTGTCTGTGGCCAAACACCCAATGAACTTATGGATCTAGATAGACTGCCTCTGGACCTGGAGGTTCTATAAGGACATCAAAATAGCCTGGCTGCTGGACCAGGCCAATGGGGGCCTGTCTAGTCCAGCATCCTGTTTCCACAGTGGCCAATCAAATGCCCCGAATAGTAAGCCCACAAGCAGCACCCGAGCACAGCAGCAGCAAGTCTCCCCGCTTGTGAATCCCAGCGCCTAGCGCACTGGGAGAGATTCTAGCGCCACGCTGAATGCAGAGATGGTGCGGCAGGTTTCCCGGAGGGCTCCGGGTTGCTGTGTCCTTGCTTCCTACTCGGAAGTCCAGCTAAGCCCCCTCCTCCCTGTTAATTAACCCTCGCACAGTGCTAGACCACCTGGCAGGGCAGATCTCCAGACCCAAGACGGGAGCCAGAGGGTGTCAAAAGAGAACCGGCTTCTGTATGTTTGTGTTTGTTATGGACGTAAAATCTTCCTTCCTTGGCTACGTTTTAGATTAGAGGTGGAGGGGAGGAGGAGGAAAAGAAAAAACCCTAAAGAAGAGTCCAGATTGAGATCTAGTAAATCATGAGCAGTGTGGAGACAGGGGAAACCGAGAGTCTGTCTGCTCAGTGAATCATAGAACTGTAGAGTTGGAAGGGGTTCCCAAAGGTCATCCAGTCCAACCCCCTGAAATGCAGGAACCACAACTAAAGAATTCCTGTCAAATGGCCATTCCAACATCCGCTTGAAAACCTCCAAGGAAGGAGAGACCACCAACTTCCAGCATTGCATAATACTAGAATATGGGGTGGCTAGGTGAAACTGATGTGCGGAACTCACCGCCACAAGATGTGGATTGGTGCTGACTGAAACTGGCTTTAAAAACGGGATGAGACAAATTCAGAGGCCTATCGAGGGTTGTAAGTCCCGATGGCTGGAATGGGTCTTTCAGGGGCAGTCCGCCTAAGAGAGCACCAGATTCTGGAGAGCAGACAAAGGAAAAGGCTCTTTCCTACCTGCTTTGTGCTGGTGGGCTGAGGGAAGAGGCTGGATTAGATGAAGCAGCTTGGCCCGTCTCACATTCTTATGTCTAAACCTGGCGTGTGGCACTGGGATGTTGGCTCAGGTGAATCTGGGAAAGACGGAGCTTCCCAGCGGCATTTGTTTGCCCCTGTCAGAGACAAAGCAGTCTTGATGGACATGCTCTCTGTGGCGCTGTCAGAGTAAGACTTTAGGGCAGACGTCTAGAGTACCACTCGGTGGGAGGAGGTAAAAATTGTCTAAGGTAAAGGTACCCCTGCCCGTACGGGCCAGTCGTGTCCGACTCTGGGGTTGCGCGCCCATCTCGCTTAAGAGGCCGGGGGCCAGCGCTGTCCGGAGACACTTCCGGGTCACGTGGCCAGCGTGACGAAGCTGCTCTGGCGAGCCAGCACCAGCGCAGCACATGGAAACGCCGTTTACCTTCCCGCTATAAAGCGGTACCTATTTATCTACTTGCACTTAGGGGTGCTTTCGAACTGCTAGGTGGGCAGGAGCTGGGACCGAAAGACGGGAGCTCACCCCGCTGCGGGGATTCGAACCGCCGACCATACGATCGGCAAGTCCTAGGCGCTGAGGTTTTACCCATAGCGCCACCCGCGTCCCTAAAAATTGTCTAGTGTGGATTTAAAAGAGAAAGAAAAAAAGGTAGCCTCCTTCATCTTTCTTCTGTCAATCAAAGGGAATATGACATGGCCAACGTTTATTTATTTATTTTTGGCAATGCAAAGTAGGAGCTTAATCTCCTCCCAAATGGTGGCAGGAAAGATGCAGATATTGAACCAAAACACTTGATTGGCCAAGATAAGAATGTGGGAGTCATCTAAAGGTGGGCTGTCGCCACCAACAACATATTTCAGCGTGGAAAGATGTGCCCCTGTGGACGTTCATTTATGCCAGGCATCCCCAAACTCGGCCCTCCAGATGTTTTGGGACTACAATTCCCATCATCCCTGACCCACTGGTCCTGTTAGCTAGGGATGATGGGAGTTGTAGTCCCAAAGCATCTGGAGGGCCGTGTTTGGGGATGCCTGATTTACGCTCACTAAACTTGCCGCTGTTGTTTCTCTGCTATGGTTTCTCTGTCTGCCAGAGGCTGTCAGGGCATTCTTTTTACTCTGACAGGTGGGACGCTTCACCAGCTGAATGTCCACCTGCATGGCAACCGTTACAGCCGGTGTGGGGAAGATTTGGCCCTCCCCTCCAGGTGTTTCTCTGAATGGCAACTCCTATCAGCCCCAGCGCTCCTAAGGGCCAGGGAGGAGGAGGGTAGTTATCATCCAGGAACATTCCTGCTTTGTGGTGGTTGGACTAGATCAGCCTTTCTCAACCTGTAGGTCCCCAGATGTTGTTGAACTACAACTCCCATCACCCCTAGCTAGCAAGGCCAGAGCTCAGGGATGATGGGAGTTGTAGTCCAACAACATCTGGAGACCCACAGGTTGAGAACCGCTGGACTAGATGATCCTTGGGTATCTCTTCCACCTCTACCATTCCATGATTCTATGAACATCTGGAGGGCCAAAGGCTCCCCACACCTGTGTTTCCAGAAACAGGATGCCGACCCCCACCTCCCCGCTTTTCTTTGCCTATCACATCGCTTGCTGGAAACACAACCAACTTGCGCGACAGGCAGAAATTCCGCTGGTTAAGCAATCCCACAGTGGTTGAATTACTATCCGCCGCAGGTTATTAAAGTGCACAGGAAGTGGAGAATGGAAGTTTGACCATATTTTAAGGCATCTTGGGGGAAACAAACAAACCTATTTAGTTTAGATCTTTCCAGAAGAGGGCCGGCTGAGTTTGTCACCCCTTATATCTGCTCAGACAGACCTCCTCCTCTTTTGCACGGAGGTTGAATTCTGAGAGCACACAAGAACTCTTTGATTCCAGGACTCCTGTTTCAGAAAGCTTCTTATCTTTTGGGGGAAAGTGAGGAGGAGAGGAAGGGAGAGAAGAGACCGATCAAAGAAGTAGGTTGGAAAACAGGAAGGCATTACAGTGGTACCTCGGGTTACATCCGCTTCAGGTTACATCCGCTTCAGGTTACAGACTCCGCTAACCCAGAAATAGTACCTCGGGTTAAGAACTTTGCTTCAGGTTGAGAACAGAAATTGTGCTCCGGTGGCGCAGCAGCAGTAGGAGGCCCCATTAGCTAAAGTGGTGCTTCAGGTTAAGAACAGTTTCAGGTTAAGTACAGACCTCCAGAACGAATTAAGTATTTAACCCGAGGTACCACTGTATCTGAAAGGTACTAGAAAAAGCAGGGAGTCCATCTGGTATAAGGGAGGGCCTCAGCTCAGTGGTCAGAACACCTGCTTTGCATGCAGAAGGTCTGAGGTTCAAGCCCTGCCATCTACAGGTAGGGCTGGGAGAGAAAGCTGCCTGGCATCCTAGAGAGCAGCTGCCAGTCAGTGTTGACAATACCAAGCTGGATGGACTGGGGGTCCGGCTCAGGATAAAGCAGCTTCCTAGGTTCTTAAAAAGATGAAACAGAATTATAGTGTTTAAATTACTGCAGTGCGTGAATTCTGGCCACAGCTGTCCTTGGGTGGGCTCGAACCACCAACCTTCTGGTTATCAGCCAGACGCATTGACCCATTGCGCCCCTGGGTCCTTGAAGTAGATTAACTAGGTTAAAAAGAGAATCACAGAATTAAAAACACACACACACCCCAGCTCAAAAAAAAAAAAAAAAAGACATTTAAAGGGTACCATGTGTATCAGACTTCAAAGTGTTTCCTTTGCATTCATTTAGTCCTGTACAACAGCCCTGTGTGGTGGGTTGGGTCCATTTTGTGATAGAGAAGGTGAGACCGGAAATGAAGGAGGGAGGGGAAGAGAGCAAGAGCCAGATTGAGAGCATTTTCCTGGAGCACTCCCCACCTGCCTTGTAAGAGAGTGATAAGCAGACAGACTAATTATTGAGGGACTGCTCAATCTGATTTCTCCATCATTAGGTTTCAGAGCCTTCCTGCATCTGTCATTTAATCTGATACAGCAGGTTTCTAGCCTGGGGTTCCTCAGGAATTATAGGAAACCAATTCTGAGACCTGTGTTTAAAAATCGGCGTAGTTTTGAAAGGTTCATTTGACCATCTTGATTCAAAATGGCGCCCAGCGGTACCCAAATGTAGACAGAAACGTGCTGCTGATCTCAGGAACCACCGCACAAAATTTGGTTATGCTATCTTGAGAAGTGTCCAAATGCATAGCTAAGAGACACAGAGTGTGATTGCACAGACATATGTGAATGATTTTACATATTTAAAAACATTGCGTGGCGCAGCCCTCCAGAGAGGATACGACTTCAGACAGCACACAACAGGATGTCCTCTCCCCACAAGCCCCAAATCCCAACCGTGTTAAAGAATCAGTCTGGTCTTAGAATCATAAATGGTAGAGTTGAAAGGGACATCCGTGGGTCATCCAGCCCAACCCCCTGCAATGCAGGAATCACAGCTAAAGAACCCCCGACAGATGACCATCCAACCTCTGTTTAGAAACCTCCAAGGAAGGAGAGTCCACCACCTTCAAAGGGAAGTTCTTCCTTCTTGTTTTCTGTGGCACTTTTGACATAGGGCACAGGGGCACCCATTCCATCTTGTATTTGCATTCTGAAGTGGTACAGTCCCTTGGGGAGCTTATACCTTAAACCCAGGGAAGGGGAGCCTGTGGCCCTCCATATGATGATGGACTATAAGTGCCATCATCCCTGACCACTGGCTGTGCTGGTTGCTGGGAGCAACACCTGGAAGACACCAGATTCCTCAGCATTGCTTTAAAACCCTCAGCCTTTGAGAACCGGGTCCTGACAATCAGCTGAATGGGGTGGCTTAAAACAGCTGTTTTGGGGAACTCATTCAACACCTCCCCCCCCCCCGCCAATGCAGAAGCTTCTGGCAAATGGAGCGCTGCCCTTTAGGCAGGACAGAAAATTAAAGTACAGTGCGAAATACCAGTCGTTTTCTTTTGGGTGAACGGGTAAGCTTGTTTGCTTGTTGAACACTCTGATGTGGCCATAAATGCCTGCATTGATCTATTTGTCTGGACCGTTCAATTAAGGCCATAGACTGAAATGTGACCTGATTTGAATTAAACAAGCACACACACCAAAATTGGATGCTGAGAGTTTCAAGAACAAGATATAAACTTAGCAGGAGACCCTGCTCTTCAAAGAAACTCAAGTCACAAGCACCATGGTTGAATTAACATTTGGGTTTAGCTTTGTTGGTGTGTGTGTCCCCAAGTCAGGAGGACTCAAACTTGGAACATATTATGTTGAAACAGATCCAAGTGCCCCTGCTCCAGAAATATCTGGAAGAATCAAGTAATTAAATAGTAATCAATTGACACTCATAGGGTTAATTGACTATGTTTTCTTTAATCAGGTGCCAGCCCCAATACTACCACTAATTTATAGTGGTAAGAGGTCCCAGAAACCAACTTAGCTGACCAGTCAGAAAAACCAAGAGGCAAGGAGTTCCACTGGTTTTCCCCCCCAACAGTGTCCCATGTTGCCCTGTGCCTGATTTTACACTGGATCTTTTAGAGTTGCCTCCTAGTTACTCACTGGGACTTCTTTCTATCCCCCTAAATCCAGCTTCATCCTCCTCATTCTACATCACAGGAGAGACAACACCTTTGCATAAACCGCAGCAACCATGACGACTTCATACCAGAAAGAGCTGGAGAAATATCGAGACATTGATGAAGATAAGATCTTGAATGAACTATCTGCGGAGGAGCTGGCTCAACTTGATGTAGAGCTTCAGGAAATGGACCCTGAAGTGAGATTGAGGGGGGTGACAATTTGGGGTAGAAGGTGGGATTCTTGAAAATTCTAGATTAAATTTTAGGTTTTTGAGGGAAACAGAAATACGACTGCCTAGACATGATTTTAGGGATGGGGGAGAAATTCAGTCTCATTCACAATTAAAAGACAAGCTTACTTAATTTGCACTTTTTGCAAATATTGTTTGAAATTTCACTTCGAATTTTGCAATGCAGTTCTCCAGCTAAGTAACGTGTGCAACAAAATGCATTTGACAGGGTAAAACGTTCCTCTAAATGTATACATTAGGGAAACTGATGTACAAAAATGTATTATGTTACAGAAATTTGCTCACGAAAGTGTATACACAATGCAAAAATGCTTTAAAATGTGTATGCTGAAATAAATTCACACTAAAATGTTGATGAATTTTTGCGAGGAGTTTAATATGGAGAACTGAACTTAAGATTGATAAAATGAAAGCAACCAAAACCAGCAGATTCACCTATCCAGATGGTTTTTGAAGCAAACCCCCTGGTGCTGAATCAAAACATTCATAGCTGCCTTCTTCCTTTATAATTTTTATTAAAATTCACAGCCTTCTTGAATGTGAAGATGGTGAAACTTAATTTTCCTTAGGGGCAACAAGTGAGACTGCAACAAACGTATGGTATTAAAAACAGCTTATAAAAATGTGTTTGTTATGAGAAATTCGCACTAAACGATGATGAATTTTCATGAGGATTTTTTTTTATAATTACAAATTGCTGCAAAATGTGGATAACTGAATCTAAGATTGGGGGGAAATGTGAAACTGAAAGAACCAAAATTGACAGATCCTGCCAGCCCTTTCCAGGGCACGCCATTCCTCACACCTTCCACTTTCCACTTTTGTGCCCTGACATCAGAGGCAATCTGTGACCACTGTGCATGCCCTGCATAGTCTGGACTACTTTGGGGAGTGGGATTCCTTCAGGTTTTCCTCCTCTAAAGAGAGAGGCATAGTGTTTCTTCAAATTTTGGGGTTCCCCCAAGCCTGCTGATCCCTGTGCATGGATGATAAAGATCAACCCTCAGAGAATGAGTTTGCTTAAAGTTTCAACTTTTAAGTCTTGGTGATAACTTTTTATTATAGCATTTTTTAAAGGTCCTCAAATGCACCCATTTTAAATACACAATTGCGAAATATCTTGCAAAGATTAGCCATGCTGATTTTTTTGGGTGGCTTCTTCCTCCCTATCTTTCTGCTCTGCCATTGAGCCTATAACTCTAACATTAAAGGGGTAAGGCTGCAGGATGGAATCGAGTTTAGGAGAATACCAATTTGGATTTTTGCAATGTACATTTGGCTTAGGAACGTTTGCTCGGGAATCAAGAGGGTATGGGTATCGAGACCGAATATTATCAATTATCATTGTCATACGTTCAAATTAGGAAATAGTCACACATCTAGGCAGTAGGCGTGGAAGGAACTTTAGGTTACTATTTTCCCAGGAATTGTTTCTGCCCACCCCTACAAATCCCTCCCTCACAACCCCAAGGGCAAGTTTTGTGGTGATGAACAAGAGCACGGAAAGTTTAAAAGTAGTAGCCGTGTCATGTCACTCCCCAGTAGCACACAAGCAATTTCCCGTTGCCAGTGTTGTTAGGTGGGAGAGGGGAGCAGGCACATTGAACAGATGATACCTAACAGGGAAATATAATGAAGCCTGAAGCTTCACCTGTTGAGTTAATTTTGATGGCCTGGTTGAAAGTCCTTGTTCTGATGCAGCCAGAAGCCCTATCCTACAGTACTGGGTGATACAATGCCACTGTTGTATAACTCGCTCACCCCCATTCTGCTCTGCCTCATAGAATGTGATGCTCCCAGCGGGTTTCCGGCAACGAGACCAGACGAAGAAGAGCCCGACGGGTCCACTGGATCGAGACGCCCTCATGCAACACCTGGAGAAGCAGGCAATGGAAGCGAAGGAGCGGGAAGACCTGGTGCCCTTCACAGGAGAGAAAAAAGGTATTTGTCCAATTTCCAAGCTGGATGCTGCGATTCCAAGGCTGGGTGGATGGACTGCCAAGCTTCCTTCTATCGTCCCATCTGCAGCAGCAGGATGTGCAACTGTGCTGCACCAAGTGCCACCTACAGATTTTTGCAGATTGAGCTGTTCTTGAAGGCAGAGGAGCAGCCCATTTAAACCAAAAACAAAAGCCCTTATGGTCAGCTGGCAACCCTAAAAGTCAGTTTCAGTGAGTTATTTGTTTATTGCATTTATATCCTCCAAGCAGCTCGAGGTGGTGTACGTGGTTCTCCCCATTTTATTCCCACAACAACCCTGTGAGGTAGGTTAGGCTGAGAAGCAGTGATATCCAGTGAGCTTCATGGCTGAGTGGAGATTTGAACCCTGATCTCATAGTCTGACACTCTAACCATTACTACCATAATGGTTACTATTGAGTTACTACTGAGCTACTGGGATTGCATGAGATTATACCCTCTGTGATTGGTGAATCGTATGGAGCATCTGGATTGGCCAGGTCTGATTTAAATAGCAGAAGCCTGGACATCTGCCTTTGGACAAATAAATTTTATTTTCTGCCTGCTGTGTTTCAGGCCCCGGAGTAGCCTCATTCTCTAGCATTTCTCCTGTTACAAAGATGTAGAAATTCATTCTATTCAAATGTCACATCAAACTGTGGTCAGCAGCTAGGCATGACACTAATTTGAGAAAGCATGGTTTGCCATCAGCCCCAGAATCCATTGGTTTGTATGTTTCCAGACCAGGCTTGTCCTAGGCATCACCATGGTTTGCGTCTGGTGCCAGAAACCATGGTTTGACAAGTCTGCAAACCATGGGCCTGTACTATGCTGGGTTGTGACATTTGAATTGGCAAGCCATGTTTTGTGATAATCTGGTGAGCAAGGCTGAGAAACCATGGTTTGTGTGCTGTATGATTCAATGGGATGTTCAAATTGACAGAGCAGACTGACTACTAGTTTCCTGTCTCCAGAAGCCACTGCACAATCAAAATGAGATTAAATGCATCAGCTTGAGCTCTGAGATATTGGGAAACAAAAGCAGGCAAGCAGCTGTAAACCTTGGTTTGCTTGTACTTTGATTATAAACTGTGATTAGCACAAACCATGCTTGGGGTGCCATCTCTGAACTGTCCTGGCCTTGAAAGCTTCCACACTCCTTTGTGACACTGTGATTGGCCTAAGAATGCCATTGTCTGATATGGATTTTGGAATTTGCCATTTGCAATATCCTTAAAAAACCCTGGGTGCTAGCATCAGTTTTATTGGTGGTTCCAAATCCATGGCTGCCATTTTGATTGGGGGCAAGAGGTGCTGGAGGCATGTGCAGAGAGACAATCACGTACGCTCCATAGGTCTTCGAGACCAGCTCTGTCCCAGCTTGGCGCCGGGCAAAAGCTGCTCCTGAGTGTTGCCAGAATCCTACTGTGCGTGCTGTCCCAGAATTGAGATGGGATTGAGAGGAAAAGTTATATTTAGCTCGGCCGGGAGCACGCCGAGGATTCAAAATAGCCCGGTGTGTAGCTCAGATGTCCTGACCCACAAAAGGTTCCTAAGTGCTCCTGGTAAAGGCTCACGGCATCTCTTCAAATCATCCATCAACACACCTGGGGGGGGGGGGGGAATCAAATTCGTAGCTCTCTCTCATGCGTGTCGGCACCAGTGTGAATTGGGACTTCCTTCTGAGTAGACAATGGCGCATTTGCAGCTGCATGTTCTTCATCCTTGACCTTCAACTGCAGCTACTTGACCCCACAATGAAAGGCATGAAAAGGAGGACATTGATTTTAAGGACTTGCCTTCATTCAGAGTTGCATCCTTCACATATGCTAAAAGCACTTTCAGGGCATCCTGCTGCTGTACATTAAGGGTGTTTGTCATATTCTTCTTTATGATGTTCTTCCATTTGCAGATTTTGCATGTGACCCTGAGAGCTGAGGTATTGCAAAGAGATTCCCCTGCGAGACCTCAGATCTCAGCTGTCCAGTGGCTTTGCTCAGGTCAGGCAAAGGTTGTTGTCATTTACTTGCAGAGGTCCTCTCTGTGTGTGGCACCAACCAGAGGAACCAAAGTTTTATAATCAGCTTGTGAGAGCATAAATTTGAGCTGTCCAGTGGTTCTGCTTGCCAAAAATTCTTTTTAAAAAGCCAAAGTAGGTACATATATCTCACATCTTATTTGGTAACATTTTAAAATACATTTCATTCCACCTTTGACCACAAAACTTGCAGAAACCTTATATTGTGCATCAGAAAACACATCCCTAAAATGGCATTTTAGAAACTGATCACTGGTTATCTGCCATTCACCTGAAGATAGACAGGGGACAAATGTTCCACCCCTATACTCCAGGCAGGCTCCTCTGCTTTTAAGAGCAGTACAACAGGCAGAAATCCAACCAGTCTAGCTACTGGTACATGGAGGCAGAGTGACAAGGAAACCTCTTCACTTGTTGAATTCCTCCCTGTGGCATTTGTACTCTGCCCTTTCTTCAAGGAGCTCTGTGTCACCATGCAACAACTCTGTGAAGCATGCCAATCTGAGAGACTACTGTAGCCAGCTCCTCCAGTGAACAACAAGGCTCCTGGTAATTGAATTTTAAAATGAATTTAAAGGGATTTAAATTCATGATCCATTTGGCCTTCAATGGGTACATCAGGACCCATTACATCAGAAGTAATGTGTCTCTCACCCATTTTGAGGGCCCAATCCAGCTGTATGTTTAGCCTGAAGAGCTGTCACATGGGAGATGGAACAAGCTGGTTTTCTGCTGCTCTGGAGGAGAGGACCTAAACCAATGAATTCAAATGACAAGAAAAGAAATTCCGATTGAACATTAAGAAGAGCTTTCTGACAGTAAGAGCTGTTTGAGAGTGGAACCGACTTCCTCTGACAGTGGTGGACTCTCCTTCGTTGTAGGTTTTAAAACAGAGGCCGGATGCCCCTCTGTCATGGATCCTTTAGCTGTGATTTGTGCATTGCAGGGAGTTGGACTAGATGACCCTTGGAGTCCCTTCCAACTTTACAGTTCTGTGATTCTAAATAGCTGTCATGGTGAGATGAATAATGTAGTGTTTGGCAGAAACTGAACCGCAGTGTAAGAGAAACGGAACCGATTATGACTAATGCAGTTTGGAATAGAAACCGTTGCCTTCTGACATCCCTTGCGTGTCAAAAGCAGCAGCACTATCCTTTCCAGATATCTTGCAGCATAACCAATGGCATTTGTGTTGAATCTTGCCGGGGATTGGCCAATCCCGTGGAGAGGCAGCAGCAGTCAGATTCCGAGTGTCGGTGATAAGGAGCAACAGGTGGACTCTGCCAGCAGATTGGAAGATGGTGTGTGTGTGTGTGTGTGTGTGTGTGTGTGTGTGTGTGTGTGAAGGCATCTCAGGTTCACCCTATTCGCGCCTCCTCTCACTTTGTGGTTCCCACGCTAATTTACTTCTCTCCACGCTGGAACGAAGAAAAGATCCCGGAGCCGGGACGTTTCTAAAGGGCAGCTTTGATTCTCCCTTTTCCCAGTCTCATTGGGGCCTAAAAAAAGATTTCCTGAAAGTTCACAGTGTCCTGAGATTTTCTGAAAGGAAACCTTGTCCGTGTCTTCTTTCCTCCCTCTCTTATTGTGGTTCATGTTCTTAACATTAGAAAACCAACGCAAAATAGAAAAGAAATGCAATTAGTAATTGCGAGACATGTCTTAATGTTTCTAACCTGAGCATCAAGTCATCGCACTGTCGTTTTGCTTCAATCTGAGGCATTGCTGTCTCTCCCCACCCTTATTTAATTACTGCTGCTATTTTTATACTTGGAAAAACTGTTTTCACCGTATCTACATTTCTCATATTCTTTATCCCTCCCCCACCCCTGTTCTCTTAATTTCACAAGATAAATTAGTGCAATGCAGCTCGTAGTGGCTTGGTGTTTATATTCTCACAATTTAAACAGATTGGCTGCTACTTTTAGTACTGAGCAATTAAACATCTGGCTGCGATTAAGAAATCCCTTGCTTCCTCTCTGTAACTAAATCACCGTGTTTTGGGGGCATGGAGAGGGGTTAGATCTGGGCCACATGAAATGAAACTGTCTGGTGTGGCCGCTTTGGAATCCCAGCTACTTTAATGTTGGATTTAAAATACAACAACCAGCCAGCAACCAAACAAACAGTGCAAGTTTCTAGACCTGATAGTGTAGCGAGAACTGCTAGTGTGCCATGGGAAATGAAGAACTGGAATAATTTGAGGACCCTGAATCCTCCACATTGAAATTCTGGGTGAGTTACTGCTCTGGGCATCTGCTAAGGATCGGCAGTCCTGCTGCCTCTCTGGGATGGATCATTTAGTCACTCCCCCGTACAGTGATGTAGCAGAATCACTGTTCTGGTCTTTTTCCAGCTGGGCAACCCACACTGAACGGGAATTCAGGCAGAAAGGAAGAGAAAATCAGTTTGGCTCGCAGTTTAACAAAGAATCATAGAATTGTAGAGGTGGAAGGGACCATGCGGGTCATCTAGTCCAACCCCCTGCAATGCAGGAATCTGGACCTAACTAATTCACATGCCCCAAATGATACAAGAACGAGAACGCAGCTACCCTTTGAATAGCACACTTTTCCAAATTTTGCAATGCAGTTCTCCAGCTATAAAGAGCGTTAAGCAAAAAAAATTGCATCTGTTGGGGGAAATGTGCATAAAAATTATTATCATTATTATTATTACACAGATCCTTGGGAAAAGTCTTTCCAGGTAAGAGAATAAAGTGCCCCCCCTTTTCCAGTCAGAAAAAAAATGTATCCTCAGATGTTGGACTAATTTGGGAAAACCGGGTACTGCTTAATCACAGAAGTCTCAAAGGGGTGCCAGTAAAAATTATAAAAAGCATGCAAGGAACAAAATCAATTAATGTTAATGTAATAAAAACATTGTGGTCAAAAATGAGATGGCAAGAATAAATATTGACATCCTGGGCATCAGTGAACTAAAATGTATGGGAATGGGCGAATTCAGTTCGGATGACCATCATATCTACTACTGTGGGCAAGAATCCCATAAAAGAAATGGAGTGGCCCTCATAATCAAGAAAAGAGTGAAGTCAAATGGGCCTTAGAAAGCACTGCTAATAACAAGGCCAGTGGAAGTGATGATATTCCAGCTGAACTATTTAAAAATTTAAAAGATGATGCTGTTAAGGTGCTACACGCAATATGCCAGCAAATTTGGAAAACTCAGCAGTGGCCAGAGGATTGGAGAAGATCAGTCTACATCCCAATCCCAAAGAAGGGCATTGCCAAAGAATGCTCTAACTACCACACAATTGCATTCATTTCACACGCTAGCAAGGTTATGCTTAAAATTCTACGAGGCACGCTTAAGCAGTATGTGGACTGAGAACTCCCAGAAGTGCAAGCTGGATTTCGAAGGGGCAGAGGAACCAGAGACCAAATTGCAAACATGCGCTGGATTATGGAGAAAGCTAGAGAGTTCCAGAAAAACATCTACTTCTGCTTCATTGACTACGCAAAAGCATTTGACTGTGTTGACCACAGCAAACTATGGCAAGTTCTTAAAGAAATGGGAGTGCCTGATCACCTCATCTGTCTCCTGACAAATCTTTATGTGGGACAAGAAGCTACAGTTAGAACTGGATATGGAACAACTGATTGGTTCAAAATTGGGAAAGGAGTTCGGCAAGGCTGTAGATAGTCTCCCTGCTTATTTAACTTATATGCAGAATTCATCATGCGAAGGGCTGGACTGGATGAATCCCAAGCCAGAATTAAGATTGCCGGAAGAAATATCAACAAACTGTGGGAGGTAGTGGAAGACAGGAGTGCCTGGCATGCTCTGGTCCACGAAGAGTCGGACAAGACTAAAGGACTAAACAACAACAACAATAAAAACAGAATGTTTCCTTAAAATACTTACTGAAATAGAAAGGTATTTGTCAAGCTGCTGAAGTTCAGTAGGAAGGGGTTTGCCTAATCTCAGCCTGCAGGGAGTCCAAAAGAAAGGAGCCCACCATACTAAATACATGGCTCCTGAGCGATTTGGATTGTGGATTCAAGCCATGGGGTGGGGGGCACTAACAGTGACTCACCCAAAAATATCAGAAATCAAGCAGGGATATAAGGGAATCAGGCAGTCCTTGAGCTATCTAGAACCCAAGTTGTTTAAGGGCCTTGCTAATTAATTACAAAAACCTTGAGCTCAGCTTGGGGGCATTATACCAAATCTGGCTGGATTTCAGAATGGGGACATTTTGGAGAATTTGGGAGGGGGGAATTGCTTGAATGAACTGCATCGTATGGCCTTTTGTTGTGCCACTTTTAATTTAGTTCATTTCCTCCCCTAACCCCAAACACCAGGAAAACCCTTTATTCCGAAAAACCCCAAGAGGGAAATCCCCAAAGAAGAGCAGATCACGCTGGAACCTGAACTGGAAGAAGCTTTAGCAAATGCCACCGATGCAGAGATGTGCGACATTGCAGGTAAAAAGCGTATTTCCGGCCGGAGGGTGGTGGGCAGAGAGCTGCTCCATGTTGGGGGCACAGACAGCAGTGCGGTGTATCGGATCCCAGTGGAAGTTTGCTCCGAATAGGGGGAAAGGAACCTCATCTTATCAGAAACCTCTTGGCATTTATCAAATTGTCAGTGAAGGGCATTTAATAAATACTATCCATCCACTCAAAAAGAAGGACAGAAGTACAAATGCACCCAGTACACTGTCCAGTTAGGTCCTTGGGGTTGTAGCCAATGTTAGAGTAGACCCACTGACATTAATGAATGTGACTCACTTAGGCCTGTTATTTCCAACAGGTCTATTCCATGTGGTACTTAGCTGGCTACAACCCTCAGCTTGGGTCTGTGCATGGACTTCCTCTTAACCCCTTCTCAAGCCACTGACTTAGATATCTGGAGCAGTCCGCTGCTCTGGATGAGGGTGTAATATTTATTTATTTATTTATTTATTTATTTATTTATTTATTTACAGTGGTACCTCGGGTTAAGAACTTAATTCGTTCTGGAGGTCCGTTCTCAACCTGAAACTGTTCTTAACCTGAGGTACCACTTTAGCTAATGGGGCCTCCTGCTGCCACCACCGCTGCGCGATTTCTGTTCTCATCCTGAAGCAAAGTTCTTAACCCGAGGTACTATTTCTGGGTTAGCGGAGTCTGTAACCTGAAGCGTCTGTAACCTGTAACTTCTGGGTAGGCTTGTCTAAACCAGAATGTTTTTTTAGCAGGAATGAAGAACGCTTCTTGCATTGTCCATTTTCATGCAGCACATATCTAAATGGTAGAACTCCCTCCCACAGGGGGCAGTGATGGCCACCAACCTAGATGGCTTTAAAAGAGGATTAGAGAAATCCTTGGAGGAGGAGGAGACAATCAATGGCTACTAGCCATGATGGCTATGTTCTACCTCCTCAGTTGGTGGCAGCAATGCTTCTGAATACAGTACCAGTTACTGGAAACCTTAGGAGGGGAGAAGGCTCTTGTGCTCAGATCCTGCTTGTGGGTATGTGTTTGTGAGAACAGGATGGGTCCCCTTTGGCCTGATCTGGCAGGCTCTTCTTACATTCGTAATGCAAAGGAAATACAACGTCTATGCAAAAGAGAACCGGTCAATTGCACATCATTAGTGGATGGAAAGCAATGACAACAGCAAACACTAACCCTGTTTGCTGGATTGATTTCCATTATGGACATAGGATGAATGAGCGGACATCGTAAATTCCTGCTCCCATTTTTATATTGATTGGAATTTCTCTGACATCCCCATTTCCAGGAGGGGACTCTGCTGCAGGCAGCCCAGGACAATTGTAACAACCTGTATTGCATAAAAAGCAGGTGGGTCTCCCGTGCTGGCTGGTGACCACCGGACGGGAAAGTCCCTTGATGTCACCTCCTTGCCAAAGCCTCACGTATTTTTATTGCCCCCATGGCTCCCTGTCAGGCGTAAGCCGATAGGGCGAGAGCACCCGAAGTGTCTGATTTTAGCCTCTGCGTGGCGCTAAGCCAGCCCTACTCTCTGCTTGCTGCTGAGCTTTGGGAATCGGAGCTGGACGCGGCATGGATGCACCGGAGCAGAAATGTCCCCACTAGCTATGCTGCTAGCCTGACAAAGAAGGTCGCTCCTGTCCCTGTAAATAATGGATTCCCACAAAGGATTTTTGAAATGACGGTGCATACAGAAAAAGGGAAATGCATGGAGAAGCCTCCTTCTCCCAGGCACAGGGCTGGCAGCACAGGTTGGGCTGATCAGGCACCTGCTGGGGTCCCAAACCAAGGCAGCGGGTCCCACTGACAAGACCCCCCTCTGGCTTCTGTCTCCACTCCACTGTTGCAACCTGCTCATCCAACCTTTCTCAACCTGTAGGTCCCCAGATGTTGTTGAACTACAACTCCCATCACCCCTAGCTAGCAAGGCCAGAGCTCAGGAATGATGGGAGTTGTAGTCCAACAACAGGTTGAGAACCGCTTTTAGTGGTGGCAAGAAGGAGGTGGAGGCACTCACTGGCAAGCAAGCCTGTGGCAACAACATTGAGGCAGAGGAGCAGGAACAGATGGCAATAATGGCAGTGGGTGGGTGGACTCACTGAGGGAGGGAGCCCACAGGAGACCTCTTGTCCAAGGCCCCCTGCAAATCTGGAACTGTCAGTACTCTGACAGCCTAGCTTAAAAAAAAAAAATGCATAGGGAGCATTTCTGCATTTACAACCACAGGCTGGTGTTTTTAACTATCTGATTATTTATGGATTTTGTCATATGTGCAGCTCTCTATCCTATCCACTGCTTCATGTGGTTGTCTGGATAACCTAACACTGTGTTTGGTGTTTACAGTCTGTAGATCAACTTGATAGATAAAACAGGGGAGTCCCTGCCTGTAGTCTGAAGATGCTCCTCTGGGAAGTAAAAATAACACTAAAAAACAACAAGCCCGCATGTAGAATACTAGCGTGTCAAGGATTCTAGCTAAACTATTCCCATGACATGCTACACTTCTATGTGCGGGAAATTTAAAATGCATTGATACAGGGAGAGCTAGGCCTAGTGATCAGAAGAGGGTCAGGCCTCGGTGCTCTGCACTGTTCCTTGCACATAGTTGGCAAACCAAAATAAATTATCAGAATATAGTTGTGTGTTGGTTTTTTTGTTTTTTTTAAAAAATACAAACCTGGCTATTTCCTCCTCTGCTTCCTTGCAGCTATCCTGGGCATGTACACCCTCATGAGCAACAAGCAGTATTATGATGCCATCTGCAGCGGCAACATCACAAACACGGAAGGCATAAACAGTGAGTGATTCCTTGGTCTGCATCTTACAGAGGGTGGCAAATGACCAAGGAGTTAGGAGAGACTGTTGCTCGGGAACCAGAAGCAACTGTCAAACTCAAGTGGACATGCTTGGGGGCTAGGGTCCCAATCCTAGGAAGACTAAGCAAAACACTCTCACAAATGAGAACAGGCTTCAAGAGAAGGGGCGTGGCCTGGGAAGGGTCTTGAGAGCTGGAAAGGGAAGACTGGAGAGCCACATTTGCCCCCTGGTCCTGATGTTCTGCCCTCTGTTATTCAAGACACACTCTCTCTTTATTTTATTTCTCTCTCTCTCAGGCGTAGTGCAGCCTGATAAGTACAAGCCTGTCCCAGATGAGCCTCCAAACCCCACAAATGTGGAGGAGACCTTGACGAAAATCCAGAGCAACGACAAGGAACTTGAGGAAGTGAACCTTAATAACATTAAGGTCAGTGCCGAGTCCCAGGAGGACACACTTGGGTGCTTAATCAGACAACACATGAAGCATCCCCTGTTTTGGAGTCTGTCACTTGTCAGAAGAACAGATGCTTTGAAAATGTCGATGGGCTCAAGCACATCTAGCTGATTTTTTAAAAGCATCTCTGGTAGCAGAAACAAGCACCTTGCTTGTTCCTTGCTTCCAGTCAAGCATGGAGGCTGCTTTATATGGAGTTGGATCCTTGGTCCACCTAGCTCAATATTGTCCACACTGACAGGCAGCAGCTCTGTTTCAGAGAGAGTTCCTTCCAGGCCCTACCTGGGGATTGAACCTGAGACCTTCTGCATGCAAAGCAGATGCTCTGCCACTTTCCTCTAAGTGTAAGCTAAAGTTCCAGTTCTCATGGTTATGAACAATTAAAAGGATTAATTATCAGAGGATAGGGGTCTGACTAGTGTGAGAGTGGGATGGTCCTTCAAAGGTTACGAAATACAATGGCAGACTTTCCAAGTGTCCCTATTTTCCAGGGACGTCCCAGATTTAGAGAAGCCTTCCCGGTTTCTGATTTGATCCTGGAATGTCCCGCTTTTCCTAAGGACGTCTCTGTTTTCATTGGAGAAATGTTGAAGGGTATGGAGTTATCTGACCTGCAAGCTGTCTGAAGGCAATCCTGTATGGGGAAGGTTTTTTTTAATGTTTAATATTTTATTATGTCTTAATATATGTTGGAAGTTTCCCAGAGTGGCTGGGGAAACCCAGTCAGAGCATGGGGTATAAATAGTAAAACTCTCATTAGGGAATGGGACGTCCCTATTTTCATCAGAGAAATTACATGTGCCTCAAGGTGATTTACAAACTTACCTTAAAAGCAGCTAAAAATACTTTTAAAAACAATACAAAACAACAGCTATGTCTCAAACTGTGATGCTGTCCCACAGAACCAGGACAGCCACACTGAAAGCCCTGCTCTAAGCAACTGTGGATATTTTAGGGATTTGAAGAAGAAACTCTCCTGCAGGATGCGGTGACCTACGGCTCTTCCACACCACCCTGGGAAAGTGTCATTAAGCATATTATAAATCATTTTTGTGCTACTACCGGTTAGGAGAAAAATGAGTTTTTGCTTTGGGACATGCGAGATGTCAGCGGGAGAGGGGTAACATCATGTGGTTCCTCACCACCAAATGCAGGAACAGGTAAGGTTTGAAGCGAGATTTTGGGTGGTGCAGATGGGCCTCTCTTCATTCCAACAGGACATTCCCGTTCAGACGCTGATAGAAATCTGCGACTCCATGAAAAGAAACACTGTCATCAAGAAGCTCAGCCTGGTTGCAACCCGGAGTAATGACCCAGTGGCACACGTAAGCTTTGAGGTTGCTTCTCCTCTGAAAAACTTCCTTGCCCGTTAACAGGCGATCTGGAGCTTTGGCTAGGGTTGAACCCTAACAGGGAACTGGCGAAGGAGAACAGAATTGGAGAAGGATGACTCCCTGTGTTCATCCATGGAACCTTCTAGGCTAGAATAGCCCCAATTTAGGACAACTTATGTAGGCTTTGTGGTTAACCAAATACTGGGTGAACAGGACCAAAACAGAATCAGGACCAGAGCCCTGATTTAGTCCTACTTAAGCAGGGATGGGAGAGTCTGCAGTCCTCCAGATGATGCTGAACTGCAACTTCCATCAGTCATGGCCAGCCTGGCCTTTGCTCTGGCTTTTCTTTATTTTATTCTATAAAATTTATATACCGCATGATTGTAAAAACAAACAAACCCTCAAAACTGTTACGAAAAGAATGGAATAATCAAATGATCAGTTAAAGAAAGGTTGCAAGCAACTATCTGAAAACACTCAAAGCAAATTAAAATCAACAATAAGCTAAAAAGCGGGTGAAAGCACATGCCAGTGTTCTACACATCCAGATAGCCTTATCTAAACAAAAAATATTTTTAGCTGGTGCCGAAAAGAGTACAGCGAAGGCACTTACCTGATATCAGGAGGCAGTGAGTTCCAAAGGGATAGTGGAAACATCAAATGTTGGGGTAGTTCAACACCTTCCAGACTTTGCTGGACTCCAGCTCCCATCATCCTCTGTGACTGCTGCCCTCGCTGGCTGCTGGAGCTGCTGGGAGTTGGAGACAGTGGCTGAAGGCAATTCAGTAGTACTTTGGTTCTTGAAAGGCTTAATTGTGAAACAAATCGGCTCCCGAACACCGCAAACCCGGAAGTAAGTGTTCCAGTTTGCAAACGTTTTTTGGAAGCCAAACGTCCAGCGCGGCTTCTGCTTGAGTGCAGGAAGCTCCTGCAGCCAATTGGAAGCTGCGCCTTGGTTTTCGAATGGTTTTGGGAGTCAAACGGACTCCCAGAATGGATTAAGTTTGAGAACCAAGGTACCACTGTACTTGCAAGAGTTCCTGAACTTTGCCTGTTTCTCCGCCCCCAGGCTGTGGCTGAGATGCTGAAGGAGAACAAGACCCTTCAGAGCCTCAACATTGAATCTAACTTCATCACCAGCGCTGGGATGATGGAAGTCATTAAAGCCATGAAGGAGAACTCCACGTTGACTGAACTCAAGGTGGACAACCAGGTTAGCCGGCCACCGTTTTGGGGTCAGAGCCCCTTGCACTCTCCCTCTGCTCTGCAGCCGGATGAAACGGCGAGCAAAGGCAGCTGTCTCTCTGCAGCACTGGTGGAAAAGACCTGCTTGCCTTCTCTCCCTGTCCTGGAGATGAGCAGCCCTAGACCTGCTTTGCTTCAGCAAGGTGGCTGCTTTGTGCATCCTCAAACCATGCTCTGGTTGCATGAATTTGCAAAGTTCAGCCTGCAACATCCTCTTGTCTCCTCGCAAACCAAATGTCATCTTTTAAAACCAAAAACAGTAGTGTGGGGCCCCTCCTCACTTCCTTCACACTTCTCATTTCTCTTTCTTCCTTCTCCCCACACAGCGCCAGCGACTGGGCGACTCGGTGGAGATGGAGATGGCCGCCATGTTGGAAAATTGCCCTTCCATTATCCGCTTTGGTTATCACTTCACGCAGCAAGGACCAAGGGCCAGAGCCTCCATCGCGATAACCAAGAACAACGAATTACGTAAGTGGCGCTGGCTTGGAGACCCCAGTGGCCTCTCTTAATTCTTGAATGGATAATTGAGTGCTCATTTTTAGTGGGTGGACATCATAGCTGGCTATCCTGTTCCTGATGTCACTGGGAAGGCCACAAGTAGGGCCAGAGGGCAACAGTGATCTCCCCACCTGTGATTCCCAGTAACCTCTATTCAGAGGCATACTTCCTCCAGCAATGGGGGTCATGGCTAGTAGTAACCTTTGATAGCCGTACTGTCCTCAATGGATTTGTCTACTCTTAAAGCAATCCCCGTCGGTAGGGATCGCTACTTCTTGTGGGAATGAGTTCCAAAGATGAACTATGCTCTGTGCAAAGAAGTCCTTCCTGCCCCAACTTTCTCTGCATGCGAAAAGTCCCAGCTTCAACTCCCAATGTATCCACCCTACTGTCCTAAACCCCAGACAGCTGCTGCCAGTCAGTGTAGAGTCTACTGAGCTAGATGGGACCCCAATGGCCTGACGGGGTATATAAGGCAGCGTTCGGTGTCCTCACATTGCTCGTCTTTCCTTTGCAGGCCGCAAGCAGAAGAAAACATAATGGCCCACCCCCTGCGACCGAATCCAGAGTGCCCTTAAGCTTCCTCATGTGCCTCTAAGCAGCCTTTTAAGCTCTGCCTGCCTCCCAGAGACAGAGTTTTGCCAACAGCAAGGATTTTTATTTTATTTCAAGAAGAGAATTTCTCGGAGAGATTTGCCCTGCTGTTCCCCCCTCACCTTGGCGACCGAAACCACCCCCCAACCCCAATTTCTTGCAATCTCAGGTTCTTTCTTCCTCTGAATCCAGGCTCCCCGTCTTTTGATTACCTCTGTAAATAAGAGAGATTTCGGAGAGACGCCCGCCCTGCCCCAAAGAACTGGCTTTGTTCTCCGCTAAGGACCAAAGGCAGTTGCAATCTTCCTATCTTTCCTAAACAAGCTACTATTATTAAATGATTCGGCACCATCTCGCTGATCGAAACCTGAATACGTATAATATCTCAAATTTCTTGGGTTGTCAGCTCGCATTTGGAAATGTTTGCCCCCTTCTGTAATGGGCAGCCCCACACCTGAGATGTGGCCTCTTCCCCAAAGCCTCCCATCACCTTTTGGGAAGCCCAGATGGGTGGGGTATAAATAATAAAATTATTATTATTATTTTGGTGCTTCTGGCAATGGTGACTGGCACCAGACCCAGCCTTCATTTTCCTTTATGGGTTCTGCACATGTGCCCGTAAGCACAGCATCAGAAACAGTAAATTTTCTGATAATGAGCGTGGCATTTGGGGTTTACACTAGCGCACAGGCCAGGTGGAAATCAATTTCATTCATTCTGGGTTGGAATGTTCTGGAAAATATGTCCCAGAATTGTTCTGGAAAAGATGGGGAGATTCATCTCCTGACACACCAAGTTTGAAGGTGTCTAATTAAATCTAGGTCCTTTCGCCTGCTCTTCTACTACAAAAGGGAAATTTGAGATAAGTTTGAGGTAAATTTAGCAAGGAAAGAGCATAAAAAGAGGCAGGCCTGGAGATCTGCCAAAGCCGCACTCACAAAAGTCGGCCAACAATGGCCTCACACTCCTGTCAGCTAATATCTGCCATCAGATGCCACATGGAGTGGAGAAACCAGGATCACAGAGTCTCCAAAATGTCATTTTGGCATTTTAAGAGGCTGGACAAAGAAGAAAGAGGTTTCCTTTCCCCCCTTTTTAAAAACTGAACTATAGCGGAAACAGAACACCAAACGAGCCCCAGCGCCAACAGGATCAAATTCAATTTTTTCCTCAGCGGTGCCAGGTGTGCGCGTGAAAATATGGAAACTGAGGGCACCCAGTTGGGCCTCGGGAGTCAACAAACACTCCTAAATTGGCAAAGGCAACCGCAGGCCAAAAGGATGACGGTTTTTATGGGCCCAATGAGATATTAGTCAGGAAGCCATTTCAGAGTGCCTGAGGGCATCGTAAACAAATTTGTTTCCCTGCACTTGTTTGGCGTGACAGAGGTCTGCCAGGCAACAAGACCTACAGTCCAAGTCCTCACAGACTGCCTTGATGACGGCCGCCATCTTAGCTGGAAACTGGTGTTTCCAATTCCCTTAGCGCCACTAGGGCTAACCAAGTTCTGTCATAAACAGTGGCAGGAGAAAAGTAATATAACTGTCCTCCTGCAGCATGATTTACCTCAGATGGGCAAGGCAAAGATGAGAATGAAAAATGAGGAAACAAGGGCTGTGAGGGAAATAGTATAGAAACCAGGACAGATGAGGGAGACCCTTCTGGAACATTCTGGTGGCTCTGGACCAGTATTATTGAATTGAATTAAGCTGCCCTGTCTCACCTCAGCTTGCTGAAGGAGGGAGATAATAATAATAATAATAATAATAATAATAATAATAATAATATTTTATTTATGTCCCACCCTCCCCAGCTGAAGCTGGGCTCAGAGTGGCTAACAACAATAAAATAATACAGCATTCTAAAATCAATTCATTATAAAATCAGTTCAAATCAAATTAATGGCAACCATTGGGCTAGAGTTCTGTGAGGAACTTGAGATATGACTTGAGGGGAAGCTATTTTATTACAAAGTGGTGGATGGTGTTCACAGAGATAATCTTTCTCAAAGCTAACCCCATGAGGTAGGCTGAGCTGTGAGAAAGAGGCTGGGCAGGATCCCTGTGAGAGTTTCATGGCTGAGTCTGTGGGATTTGAACTCGGCTCTTCCTAGATGAAAAGTATGGCATGAGATTTTGCTACCCTTTTTCCAGGCACAAAAACGGGAAACACCTTCAGTGGGAACCAACAAATTGATATTTAACAGAAAGGCAAAAATCAGACGAGCGTGTTGAATGAAAGGCGTGTGTTCCAAAATCCCTGGTTTGGTATCTGGAGAATCCAGCGCACTTAGAAGAACAGCTTTCACTTCAAAGCCACAACACTAACCAAGTTTCTAGTACTCGGGACTGAAGAAACAGCCTGAAATGGTGGAAGCGCTCTCAGGGCTGGCTATGTAGGGGGCAAGGGTAGGATTTCCATTGCTGAGGCGCTGCCCCATGAGAGCCAGTGTGGTATAGTGGTTAGAGTTCAATGGAGATGGCCTAACTCTGACGCTATACAGTCAGCCATGAAGCTCCCTGAGTGACCTCGGGACAGCTACTCTCTTTCCCTCTTGGCCTAACATACCCCACAGGGTTGTCGTGAGGATAAAATGGGAAGAACAAGAAGGGCTGACTTCTCCATCTTGAATTCCTCAGGAGGAGGGTAAAGAAAGAGCTAGCAGCCGTCGAATAAAACAAGTGCATTTCCAACATCCTTTATTTGAAGTCAGGATCTGGCTTTCCGTGAACTCTGCTTGGTGCCTGATGAAGAAAAGTAATTTTTTTTTAAAAAAAATTAACCATTTTTTCAATACAAACAACAACCGCACAAGACACATACAACAAAAACCATAACATTACTAACACAATTTGACAATTCAAATTTGAATGCTGATATACCTATGACTACACCTTTTTAACAATTTCCCCCCACCTCTCCTCCCCCTACTTCCCACCACTATCCGCCTTATCGCTTAAATATTCCTTCCAGATTTCTTCATATTTATCCATTCTTAATTTGCGTCGACATGCAATTCGTTTGTATGTAGCTAGTCTGTCCATATTATCAATCCATGTGCTCAATGCAATCTTTTTGCGGCTCTTCCAATTCATCAAAACAAGTTTTTTTGCTTCCAATATGGCATGGTACATCCATTTTTTTGGACCCCTTGTAATCTCCCACATTTCCAGAATATAATTTAGAATTCAATTCCCCTAAATAACAATTTCTTTTTATTACTCTTGCTAGAACTATCCTCTCCCCACACCAAAATGATCTTATCACGGGGCAGCTAATCATCATATGTACTAAGTTTGCATTTTTACTCCCACAGCTCCAGCAGTAGAAAAGTAGATTTAAAAAGCCGCCCGGCACTTTATATAATAGGAAGCGCAAGCGGCGTCAAGGAAGGGTGTCCCGTCAGGAATCTTGCAAGGAGCCCTGCCACTTTATAGAGAGTTATTCCAAGCAGGTGGTGCTGCGGAGCAAGATTGTGGGGAGGGGGAAAGAGAAGTATCCCCCCACCCTCCCAATGTATTTATACCCCCCGCTGGGATCAGCAGACGAAATGGACACCCAAGGGATCAGGTTGCACGAAATCTTGGCCCAGGCCCCGCAAGGAGGAGGAGGAGGAGCAGGAGGAGAAGGCGTCTCGGTCTTAAATTAGGGGCTTCCCTTCCCCTCCCCAGGCCGGAGGTGTCACATGTGTCCTGCCTGTCAATGCAGCCGGCTTCTCGCGGCTTGTCCTCCGTGGTTGACATGGACAGCTGTTAGGCTTGGGGGGGTTGGGAAGAGTTAGGTTAGGTGGGTAAAAGTCACCAGCCCCGAAGTTGACGCAAGCGGGCAATGGAAACGACCCACGTCAAGAAGCGGCGGTGGCGTCAGAGCCGACGGCAAAAGGGGTGTGTGCGAAAACCATGGGTTGGCCTCTGCAACCCGCAATGTATCACAATGCGTTGCTTGGTTGGCTGTGCCAGCCAGCGGCATAGCTGTCAACTTTCAGATTTGAAAATAAGGGATCAGCAGCCTCGAAAATAAGGGCTCAGCAGCCTCACCTGTCCTGGGGACAGTCTACGGGATATCTAACAATCTGGGATAGCAGCAGGAAGCAGCGTTTGAATAAGGGAATTTCCCGCAAAAAAAGGGAAGGTTGACAGCTATGACCAGCAGGACGGGGCAGTGGAGTCAATGCTAGGCTGACATGAAGGCACTTGCAGTGGGAACGATTGCCAACTTTATGCTTTTGCCTCCAAGACCCACTCTTGCTCAGAGACAGTGGAAGGAATGGGGCCCTTTCTCTTTGGCTTTATACCCACTTATAAAGGCCCACAATTAGACACCAACCATCCGCGCAGGGCTTATTTAAAAATTATTTATTATGGGACGCGGGTGGTACTGTGGTCTAAACCACCGAGCCTCGTGGGCTTGCCAATCAGAAGGCTGGCGGTTCGAATCCCCGCAACAGGGTGAGCTCCCGTTGCTCTGTTCCAGCCAACTTAGCAGTTCGAAAGCACGCCAATGCAAGTAGACAAATAGGTACCACTGCGGCGGGAAGGTAAACGGTGTTTCCATGCGCTCTGGCATTTGTCACGGTCCTCCGTGCACCAGAAGTGGTTTAGTCATGCTGGCCACATGACCCAGAAAGCTGTCTGTGGACAAACGCCGGCTCCCTCGGCCTGAAAGCGAGATGAGAGCTGCTGCAACCTCATAGTTGCCTTTGACTGGATTTAACTGTATGTGGATTTCAAAGCATCCCTGCGTCTTTGAAGGTCCTGGCTCCGTGGACATTGCTTGTATTAGTGGACCCAGACGTTTTCCGTTGGCCTTCTCTGGATCACACATTTAAGCCTCCTTTCTGAAGAGCTCCCTGTCCAATGCTTTGCTCTGGCCCCTTTGCAATGTCGTGTGAGCCAAGTGGTAGTCAAGAGGTCTGCCTGCCCTCCCTGGTGTGCCTCTGTGAGATCAGGGCAGCTCGGCCAATGGCCAGCCAGAAGCTGTGCTGCCAACAAATTCCTTTTTGCAGGGTTCAGTATAGTGTTGGGGAATCTCAGGGCTAGGTGCCAAAGGCAGCCCTCTGGGCCTCTCGACCCGATCCTCAGGAATCTCCCCAGCCCTCCCTTGAGCACTTTACCTGGTTGGAATGCGTCTTCCAGGGGTGATTGTGCCTTTTGCTTACCTGGACAGAGAGGTGGAACCAGCTGTACAAAGTGGTCACTTTGGACTGGGACACTGCCCATTACCAGCATGTAGCCCTCAGAAGGTTCCTCATGAGGAAATGTGGCCCTTGAGCAGGAAAAGCTCCCCCAACAATGAAGTAGAGGCTGAACGACAGTGCTGCCTAGAGATTAGTGCTTGGGGCAAATGAAATGTTGCTTTTCATGTTTGGTGCAGTCTGGTTGTTGGACTACGACCAGGGAGACCCGGGTTCAAATTTCCATTCAACCACAGAAGTTGCACACACACACACACACTTTCTCCTGCAATCCAGCCTACCTAGCAGGGCTGTTGTGAAAGGCAGTCTCTGTGCAGTGAAACAAAACCAGAGACTGTAACCAACAAAGGAAGTAACCAGACAATGTAATCTGCGTTCATATCCCCCCCCTTTAAAAAATAAAAATAAACCATCCTATACACAGTACATGGTAAAAAATAAATTTTGTTCTTGAATGAGTGGTCCCTGAATGTCCAACCAGCAGAACATTTCCAAGGGTCCCCCTCTCAGAAAGTAAGCAACAATGTTGTCAAGATGGAGTCAGTGCAGGAGGTTCCTCTTCGTCAGAGTCAAATTCCACATTCTCGTCTTTTACCCACTTGCCAGAACCATCTTGGACCCAACCAGAACTGCCAGAGAAAGGAAGGAAATAAACACATCTGAGAAGGGAATGCTCATTTTTCTGGAATAATGGATCTAAGCACACTTGCAGAGCACAATATTAAATTGCACTGCCGTACACCATGGCTGAGATACTTCTGTAACGTTTAAGTGCAAGACAGCTGCGCAACATTAATTAAATGTTTCCTGTTCAGAACACACAAAGAAGCTGCCTAATACAGAGTTAGACCAGCTAGCTCTGTGTTGTCTATGCTGACAAACAGTGGCTCTTGAGGGTTTCAGGTAGTTTCTCCCAGCCCTATCCGGAGATGCCAGCTTCTGTTTGCTGCAGGCGGTGGTGGTGCTTTACATTACTCAGTTTCTCTTTTTTTCCTGGTACAGTGGTACCTCGGGTTACATACGGTTCAGGTTACATACGCTTCAGGTTACAGACTCCGCTAACCCAGAAATAGTACCTCGGGTTAAGAACTTTGCTCCAGGATGAGAACAGAAATCGTGCTCCAGCGGCGTGGGAGGCCCCATTAGCTAAAGTGGTGCTTCAGGTTAAGAACAGTTTCAGGTTAAGAACGGACCTCCGGAACGAATTAAGTACTTAACCCAAGGTACCACTGTATATAGACATAATATTATAAAAAGCAATAAAGAAGGCTGAGCTTGCCAACAGAAAGCTTTTGATTAAGAGCACAATAGCCCTTAAAAGCTTTTAATTAAGAGTACAGTAGCCCTTAAAAGCCTTAATAGTGCTTTGCCTGTGTCTACACTGGAAGGGATGCATTTAAATCGAACTTTATAGTAAAACCTGATCACCCTCCCCTGCAAAACCAGGTCTTGAAACAAAGAAAACAGTGCAGATGCAACTTTGCTCCCCTGATGCTTTTCGGCTCCTGGCCTGCAAATCTAGTACCTGTGATCCCACCACTTAGTTAACACATCTTCTGGGCAACCTCTAACCTACCTTTTCAGCCTCAGATAGTGTTCCAAAGCCCGGCGCTTCTCCGGGGTAACATCACCAGTGTCAGAATGAGGTGGTGCACCGTGAGGCGCTTTCCTTTTGCGGCTACGCTCCTTTCTCAGAGCTGCAGATCTTTTCACCGATTCTGGAATCAAGAGAGATTGATATTTAGGAGTTGCATCTCCTTGCTCACTGGCAACGTGGGATGGGGTTGGCGTCCGTAAAATCCTGCCCACTTCACAATAACAACTGCAGATGAGGCAACTGTATCCACACCTGCAGGTCCGTCTCCTCCTGGATTGATTTGGGAGTGTAGACCAGAAGAGGAAGCTGAAAGTTGAAAGGCACTCCTGGCTTGCCAGCAGCATATGTGAAACAGATCTAGGGGTTTTAGCAAACCACAAGCTTAACACGAGTCAACAGTGTGATGTGTGCAGAGGAGGGCGACCAAGATGGTAAAGAATCTGGAGACCAAGTCTTATGGGAGTGGCCGCTGGGACCACACAACATTGGTCCTGAGAGATCTGCATTGGCTCCCAGTATGTTTCCGAGCACAATTCAAAGTGTTGGTGCTGACCTTGAAAGCCCTAAACGGCCTCGGTCCAGTAGAGCTGAAGGAGTGTCTCCACCCACATCATCCAGCGCGGACACTGAGGTCCAGCTCCAAGGGTCTTCTGGCAGTTCCCTCATTGCGAGAAGTGAGGTTACAGGGAACCACCCTGTGGAACGCCCTCCCTTCAGATGTGAAGGAAATAAGCAGCTATCTTATCTTTAAAAGACATCTGAAGGCAGCCCTGTTTAGGGAAGTTTTTAATATTTAATACTGTATTGTTTTTAACACTCGATTGGAAGCTGCCCAGAGTGGCTGGGGAAACTCAGCCAGATGGACGGGGTATAAATAATAAATTATTATTATTATGAGGACAGTTGAACCTGCAGTTTAATCTGCAGAAAAAAGCCTGAAAGGTGACATGACAGCCGTCTTCAAGTACATGAAGGGCTGTTACATGAAAGATGAAACGAGCTTGTTTTCTGCTGCTCCAGACAAGAACGGACATTCCAACGAAACCTTAGGAAAAATTTCTGATGGCAAGAGCTGTTCAACCATGGAACCAACTCCCTTAGAAAGTTGTGGACTCTCCTTCTTTGGAGGTTATTAAACAGAGGTGGGGTGGCCCACCTGTCAGTGGTTCTTTAGCTGTGATACCTGTGTTGCAAGGAGTTGGAATAGATGACTTGGGGGTCCTTTCCAACTCTACAATTCTATGATTCTATGCTGGCAGTGGGGATTGAACCTGGGGGCTTTTGCATGCAAAACTGTGCTCTATGACTGAGGTACAGCCTGAAACCAATGAGGAAACACCACAACCAAACTGCTCCAAAGCAATTTTCTACCTGACATGGAAGTCGCGCACCCAGGCAAATCCACAGCAGAAGTGGCTTCTGGCAAAGGCAGTCTATGTTCTTCTGCATGAACGGAGTTCTTGGGTTTTGACGGCTCATTTTCTTCAGACTCTCTGGAGCTTGCATCTGTCCTTGAGGTACTGGGGGCAATGTCACTTCCTGCCACCCTGTGCCAAATAAATCAGTCAAGTTGAGGCCTTGTAGAAAGTCATCTTCCTTATATTATTGTTGCTAATAATAATAATAATTTATTATTTATACCCCGCCCATCTGGCTGGGCTTCCCCAGCCACTCTGGGCGGTTTCCAACCAAATATTAAAATACAGTAATGCATCAAACATTAAAAGCTTCCCTAAACACGGCTGCCTTCAGATGTCTTCTAAATGTCTGGTAGTAGTTGTTCTCTTTGACATCTGGTGGGAGGGCGTTCCACAGGGCGGGTGCCACCACCAAGAAGGCCCTCTGCCTGGTTCCCTGTAACTTGGCTTCTCGAAGTGAGGGAACCACCAGAAGGCCCTCAGCGCAGGACCTCATCATCCAGGTAGAACGATGGAGGTGGAGACGCTCCTTTAGATATACTGGACCTTCGGATATACTTCTTCAGATATAGTTATTATTATTGAGATTCAATGTAGTGTAGTGGTTAAAGCACTGTTTCTCAAACTTAGGTTCTCAGCTATTGTTGGACTACAACTCCCATCATCCCTACTAAGCAGGACCAGTGGTCAGGGATGATGGGGGTTGTAGTGCAACAACAGCTGGGGACCCAAGTCTGAGAAACACTGGTGCATGTTGGTCTGGGGTTCAAATCCCCCACCTGGCCATGAAGATCCCTGGGTGACCCTGGGCTAGCCACTACCTTCTCAGCCTAACCTAGGATTGTTATGGGGTTTAAACGGGGGGGGGGGGCGTGGAACCACATATACCACCTTGAGCTCCTTTCAGAAAAAGGGTATAGATGCCATAAATATTAATTAGACGTTATCTAAAGGTTTCAAAGCAACTTTAAATACATAAATTTAAATGCATTGTACAGAAAGAAATAGCGTATGTAACAGCAATAGGAAGCGTCAGCTGCACACTAGTAAATAATAAATATAAATAATTTTTTATTTATTTAGTAACACAGTAACAACATCTTAGACTATCAAAAGGCTTGGGGGAAATGGTAAACCTTTACCTGGTAAAAAAAAAAAATGTCAGTGAAGGTGCCAGGTGGACTTCGTTGGGGAGAGGATTCCACAGACAGGGAGCCACCACTGAAAAGGCACCGGGAACCTGGGGAAGATCCTCAGAAGGAGATCTAAGGCCACCGGGTGCCACTCCCCAGCCAACGGGGAATGTGGACTCCATCCGCATTAAGGTTCATGGGGCCACGGTTTGAGAGCAAAGCACGTTACCTGTTGCGTCGGCAGCAGCTGCTATAAGGGACGTTTTTCAGCAAAGCGTTGTGGGCGATCTTCCTGGTCTCCACAAGCAAAGGTGCAGGGCCTGGACTCACCTAAAGAAAGAGGGTTTATCAATTCATTTATTTTCATGAATGAGTATTTTCTCATGAAATGTCTCAAAGCAATCTAGCAATAAAATCATCAACACTAAAAACCACACACACAAACACATTTTGTACATGAAAACGCAGCCCACTGGTAGAGCACCTTCTTTCGAGAGCGGCTGCCAATCAGTGTAACCAAGACTAGAGGGATCTGACTCTGTATAAAGCAGTCTCCTCTGTTCCAATTTATATCGACCCTTTCTTCAGAACCACGAGGACTGGAATCGTATTTATTTTAAAGGGCAAACTATAGCTCAGTGGCAGATCTTCCATGCTAAGGTTGCTTTCCGAAAGTCTTGCTGAAGTCTGTGGGACTCATGAGCCCAGGATTGCAGTGGAAGAAAACTCAGTCGACACAGAGGCTGCCATACTAGTTTGCAATTCTTAGCAACTAAGAAGCGGCAAGGAGCATGCAGACTTACCTGGGCACCAGTTTCTTCTGCTCGGAGGTACGCCTGGTGGCGGCGTTTCTGGACCTCGCTCTCGAGTGAACGCTTCTTCCCATAGAACTTCTGCAAACCTTTTACAAAGTGAGAGACAGAGGACAGAAGAACATGGCAGGGTCTTGGTTCAAATCTCTGGGCTGCCTTGGTTAAAGCAAAATCTCTATCTACACCTCAGTCTTCCTGATCTGTAAAATGGGACCAGACATCCTTACTTGACCATTGCGAGGACGAACGAAATCACTGCAAATTAAAAGTGCCTCAGAATAACTGCAGCAATGATTAAAAACAAACCCAAGACAGGCAGCCACATGGCTGGCGATGTTAATTTTCAGCCACCCTTTGACCTCTCCAATTTTGGTACCGGGTAGCACACCTTTCCTCGCACACAGATCCCTTCTTTTACTACCCCGAGCAGCAAACTGAGCAGTGCCTGAAAACCAATGGAGCAATGAGAGCAGGGAGATGGCCTAGCTCCCCCACCACAACGGTGCTCTTAGCAACGTGGTATAAACCTTGGGTATTATCTGCTCAGAAGGTTGGATGAGGGAGTATGGGGCATTGAGGGCTCAAGAAAAGCTTCCGCAGACTTACTGATGAGGTGCTTCTTTCCAGAACGGTGGACCGTGAGCATGTCGAGAGTGTCAAAAACTGGACGGTGGAAGCAGACAGTGCAGGCATATCTGCTGGGGCGAAGGAACGAACAAAGAGAATTGAATTAGAACTTACTCCATTGCATTCAGTGGGGCAGGCTTAGCCCCATTCAGTCTGTGGGACTGAGTTCTAAGCAGGCTTGTTACGACACTGCTCTGTAAATAAATCATGACAAACATGCTAGAACAGTTGTGATCTTGAGTATATAGCCTTTCTCTTTTCTTTTTCCAATAATTCTTTTTCCAAGAATTCATTACCCATTTTTTAAAAGACCCCATTTTCTACAATACTCTAATTATCCACATGATTTTTAAAAATCTTTCTTTGAAGCGTGCACACACACACACACACACACACAGTGTGTCAGTGTGGTATAGTGATTAAGAGCAGTGGACTCGTAATCTGGTGAACCGGGTTCGATTCCCTGCTCCTCCACATGCAGCTGCTGGGTGACCTTGGGCGAGTCACACTTCTCTGAAGTCTCTCAGCCTCACAGAGCGTTTGTTGTGGGGAAGGAAGGGAAAGGAGATTGTCAGCCGCTTTGAGACTCCTTAAAGGTTAAGGTAAAGGAACCCCTGACCATTAGGTCCAGTCGTGGCCAACTCTGGGGTTGTGGCACACATCTCGCTTTACTGGCCGAGGCAGCCAGCGTCCAGCTTCTGGGTCATGTGGCCAGCATGACTAAGCCGCTTCTGGCGAACCAGAGCAGCGCACGGAAACGCCATTTACCTTCCCGCCAGAGCGATACCTATTTATCTACTTGCACTTTGTGCTTTCGAACTGCTAGGTTGGCAGGAGCAGGGACTGAGCCACGGGAGCTCACCCCGTCGCGGGGATTCGAACTGCCAACCTTCTGATCAGCAAGTCCTAGGCTCTGTGGTTTAACCCACAGTGCCACCCGCGTCCCTGAGACTCCTTAGGGTAGTGATAAAGCGGGATATCAAATCCAAACTCCTCCTCTTCTTCTCAAACAACTCTGCTTAATTTAAAAGAGCTTAGGGCCTCCGTCTTGGCTGCAAAATGGGGTGTTAATAAAAATGAAAACTATAAATCACATTACCCTCTTCCTCTACTCCATGTATTCTAACTAAAATTGACTTATGAACCACATGCCGTAAAAGAGCCAGTTTGGTGAGAGCTAAACTGTGGTATCTTTCTTTTTGCTGCCCTGCTACATCAGCGATCTGGGATTGGGGAGCATGTGCAGAGTGCCCAGTTTGTTCTAACTGCCCACTGTTAGCTGCGCATCAAACCTGCACCATGTGTTATCAATCAATGAAGATAACAATGGTGTATCCAGGGTATTTAGCTCTGACCTGCCATCTCTCAGCAGCAAAGCTTCATCCTCAGGGATATAATTGGCCAAGAGGTCAGCAACTCTTCTTTTCTGGAAATGAATAAAGGAGGAGAAATATTTCACCTGGGTTTAGCTACAGGCAAAGTAACAGTAGGAGAGAGGAATTGGGGTGTGAGCCCACAGGGTCTCGAAAAAGGGAGAAGAGAATTGGAGATAGGGGCCTTGGGCAGAAATTCTGGAACAGGGACCGTTTGCACAGTGCTAGGACTGGGATCCTGTGCAGAGTCCACAGTGACGGGGAGCATGTACAGAGCGCAGCTGCTTTCTCCTGGGGCAGGGAGAACATGCAGAGCGGCTCAGCTTGCTCTCTAGGCCTGGTATGATATCTACGTTTTCTAAATCATTCAGGAAGAAATGGAGGCAGTGAGATTTTACTTTCTTGGGCTCCATGATCACTGCAGATGATGACAGCAGCCACGAAATTAAAAGACGCCTGCTTCTTGGGAGAAAAGCAATGACAAACCTAGACAGCATCTTAAAAAACAGGGACATCACTTTGCCAAGAAAGGTCTGTATAGTCAAAGCTATGGTTTTCCCAGTAGGGATGTATGGAAGTGAGAGCTGGGCCATAAAGAAGGTTGATCACAGAAGAATTGATGCTTTTGAATTATGGTGCTGGAGGAGACTCTAGAGAGTCCCATGGACTGCAAGAAGATCAAACCTATCCATTCTTAAGGAAATCAGCCCTGAGTGCTCACTGGAAGGACAGATCCTGAAGCTGAGGCTCCAAGACTTTGGCCACCTCATGAGAAGAGAAGACTCCCTGGAAAAGACCCTGATGTTGGGAAAGATGGAGGGCACAAGGAGAAGGGGACGACAGAGGACGAGATGGTGGGACAGTGTTCTCGAAGCTACCAGCATGAGTTTGACCAAACTGCGGGAGGCAGTGGAAGACAGGAGGGCCTGGCGTGCTCTGGTCCAGGGGGTCACGAAGAGGCGGACACAACTAAACAACAACAACAAGATCCCTTGAATGCCTTTTGAACTCCCTCCCCCCGATCTTCCCCTCCACTCACCTTGAGCACATTGAGCTGGCTAGGGTCGTCTCCCTCCCTCTTGAAAGACATGCTGCGCCCCCTTCACTCCTTCAGGCTCCGAAGGCTGAGCAAGGAGCAGGAGGACTCCTCCAGCACTTCCTGTTTTGGCCTCCAGAACTACAACCCCCATCATGCACCTGGATGCCGGTCTCTTTCATCACTTCCCTTCGCAGCCAATCAGGCTTCAGGGACTACATTTCCCAAGCAGGCTTGCGCGGCCAACGAAAATGGAGCACGCGCAAAACTCGATTTCCCAGCATGCTGCACGGCTTTCAGCTCCCTAAACAAGGCATGGCCAAACTTGGCACTCCAGCTGTTTTTGGGACTACAGTTCCCATCATCCCTGACCACTGGTCCTGTTAGCTAGGGATGATGGGAGTTGTAGTTCGAAAAACAGCTGGAGGGTCAGTTTGGCCATGGCAAATGTAAATGTTATCAGAGAAGGGGCGAGGTAGAATCTGAAAAAAAGGAAGGAAGGAAGGAAGGAAGGAAGGAAGGAAGGAAGGAAGCCTAGTAAAGACATGTATCAACCATCTATCAATGATATTAGATGATAACATATATATTTAATATAATATATTTAATTAATATATTATAAATATATATTTAAATCCACCCTGTCTTTTAAAGTGTGTTTTAAATCAGAACTGCAAATTACATTATGCTGTTTCTCTATAAAGAAATTATTTGAAGGTGGGGTTTTTTGTCCTTTTTTGATATTTATTATTGTCTTTTTTTTTAAAAAAAAGGGACACGGGTGGCGCTGTGGGTAAAACCTCAGTGCCTAGGGCTTGCCGATCGCATGGTCGGCGGTTCGAATCCCCGCGGCGGGGTGAGCTCCCGTCGTTCGGTCCCAGCTCCTGCCCACCTAGCAGTTCGAAAGCACCCCTAAGTGCAAGTAGATAAATAGGTACCGCTCTGGCGGGAAGGTAAACGGCGTTTCCGTGCGCTGCGCTGGTGCTGGCTCGCCAGAGCAGCTTCGTCACGCTGGCCACGTGACCCGGAAGTGTCTCCGGACAGCGCTGGCTCCCGGCCTCTAGAGTGAGATGGGCGCACAACCCTAGAGTCGGACACGACTGGCCCGTACGGGCAGGGGTACCTTTACCTTTACCTTTATTGTCTTTTTACGGGGTATTGTTGTTGTTTTGTAAGTATGCTCATTGATGGGACCATATTTGTAGCGTAATGAAGAGTTGGATCTAACTAGGGTCTTCCTCAGAGCTAATCCATTGAAAAAAACTTAAAATTAGCCATGTTGGTCTACTTCAGAGGGGCTACTCTGCTAAAAAAAACCCCAACTTTAAGTGAATATAACCAAGCTTACTCTCAGGTAAGCGTGTAAGGAAAGTGCAACATAAACGCTCCAGGAGGGGCTGGTTGCTAGATCAGGCCAAGGGGAGGGCTCTAGTCCAGTGTGCTGTTCTCACGGTGGCCAAATGCTCCTAAAAACCTAGTAATGTAGATAGACTGCCTCTGGACCTGGAGGTTCCATAAGACCCCACAAGCAGGCCGTGTATAATTAGACTTATTTCATAGCACTGATAAGGGACGTGGGTGGCGCTGTGGTCTAAACCACTGAGCCTCTTGGGCTTGCCGATCAGAAGGTTGGCGGTTCGAATCCCCATGACGGGGTGAGCTCCCGTTGCTCGGTCCCTGCTCCTGCCAACCTAGCAGTTCGAAAGCACACCAGTGCAAGTAGATAAATAGGTACCACTCCGGTGGGAAGGTAAATGGCATTTCCGTGCGCTGCTGTCGTTCGCCAGAAACGGCTTAGTCATGTTGGCCACATGACCTGGAAGCTGTATGCCAGCTCCCTCAGCCAGTAAAGCGAGATGAGCGCCGCAACCCCAGAGTCGGCCGTAACTGGACTTAATGGTCACGGGTCCCTTTACCTTTACAGCACTTGATATCCCACTTGATTGTAAAACAAACCAACTTCCAAGCGGTTTAGGAAAAGAATAAAGCAATTAAATTATCAGTTTTTAAAAAATTAATAAAACCAAGTATTAAAAAAAATCAAAATATATTTAAAGCCAATGGTAAACTAAAAAAAAAAAAATATTTAAATGAATGCCATCATACTACATATGTGGATAATTTTATACACTTCTCTTGTGTCGCCGCTTCTCCAAACTAAAAGCCCCCAAATTTGCAACCTTTCTTTCTGCAGTCCCTTTGACCATTAGAAGTCCTTATGAGAATCTTTATTGGAAAAAAAAAACCATTAACTGGCTGGACTGCAATTCCCAGCTGCCCGTGGGCGAAATCCCCCAAAATGCAACAAGGGAGAAGCTGCCGCCCCCTTTGAAAGCTCAGCCTTTGTTTTTCTGCTCCTGGAAGACTACAACCCCCGTCATGCTGCGGGAGGGACTTGCGTCTAAGCAGAGAGCATGATGGGAAATGTAGTCTCTCGCTCTCCCCAGGCTCCCTGCCACCCCAGGCTGGGAGAAGGCTCATTTTGTGTGTTTGTGCATGTCTAAATGTGCAGCATAATTGAAAATGTGGTGGGTGGGAGATTACTCAGCAGCCCCTTCCAAATACTACAACTCCCAGAAGTCTTTGCGAGAGCAGGTGGGAGGGAGGGGCCAGGGCTAGGCTGGGTTCTGTTTCAACTGCTTGCAACAGAAAGCGCAGCTGCCGGGCAACCTGATGGGGCATAGCTGGATAGGTTAGGGGGCTTTTGCTTTGCAAGAGAGGGCGGAGGGGGGGGGGTGATCTTTCAGAGGAAAAGCGGACCGACGTGGGAGCAGGAGATCCACTGGGGGATCTGGTATCTGGGAGAACAGGAGGAGGCTGGACTGCAATGGGGTGTATCTGAAAGTGAAAGCCCATCTGCACTGAAAGGTTATATTTAGGGGGACGGGAGATTATTTTTTCGGGGTGGGGAAGGGCGAAGGACGTGGAGAGGACACAGCCTCGCTCAGGGGACGGGCCTTGAGGGTGCCTCCTGTGAAATGGGCCTATTTGGCTGCTGCAGGGGTTGGTGGCTGCAGTAGGATCAGCCCTTGAGAGGTCAGCCTTTCCTGGCCTCAAGCTGGGGCCGTCCAGGTAAGGGGAGGGTTGGCAGCTGGGGAATGGCCTCTCCGTCCAAACAGGGGTCTCCCGGCGGGGCAGGGCTGCTGCAAGGGAGCAGGACCCGATCCTACGGCAGCCTGGTCAAGACGGTCAGCTCGCCGGCGCGAGAGAGGCGGCTGGAGCATCGGCTGGAGCCTGCGGACACCCTCCAGGGGTTGGCGGTCAAGTATGGGGTCACGGTGAGTCTGCTTAGAAAGGAGAGGGGGTCATGATCCTTACACGTACGCTCAGAAATGGCTTTTACAGTGTTGTTGTTACCGTTCATATGTAAAGCCCTTAACGGTTTGGGACCAGAATTTTACCTGCGATCGCCTTATCCCATATGCACCGACTCTGCCCCATTTTGCATTTGTAAGAGCTCAGTCTTTGGAACTCCCTGCCACTTGATATTGGGCAGGCGCCTTCGCAGTGCTCTTTTCAGTGCCTGCAAAACAACCATTTTTGTTTAGACTGGCCTACCCAGATGCTTCGAAAGGTGACGTGTGTTTTTAATCTTTTTAGTCTACTGCTAGTTTAACTTTTCGAATGTCTTAAATTATTATTGCTAATTTTTCTTAGCAACAATTTCCTTTCCCCCCTTTTTTTTTGCAAACCACTTTGAGGGGTTTTGGGGGGGGGGCAGGCAAGCAGTATATAAATTTTATGAAATGAATAAAATATTAAGCTATTACATGTACATATGTACACATTATACTTACAGATGAGCAACTCTGAGTAAGCATGCATAGGACATCGCTGCATAGCACCACTGGCTTTTAGCAGCCCCATTTTTAATGTGCATATATATGCTTGTTGGTATAATATAGCTGGAAGGGAAAATTCCACCACGTGCATTTTATGCATTTACCCAGAACTTTGAATGATGGAAGAAGCATACAGCTGGTGGAAATATTCTTTCTGATACAACTTCTGTGGGACAAGAGACATGTATCTTGATGCATTACCTGCTTATTTATGTACCATCAGTAACTATAAGACCTCCTGTGTTAAGCACAACTGTCTTTGGACAAATCCAGCTGATAAATCATTTTAACAGCATATATATATATATATATATATATATACACACATATATAGATTACCTCAAGATTGACTCTAAAATGAAGAGGAGAACCGTCTCCTCCAGAAACCCCTGGAGCTGAGATGCCAGTTCCTTGCTCCGAAATGAGATATTGGAATCTGGCTGATAAATATCCAATACTGTTGAGATTCAGGAAGGGCCTTTTGTTGTTGTTGTTGTTTAGTCGTTTAGTCATGTCCGCCTCTTCGTGACCCCCTGGACCAGAGCACACCAGGCACTCCTGTCTTCCACTGCCTCCCGCAGTTTGGTCAAACTCATGTTGGTAGCTTCGAGAACACTGTCCCACCATCTGGTCCTCTGCCGTCCCCTTCTCCTTGTGCCCTCCATCTCTCCCAACATCCGGGTCTTTTCCAGAGAGTCTTCTCTTCTCATGAGGTGGCCAAAGTCTTGGAGCCTCAGCTTCAGGATCTGTCCTTCCAGTGAGCACTCAGGGCTGATTTCCTTCAGAATGGAGAGGTTTGATCTTCTTGCAGTCCATGGGACTCTCAAGAGTCTCCTCCAGCACCAGAATTCAAAAGCATCAATTCTTCTGTGATCAGCCTTCTTTATGGTCCAGCTCTCACTTCCATACATCACGACTGGGAAAACCATAGCTTTGACAATACGGGCCTTTGTTGGCAAGGTGTTGTCTCTGCTTTTTAAGATGCTGTCTAGGTTTGTCATTGCTTTTCTCCCAAGAAGCAGGCGTCTTTTAATTTTGTGGCTGCTGTCACCATCTGCAGTGATCATGGAGCCCAAGAAAGTAAAATCTCCCGCTGGTCTTTTAGCTGCCTCCTTTAGGTGTGCTAGAATCCTTCCTTGTTGCAATAAGTCACTGACCACTCCCTTCACCCCCTCTGTTCGCCCTTCAGATGAGCCAGGAAAGGCAAGTTGCACATGGTCTAACAGAGCAGATGTGAGGAACCTGTGGCCTTGCTGCCTAAGTTGGAAGCTGTATGCTGGGGATTGCAGGTGGACTCAGGTGATGCTCCGAGCATCTGGGTGGCCACCGTGAGGACAGGATGCTGTCAGGCGTCGGGAAATCTGATCCCTCCCACAGTGGGTAGCCAGTAAGCAGATAACAAGAAGAGTTCCTAAAGGTAAAGGGACCCCTGACCATTAGGTCCAGTTGTGGCCGACTCGGGTTGCGATGCTCATCTCGCTTTACTGGCTGAAAGAGCTGGGGTACAGCTTCTGGGTCATGTGGCCAGCAGGACTAAGCCGCTTCTAGCGAACCAGAGCAGCGCATGGAAACACCGTTTACCTTCCTGCCGGAGAGGTACCTATTTATCTACTTGCACTTTGATGTGCTTTTGAACTGCTAGGTTGGCAGGAGCAGGGAGCGAGCAACGGGAGCTCACCCCGTCGCGGGGATTCAAACCGCCGACTGGCAAGCCCTAGGCTCTGTGGTTTAACCCACAGCACCACCCGCGTCCCTGAAGAGTTCTTACCAAGTCCTTTAATCTATATTCACAGAGAGAGGCTTTGATAAGTGTCCCTCCATTCCAGTAGTGGCATTGCTCTGAGTAAAGTCCCACCTTGGATCAAATCTATGCTTCTAGGTGCCATAAGAAAGCTGCAGAGATAGCGCAGGATAGTGCACACCCCGGAAATGATCTCTTTCAGCTTCTGCCTTCTGGAAGAAGGTACAGGGTTATAAAGACTAGGACTAGCCGCCTGAGAAACAGTTTCTATCCAAATGCGATTTTGGTTTTAAATGCAGTGTAAGGTAGTCTCTTGGGACGCGGGTGGCGCTGTGGTCTAAACCATAGAGCCTAGGGCTTGTTGATCGGAAGGTCGGCGGTTCGAATCCCCGTGATGGTGTGAGCTCCCGTTGCTCAGTCCCTGCTCCTGCCAGTCTAGGAGTTCAAAAGCACGTCAAAGTGCAAGTAGATAAATAGGTACCACTCCGGCGGGAAGGTAAACTGCATTTCCGTGTGCTGCTCTGGTTCGCCAGAAGCAGCTTAGTCATGCTGGCCACATGACCCGGAAGCTTTACGCCGGCTCCCTCGGCCAATAAAGCGAGATGAGTGCCGCAATCCCAGAGTCAGCCACGACTGGACCTAATGGTCAGGGGTCCCTTTCCCTTTAAGGTAGTCTTTGTGGGAGTACAGTCATACCTCGGGTTAAAGATGCTTCAGGTTGAGCGTTTTCAGGTTACGCTCCACAGCGACCCGGAAGTAATGGAATACGTTACTTCCAGGTTTCGCTGCCCGCACATGCGCAGACGCTCAAAATGATGTCACACGCCTGCGTGGAAGCGGCGAATCGTGACCCGCGCATGCGCAGATGCACAGACCTGGGTTGCGTTCGCTTCAGGATGTGAACGGGGCTCCGCAACGTTGTGGCGTATCCCAGCTTGATCAAGCACTTGGCACTGCAAAATTTTAACAACGCTATACTCAGGTGCTCCAGCAAAAAGACAAGGCTCTTGCTCTGCCCAAATTATGCCAAAGTGAGCTCTCCCACTCAATTTCTGCTGTTTTACATGTTTCCACATCCATGAGGTCTAGCAGCTTGCTTTGTTAAATAGCCTTTTATTTAGCAGCTCTCCCCTTTCCATTCCAGACAGAGCAAATCAAGAGAGCAAACCGGCTGTACACCAGCGACTCCATCTTCCTCAAAAAGACTCTCTACATCCCTGTACCGGTAGAACCGAAGGCGCTGTTGTCCAACGGGTTAGATCTCGAGGAAGATGAGGAGGAGAAGGTGGAAGAAGGGGAGACGGGGGCCTTTCAGCCTGAGGCCCCCAAGAAGCAGAAGCATCCGCGGAAGAACGGGGCGTCAGGGGCCTCTGCCCCCAAGCACGACCTCTCTGCCGCGGACTTCCTGTTCAAGCTGGACTCTGAGATCCGCCGATCCAAGCAGGCCGCCACAAAGAAGCTGCGGGAAGGGGGGAGCTCGTGAGTGACCCTGCTTTTTCCCTTTTCCGTGGGTCCCAAGGGTCCTTCCTCCTCTGCTTCCCCCTGCCCCCCCAGATTGGGCTGTGTTGCTCTTCAAGCACGATGCAACAGGAGCATTGTATTTAGGTTGCTCGGAGCAAGTGAGTTAAGCTGCGTTGTGGGAAAAGGGCAGACAGAGGGTTGCGGCGCTCATCTCGCTTTATTGGCCGAGGGAGCCGGTGTACAGCTTCTGGGTCATGTGGCCAGCAGGAATAAGCCGCTTCTGGCAAACCAGAACAGCGCACGGAAACGCCGTTTACCTTCCCGCCAGAGCGGTACCTATTTATCTACTTGCACTTGGACGTGCTTTTGAACTGCTAGGTTGGCAGGAGCAGGGACCGAGCAATGGGAGCTCACCCCGTCGCGGGGATTCGAACCGCCGACTTTCTGATCGGCAAGTCTTGGGCTCTGTGGTTTAACCCAGAGCACCACCCGCATCCACAAGGGGCACAACTGCAAATCCTTGTCAACAGCAGCTGTAGCAGAACACACACCTCTCTCTCTCTCTCTCTCTCTCTCTCTCTCTCTCTCTCTCTCTCATATTTCCCTTTCCCACACTTCAGGGTTTCTGGGAGCGAGCCAGGATCTCCCCACTCCACGGCCGCCTCCTCTCCCTCCTCCTACCAGAACGAGGCTTCTTCCCGCGCTGTCCTGGGCCCCGTGCCCCTCACCAAAATTGCCCGTGCCGACACCCTCCGCGACCAAGAGGACGAAATCTTCAAGCTCTGAGCAGCGCCACTTCCCTCCTTCCGCTGTCCGTGGGGCTCCGGCGACCGCAAGAGACCCTCCCCGTCCCTTTGCCCCCCCACCCCACCGGACCCACCGGTAAGGGGACTCTACCGCTGCAAACAGCCAAGGAGCCGGGAATTGTTTTTGGAGGACGGACGACCCCCGTAGACGGGCGCTTCGGAAGGGGCCTCCGCGGCGTCAGTATCATCGACGACCCATTTCTGCCTCCTGGATTTTGAACAGACTCTTTGTGCGTCTTTGTCTCTGTGTACCTTCGTTTCCTCCCTCCTCCTCCTCCATCATATTTATCACCTGAAGTGCTTTCTCGCCCGTCCTCAAAGTCCGAGGATATCCTTCCCTTAATGCCCCCCCCCGTGGTATATATGGTGCGGCTGGCTGAACGGAAGCGAAGGGGGTGCTGTTGTGCTGTGGGAAACCTCTCCCTTGTTTTCTGATGGTCAGTTTTGGGCTGGGGTGGCCGCCATGGGATCGCCGTTGGGCGAGGGCTTGTTGGGTCCGTGCTCGACTTAACGGTGGGATCCCTGAGCCGTTTCAGCCCACCCTCTTCCACCTCCGAGGCTCCATCTCCTCACCCCGCAGACTTCCGGTCCTCTTGTTGTACTGCCTCCCCTGTGATTAAAACAGCTGGCAGTTTTTGCTGACTTCCAAGTTTGTCTCTGTGCCTGTCTGACTCTGTTTTTTGTCTGCGGCGGTCGCTGGCAGCCTGGGAGCTGCACAGCATGTCCACGAGCAACACACTGGGATTTTGTCCTTGGGGTTTCGCCTCTCCCAGTAAGTGGGATAAAAATAAAAATAAATTTTATTTATACCCCACCCTCCCCGGCCAGAGCCGGGCTCAGGGCGGCTAACACCAATAAAATCACAGTAAAAACATAATAGGGGGGAAAGAGAGGGGGCCCCCAATTTAAAATACAAGTTAAAATGCAATTTAAAATGCAGCCTTATTTTAAAGTAGCTGATAAATCATAAGGGGAGGGAAACATGGGTCAGACCGAGTCCAAACCAAAGGCCAGGCGGAACAGCTCTGTCTTGCAGGCCCTGCGGAAAGATGTCAAGTCCCGCAGGGCCCTAGTCTCCTGTGGCAGAGCGTTCCACCATGTCGGGCCAGTGCTGAAAAGTCCTTGGCCCTAGTTGAAACCAATCTAACCTCCTTGAGGCTCGGGACCTCCAAAGTGTTGTCATTTGTGGACCTTAAGGTCCTCCGCGGGGCATACCAGGAGAGGCGGTCCCATAGGTACGTGGATCCTAGTGTCCCATTGCCTCCCCCCGGTCTAGGGATGCAGTGGAGCAGGCTGCCTTCAGAAGAGGCTACCTGCTGCCCCTCTGCATGAGTCAATGCTCTGGGCTAGATTTCTTTCCCTCTTCAGTGGGGGGCACATAGAGGCCAAGGGGGGCTTTTTACAATAACTTCTTTCACATACCTTAAAAATAAAACCTCCTTCAATATACAATATCCCAGGAATGGGAAGGAGCATACTTCAGGCTGTGGTGTGTGCTGGGATTCCATGGACAGGGGCAGTCTACCTGATGTGCTGAGGCACGCGTTGCCTCTGTGGGGGAATGGGTTAGCCAAACCCAGTTTTGAATGAATGAATGAAAATATTTGCATCAGTCGTTGGCCGTAGCAATAAAACAACAATACGATATGCAGAGTATAAATAAAAAGTCAATTATATAAAATACATTTTAGGGTATTGAATCAATAGTCAAATAGTGGATCTTATTCTGATTGCCCCAGCTCATCTTGATCTGCCAAGAGAAAGGACACTCTGGCAGTGATTGGGCGACCCAAAATGGACAATAAAAGAGGGGTAATAATCTTATTCCTCAAGTCTTTATAAAGAGTGCAAGCCAGAAGGGCATGCGCCACCGATTCGGGACTGCCATCTTCACAGGGACATAAGCGTTTTTCATGTGGAATCTGTTGGAATCGTCCCTCAAGTACAGCCGAGGGCAAAATGTTCAATCTTGCGAGAGTAAAAGCACGTCTATGTTTTAGAATTGCTAGGTTATGCAGCTAGGGTGCCAGAGAGTCAAAATGGGATGGTGGAAAATAGTCATACCATGGGCAAAATTTCCTTATTGTGGCCAAGTTGTTCTGACGCTCAATATCATTTAAAGGTAAAGGTACCCCTGACCATTAGGGACACGGGTGGCGCTGTGGTCTAAACCACAGAGCCTAGGACTTGCCGATCAGAAGGTCGGCGGTTCGAATCCCTGTGACAGGGTGAGCTCCCGTTGCTCGGTCCCTGCTCCTGCCAACCTAGCAGTTCGAAAGCACGTCAAAGTGCAAGTAGATAAATAGATACCGCTCTGGCGGGAAGGTAAACGACGTTTCCGTGCGCTGCTCTAGTTCGCCAGAAGCAGCTTAGTCATGCTAGCCACATGACCTGGAAGCTGTACGCCGGCTCCCTTGGCCAATAAAGCGAGATGAGCGCCACAGCCCCAAAGTCGGTCACGACTGGACCTAATGGTCAGGGGTCCCTTTACCTTTACCCCTAACCATTAGGTCCAGTGGTGGATGACTGGGGTTGCACGCTCATCTTGCTCTATAGACTGAGGGAGCCGGCATTTGTCTGCAGATAGCTTCCTTCAATATCATTTAGGCGCTGACAGATTAGACTGTTTGCTTTACTAAAACCCAAAGTGAGTAGCTGTTGTGGTGATAAACCACAAGAGTGAAATTTTGGATAGACAATTTTAGTCCAGGCTAGCTTGACCTGATCTAGTAGGGTCCTTCACCACTTCAACTCTTTCTCCCACCCACAGGAAACATCCGTGGAATCTGGAATCTGGAATTCCTCCTTTCCTTTTTAATGATTTAGCCTGCAAGAGTTATAACAGCTTAATCAAGCCTCTGTGTCCAAGCACAATCTATCTTTGAATAGCAGATGTTGCTGGTGGCGGTAGAGGGGAAAAACAAGGGAAGTCTGTTTCCTTCCTGTCTTTCTTGTGGGATTCCCGGAAGCAGCTGGCAGGCTGCTCTGTGAAACAGGAAAACTGGTCTGCATGGATCTGCTTCAGGCTTCTCTGTTTGGCAGGACCTGGTGCAGTTCTTGTACACTTAAATCCTCGTTTAAGCACCGATTTGCTTGTTAAAGCTAGATGGAACCTCCGTGGCAGTGTTCAGTCTACCTCCAAATGCCACCTGCTTCCAAATCTAAAAAAAGTTAAGATTCTAGGCCTCATGCTCCTGAGTAAAAAGGATGAGAGAGAAAAGAGGCTTTTCTACCTTTTCCCTAATGCTAGGAACTGGGAGAGCCCACGCAATGGAGCTGAATGTGGACGGATTCAAGACAGTCAAAAGAAAGCGTTTCTTGACATGGGAGCATAGTGAAACTATGGAATTGGGTGCTGCGGGAGGCAATGAGGGCCAGCAACTTGGGTGACTTTAAAAGAGCATCAGAGGATAAAAAGGCGGTTGGAGGATGGATGGCGGCTAACAGATTGAGGTTGAATCCTGACAAGACAGAAGTACTGTTCTTGGGGGATGGGGACGGGCGGGAGTGGAGGACTCCCTGGTCCTGAATGGGGTAACTGTGCCCCTGAAGGACCAGGTGCGCAGCCTGGGAGTCATTCTGGAAGCACAGCTGTCCATGGAGACGCAGGTCAATTCTGTGTCCAGGGCAGCTGTCTACCAGCTCCACCTGGTACGCAGGATGAGACCCTACCTGCCTGCGGACTGCTTTGTCAGAGTGGTGCATGCTCTAGTTATCTCCCGCTTAGACTACTGCAATGCGCTCTACATGGGGCTACCTTTGAAGGTGACCCAGAAACTGCAATTAATCCAGAATGCGGCAGCTAGACTGGTGACTGGGAGCGGCCGCCAAGACCACATAACACCGGTCTTGAAAGACCTACATTGGCTCCCAGTATGTTTCCGAGCACAATTCAAAGTGTTGGTGCTGACCTTGAAAGCCCTAAACGGCCTCGGTCCAGTATATCTGAAGGAGCGTCTCCACCCCCATTGTTCAGCCCGGACACTGAGGTCCAGCGCCGAGGGCCTTCTGGCGGTTCCCTCACTGCGAGAAGCCAAGTTACAGGGAACCAGGCAGAGGGCCTTCTCGGTGGTGGCGCCTGCCCTCTGGAACACCCTCCCACCAGATGTCAAAGAGATAAACAACTACCAGCCCTGTTTAGGGAAGCTTTTAATGTTTGAGGCATTACTGTATTTTAATATTTGGTTGGAAGCCGCTCAGAGTGGCTGGGGAAGCCCAGCCAGATAGGCAGGGTATAAATAATTGTTGTTGTTGTTGTTATTTATAGCTACCACTATACGGGCCACTGTGAGAACAGGATGCTTGAACAGCTACAGGGCTGTTTGGGTGTTCTTATGGAACCTTCAGGTTCAGATGCAGTCTATCCAGATCAGGCATAGGCAAACTCAGCCCTCTAGATGTTTTGAGACTACAGTTCCCATCATCCCTGACCACTGGTCCTGTTAGCTAAGGATGATGGGAGTTGTAGTCCCAAAACATCTGGAGGGCTGAGTTTGCCTATTCCTGATCTAGGTTGTCAGGGGTAGTTGATTACCTCCCAAGGTGAGCTAAGCCCGGCAGGACAGCTTACTCTATGGTTTTAACCCCTTCAGGCAGGTCTCTCATGGTCTTCTCATGAGCATTTTTGCCCAAAGGAAACAAGTCAGTCAGTGGAGCCAGGATGATGGGCTCCACAGTCCTTGCCGGCATTCAAGCTAAGACTACTCTCACCTGCCCCGTATTAACAAAATAGTTGGCAACAAGCAACATTGGATAGGGAGTGGGTTGGGAAGGGGAGAAAATTGCTCTGATTAATATTGCAATTGCACTTCTTGAAGCAAATCGTGGCTATTATTCCAAATTCACACTTTTCTTAATTTTGTGATGGGGTTCTCCAAGGAGGAGGGGTGGGGAACCTGGAGAGAAAAAAGGAGAATGTTGCTGCTGCTGTTTATTACCGGTCCTTCACCCCAAGGTGCCAGGGAAGATTACAACGTTTAAATGCAATATTAGCAGTTTAAAACAACTTACAATCGCAGAAATAGCTTGGGTCCTAAAAAACCCCCCAGATCTCTCCGGTCTCAAATAATGCGAAAGGTAGGCAAAGCGATGTACAGAAACGCCTTATATTGCAGGGAACGGCTTGCAAAAATGTGTTTGCGAGACAGAATCCTGTGCATTGGGATAAATGCATGCCAAAAAATGCTAGAGAATTTCCACGAGGACTTTCCTTTTTTTAAAAAAAAAAAATTGCAAGCGGCTGTTTAAATCTGAGGAGCTGAAGAAGGACAAATGACAAAGCTATTGAAACAAAAACAGGTCATTTCCCAATCTCCCTATCCTAGGCGGCAGGTGAGTCTGCTGGGGGCTCATGGTTTTGGCTGCCCCTTCTTCTTCTGCCCTGCCATGGCTGCCTGTCTTAAGGAAAGGGGAACACTCTGTGCATTGGAAAAGAAACCTTTATTTGTTTGGTTTTCAGTCTGCGCAATCCCTGAGTCGAAATCCCTGAGATCTTCAGCAAAACTCTTCTCAAGCAACGAAAGAGAGAGCAACCCGTTTTTTTGCTGCAAGCTAGTCCTCCTCTGGGGCAGCTGTCCAGAGTGCTGATCTTGCAGCCAAGGATGGACTGTTGCCTGCAACTCAACAAGGCCGCAATACATTTAAAGCTCTGGGCCTGCCGCTTTAAACAGCCGTGGCTCCCTCCCCCCGAGACATCCTGGGAACTGTAGTTTGCCAAGGGTGATAAGCGTTGTTAGGAGACCTCCCAACCCCCCAGGAGAGCTACGATTCCCAGAGCGGTTTAGCAAACGGTCCCTTTTCCTAGGGAACGCTTTCCCATCAACTGGCGCCTGAGCTCTATGATTCCCATCAACCTCGTCAGATACCACCATGATCAACAGCCAGAGGTGGTGATACAGGCGTCGAAATTATCTGTGACTTCAGAGGAGAAGCAAATAATAATAATAATAATAAAATAGTGGCAAGGTCTCTCCTCCTCCCCCCGCACCAAACATAACAAAGTAAACATCCGCAAACAGCATTTAAAGAATATAAAACGCAACATTTCTTCTCATTGATGATGGACCAGGAAGGTTTGGGATAGAGCTCCGGTGTACGCAGCCAGAGGTGGTTTTGCGGTTTACTGCCCATCACTCTCCCCTCTGGATTTTTCGAAACTCGGTTTTCATCTCCAAGTTTCTAGTCCTTACCGGCTGCAGAGATGAGCTGTGGAACACACAGGCTTCTGAAGACATCGGAAGGGAGGCTGGGAGGGGCTGAGTTTCTGTTAGGGCCACCCCGCAAACAAGTTCTGTGGGTGCTACCGGCCTGCCAAAGAGATCACAAGAAGCACCCCTCGCCTTGTTTTCTCACGACAGGGTGAACCCATTTATTCTTCTCCAGCTGGCCTGATCCAACAGGGCTCGTCTCATGCCCTGATGGAACCTCCAGGCCCAGAAGCAGTCTACCTGGACCCCTAGCTTCTTATAGGCATTTGACCACCGTGAGAATGGATGAGTCCTGTTATGTACTGAAGTTCTCACCCTGGGCCAGCAGGGGGATACTGTAGATAGTTATGCAAATGAAGGTTCAGTGATTGGATAGTTTTAGAAAGTTGTTACAGTAACGTGGTACTGGAGCTCTATATAAGCAGGCTGACTGACCCTTCAGTTCTGTCCTGGCCTGTGAATAAACAGGCTGTGTCGTCTGATATGTTTACCCATATCGCTGTGTCGCCTGATATGTTTACCCACAACTTAACAAGTCCCCTCTCGCTTGATCCAGCAGGGCTCTCTTCTTATGGAGCCCCCAGGTCCAGAGGCAGTCTATCTGAATCCCTAGGTCCGTGAAGGATTTGGCCGATGTTAAATTTTGTGTCTCCCCCTCCCCACCCCTCGTGTGTGTTCCTTCCCACCTATTTTCTCCTCTCCTCCTCCTCGGTGGGTTTCACAACTTCCCCTCGTCGATGAGACGGTTCATCCCCTCGCAGATCTTCTTCAGCCGCGGCTGGTAGGGCTCCCCGGGACTGTAGAGCTTGGCTAGGAGCTCCGTGTCGGCGAAGTGGTCGAAGACGTGCCGGATGCGCCCGTGAGACTTGGGCGTCAGGTGCTTCTCGACCAGCCGGAGCAGCAGGTCTCGGCAATCTCTCAGCAGCTCAGCCAGGACAGCCTTCTCGAAGGTGAACTCCACTTCGTGGAAGCTGATGGCCGTCATGGCTCCTTGGTGGAGTTTCCTCTTAAACTCCTCCGCCAGGCCCAGCTCCTCGGGGCTGAAGCGGTTGTTGCGGTACAGGACGGAGATCTTGACCGCCACTTTGATCAGGTTCTTGATGACCTTTTGGGACTCGGTCCGGTTCTGCGTGTACTCCTTGGAGATCCGGTAGAGCTCGTCCAGGATCTCGCTGCTGGTATCGTCAATGAACATATTGGCCATGGACTTGCTGGCCATCCGGCTGAGAATCTTCTTCTCGGCTTGCATGGCCAAGTTGCGGGAGCTGAACGCCTCCATCGTGGCTGCCTGGAAAAGGCAACGGAGAGGTTTTATAAGGCTGTCTGGACTTGCCCCAGGATAACCCTCCTCTCCCCAGGCCACTGTTAAGGATAATTACTTAATTTCCCGAAATGGGAATATTTACTTACATTAAATTACTGTGTACTTTTAACATGGGGTTTCCCCCCTCTAATGTGATATGCTGACTGTGAGTCACATGAGAACGGCATTCCGTTTCTGTTGTGACTGTTATTCCACTAACTGTCGTTATTAACTGGCTTCTGTTTGTGTGTGAGAGGGAGAATGGCTGCTGAGAGAGACTTCTCGGGACAGTGTTGTGTCTGTGTGATCTGTCTGAACATTCTCCGTGTCGAACCAGAATTCGGAGGTGAGGAATATAGGAGTTATCTGTGGGATAACCAGCTCAATATCACCAACATGCTTAAGTCTTAATTAATACATGAAGGGGTTAAAACCATAGAGTAAGCTGTTCTGCCAGGCTTAGCTCACCTTGGGAGGGACTTAGGTAATCAAGACTTTGTTCCCCTCCAATCTACCTGAGAAACTCAATGAGCTGGTTGCTCCAAGCTCAGACCGCATGGCTCTTACAAGCCATTCTTGTGTTCCTATACCAATAATTTAAGAACTTTCAGCACTGTAATGAAGCTATGTTTTACTGCCTGTGCATTGTTTTCTGAATGCTGTATGGAAAAAGCACATGAACATGACTTTAAGAGAGTTTGTAAGTAAACCATTTTAACTTACCAAACATGTCGCCTTTTTCTAGGGGAAGAGGGGACTATTCTGGAGCTCATTCACAAGAGCATATTTTAAAAGCCTCACAACCTATGTTTCCACACTTATTTTGTGATTTTAAATCTCTAGAAGGGTTCTCTTACCAAAGAGTACTTGCCCCAAACCTGGATCTTGGCTTCCATGGAATTCTGCTTTTATATAATTTTCTCCCCCCTTGCCACCAACAAAATCAAGGGTTGGGCATGCAGCCCTTGGGGTAATTTCACGGGGGTGGGGATAGCACTGAGGGAGAGGAGCAAAGCAGGGAAAGTGGGTGGTGGGTGACAGAAAGAGAGAGAGAGAGAGAAACAGACAGACAGACAGACAGACAGACAGACAGACAGACAAACAGAGAGAAGTCTATAACACTGTCTACCAGTGGCTCTGGCCTTGCCCACTGTCAGCATGCAGCCCCAGACAGATACTCATTTTTGCTGCAGCAGCAAAAAAATCCATTGCAATTCTAGGCTGCATTGACAGAAGTCTAGTGTCCAGGTCAAGGGGAGTGATAATACAGTGGTAGCTCCAGTTGCAAACAGGATCCGTTCCGGAGGCCCATTTGGAACATGAAAAGAACACAACCTGCAGCGGCGCATCTGCGCACACGTGGGTTGCGATTCGCTGCTTCTGCGCATGGGCGTGACATCGTTTTCTGTGTCTGCGCATGCGTGAGTGGCAAAACCCGAAGTAACCCTTTCCAGTACTTCTGGGTCGCTGCGGGATGTAACCTGAAAGAACGTAACATGAAGCAGACGTAACGTGAGTATGACTGTACTGCTGTATTCTGCCTTGGTCAGATCCCACGTGGAATTATGCGTCCAGTTGTGGGCACCACAATTTGAGAAGGATATTGATGAGCTGGAAGGTGTGCAGAGGAGGGCGACCAAGATGATCAAGGGTCTGGAAACCAAGCCTAATGAGGAATGGTTGAGGAAGCTGGGTAGATATGCTAGTCAGCTTCAAATATCTGAAGCCGTCACATGGGCCGTCACATGGGAGATGGAGCAAGCTTGTTTTCTGCTGCTCTGGAAGGTAGAACCCAAATCAACGGCTTCAAGGTACAAGAAACAAGATTCCAATGAAGCACCAGGAAGAACTTTCTGAGAGTAAGAGTGGTGGACTCTCCTTCCTTGGAGGTTTGTAAGCAGTGGTTGGATGGATGCTTTAGCTGAGATGCCTGCATTGCAGGGGTTTGGTCTAGATGACCGCCATGGTCCCTTCCAATTCTACAATTCTATGATTCTATTAATGTGGCCCTCGACAGAAATATATATGTATACAGTCATACCTCGGGTTACAGCCACTTCAGGTTGCGTGTTTTTGGGTTATGCACCCACTAAAACCCGGAAGTACCATAATAATAATAATAATAATAATAATAATAATAATAATAATAATAATTTATTTATACCCCGCCCATCTGGCTGGGCCTCCCCGGCCACTCTGGGCAGCTTCCAACAAAACACCAAAATACAATAACCTATTAAACATTAAAAGCTTCCCTAAACAGGGCTGCCTTCAGATGTCTTCTAAAAGTTTGGTAGTTATTTTTCTCTTTGACATCTGGTGGGAGGGCGTTCCACAGGGCGGGTGCCACCATCGAGAAGGCCCTCGGCCTGGTTCCCTGTAACTTGGCTTCTCGCAGGGAGGGAACTGCCAGAAGGCCCTCGGCACTGGACCTCAGTGTCTTCTCAGGTTACTTCCGGGTTTTTGGCAGTCACGCATGCGCAGAAGCACTAAATCACACTTTGTGCATGCGCAGAAGCTCCGAATCGCAACCCGTGCGTGCGCAGATGCGCCGCTGCGGGTTGCGAATGTGCATCCCGCACGGATCACGTTCGCAACCGGAGCGTCCACTGTACATTCCGCACTCCTGCAATAAAGGAAGGGTGTATGCGTGCGTTTCTACGAGAGGGGTGCGTGTGGAGAGAAAATATATTCTCATCCATCTATGGGACACTGGAAGCAGCCAACATCTGCGGAACTGACCGCAGGAAGGTATCTTTGCATGCTCAGATAAGGAACAAGGTGGTTGATGCTGGGCATGAACGACGGACCCAAAATGCCGGCTGAGTTCGGAAGAAGCTAAATCTGAGAGTTTCGGAGTGATGTGGCAAACCGGGGCAGTTCTGCATTTCTGCACATGACGTGCCTGTGGTTTTTGCTCTCTGTGAGGAAGTGGGCCTCAGATAACTCTTGATTTAAGACTCCGCTGCTTTGGCAGAAAGACGGACGAACGCGGCTACCCCTCTGGGAACCGAACCTACCTTAACTCTTTTAAAAATTTAATTGCAATGATTTAATCTCTGCTTGGTCTCTCCGTACCTCTTCAATCGGGTGAGATGTTCTGGGGTGTCCAGTGAAGAACGTGGGGTTGTGGCAGTCTTCGTGCGCCGACACTGCGACGGAACAGGCCTCTCCTTCCTCTCCTGTGAACCAGCGCACCGCCAAATCTCCAAATGCGGCTTGCAGCGCAAAGCTGATTTTTTCTGTCGCCTCTTCTTTTTAAAACCAGCGTGCGAGGGGGATCTGCAAGGCACCGTTGCAGCCCTGCCTTCTCACGATGCCTCAGAATATATTTTTAAAAGTCAGCGTTTCCTTCCCTTCTCTTCTCCTCGCCACCCCCACAGATGCAATGGGGTTTCCTGTTTTTATCCTTCTGTCACAAGCCAACAAGCTCAGCTCCTTCCTGAAGTCTGTTTCAGAGTTTCAAGGTGGCGGCTGAGCGGCACACAATAGAGCCCTCCTGACCTTTCGCTCTGACCCTCTGCCCAATTGCCGTATTTTTTGCCCTATAAGACGCACCAGACCACAAGACGCACCTAGTTTTTGGAGGAGGAAAACAAGGAAAAAAATATTCTGAATCTCAGAAGCGAGAACAGCAAGAGGGATTGCTGCGCAGCGAAAGCAGCGATCCCTCTTGCTGTTCTGGCTTCTGGGATAGCTGCGCAGCCTGCATTCGCTCCATAAGACGCACACACATTTCCCCTTACTTTTTAGGAGGGAAAAAGTGAGTCTTATAGAGCAAAAAATACGGTACTTTCTTTTTTTGGGATGAACATCTTGAGTGAGAGAATCATCAGCCCCGGGGAAAGGCAGAGTCGAGGTCCCTGTTCGCAAGGAAAACTTTTTGGTGGTGGCTGGCATGACGAGAGCCTCCAGTGTTCAGTAGCGGGGAAATGTAGTCCCTTACGATCTGCTCACGCCACACCTTGCAATGCTTCTTGGATCCTTGAAGGAGAGGGCTGCGCTGCTCAGTGGTTAGAGCACCTGCTTTGCATGCAGAAGCTCAATCCCCAATGGCATCATTGTGGTTGGACTTCGTAGAATCGTAGAGCACCCAAGACAGATGGCCGTCCAACCTCGACTTAAGGCAGTTTCCGACACTTCTGTTTAAATCAGCCCCTTATATCGGGACAATGAAGACTGGAACCTTATTTTCTTTTTGAAGGAAAGCTGCAGAACTCAATGGTTCAAGTACAGTGGTACCTCTACTTACGTTCACCTCCGGTTACGTATCCTTCGGGATACATAAGCGGCAAACCTTCTGGTGGTTCCCTCACTGCGAGAAGCCAAGTTACAGGGAACCAGGCAGAGGGCCTTCTCGGTGGTGGCACCCGCCCTGTGGAACAGCCTCCCATCAGATGTCAAAGAGATAAACAACTACCTGACATTCAGAAGACATCTGAAGGCAGCCCTGTTTAGGGAAGCTTTTAATGTTTGAGGCATTACTGTATTTTAATATTTGGTTGGAAGCCGCCCAGAGTGGCTGGGGAAGCCCAGCCAGATGGGCAGGGTATAAATAAATTATTATGATTATGATTATTATGATTATGATTATTATAGCTCTGCTTTGCAGGCAGGCAGTCCCAATAGGCATATCTAGGTAAGAGGCCCCTGTCTAAAACCCTGGAGACCACCTGCCAGTAAGTGCGGGGAACACTCAGCTAGATGAACCCCACCGGCCTGACTCTGACAAAGGCATCACCCTCTCTTCTTCCTGTGTTCCAGATCCTTGTGTGGTTTGTAAAGGGAAAAAAAAAGAGTAACAAAAAAGATTCTTGCAGCTACATCCTTGCCGCTTGCATATCCTGTCCCCTTTTAACGATTCCTCTGTTCCAAGAGGAGGTTGCTAATTAGCTGGCTGACGAGCTGCAGTTTAGCCTTGCCACTTAATGGCTTCCTGGCTCAGTGTAATAATAAATGAGTGTGTCTTAATTGCAGGGGACTGAAATAGACATCCTTGACGGTGTGTGGACCCAGGCGCAAGCCCTCAGAAGGCGTATGTGGGAGCAGAACCATTTCCTCTAGGTGTGCCACCTCCCCCTACTGTATCCTGGCAGGGTCTGGGTAGCTGAGCAGCGGGCAGAAATCCAACAGGTGCAGCCCTCGTACGTTCCTCTCGTTCTGTGAGGGCTGGGTCCCTCAGCTAGAGTCACAGCAAGGCGACATAAAATGAGGGTCCCCATTCCCAGCTGTCTCCTCAACGCCGTGCTCAGGTTAGTGGCAACAGCAGCAGAAACAGGCAGCCTGCGAGGCGAAACTATTTTTCCACACTTCCGCCATCTCAGCGAAAAGAAGAAAAGCGGAACTTGAAAGGCGTCGATGGGGAAATGCGAGCGAAGCTTTTGAAATTGGGGACAGCATGGGGAGAGAAGGGGGTGGGGAAGGACTTTCCTGTCTCGCAAGCGTGGAATTTAGGGTTTTTTCCCGAGCGAATTTGATTGGCGGGAGGCCCTAAAAGTCGACTTGTGGTTGACCTGTGGAACTTCCTGCCACATGACGGGGTGGCGGCTGCTAGGTTAGCCTGCCGTTCAAAGAAAGGGTTGCACAGATTCTTGGAGAGGCTTCGTCTGTCTAGACTCGGAACCTCCATATACAGGGATAGGCTACCTTTTGGAACATTTGATAGCGGGGACAAATAGTGGCAGGGAGCTTTCTCAGGGAGACACCTGGCTGTCCACAGTGTCGGGAACCAGGGTGCAAAACAAGATGGAACTATTTGGATCTGATACGGCAAAGCGGTTCTTATAGGGCTGAGGCAAGCTGTCCTCACGTTGGAAAACTGTGGCCTACTCCCTTTGCCAAAGGTCTTGGAAACTGAAAAAAGGGCTAATCTGTCCCTCACCCATGCATCACCTTTGTGCAGCTGTGTTTTAAAGCCTTGAGGGCTAGCGCCTTGCTGTACACACTCCAAAGAAAGTAAGGCACTCTACCATGCACCCAGAACCATTCTCTCCATTTGGATAGCATTGTGGCCAAATGTCCACAGCCCTGGAAGATGCCCTCTGGCAAACACAAGACAGAAGTACTGTTTTGGGGGGACAGGAGGCGGGTGGGTGTGGAGGATTCCCTGGTCCTGAATGGGGTAACTCTGCCCCTGAAGGACCAGGTGCGCAGCCTGGGAGTCATTTTGTACTCACAGCTGTCCATGGAGGCACAGGTCAAATCCGTGTCCAGGGCAGCTGTTTACCAGCTCCATCTGGTATGCAGGCTGAGATCCTACCTGCCCGCGGACTGTCTCGCCAGAGTGGCGCATGCTCTGGTTATCTCCCGCTTGAACTACTGCAATGTGCTCTACGTGGGGCTACCTTTGAAGGTGACCCAGAAACTACAACTAATCCACATTGTGGCAGCTAGACTGGTGACTGGGAGCGGCCGCCGAGACCATATAACACCCGTCTTGAAAGACCTACATTGGCTCCCAGTACGTTTCCGAGCACAATTCAAAGTGTTGGTGCTGACCTTGAAAGCCCTAAACGGCCTCGGTCCAGTATATCTGAAGGAGCGTCTCCACCCCCATCGTTCTGCCTGGACACTGAGGTCCAGCGCCGAGGGCCTTCTGGCAGTTCCCTCGCTGCGAGAAGCCAAGTTACAGGGAACCAGGCAGAGGGCCTTCTCGGTGGTGGCGCCCGCCCTGTGGAACGCCCTCCCACCAGATGTCAAAGAGAACAACAACAACCAGACTTTTAGAAGACATCTGAAGGTAGCCCTGTCTAGGGAAGCTTTTAATGTTTGATGTATCACAGTATTTTAATATTTTTTTGGAAGCCGCCTAGAGTGGCTGGGGAAGCCCAGCCAGATGGGCGGGGTATAAATAATAAATTATTATTATTATTATTATTATTATTATTATTATTAATAATTTCTACATTCTGCCCACATGTGGTCTCATCTTAAAGGACGATAACCATTCAGACTAGCTTCCCAGCAGTGCTAAGTTTCAACATTGCAGCGGGTTGGACTAGCGAACCCTTGGCGTCCCAACTCTACGATTCTGTCGCGCTTCTCATGGGCCTTTGGCGCATTAATTCCCATGTGCCCAGCCTCAAATGCCTGAGGTCTATTTACTCAGCATGGGGTGCCGATGCACTCTGCCCATGCCCAGGGGCGCTGCGGTTCTCTTGGAAGACTTAGCCTGCCCTAAGCAAAAGCCCTGACTTAGAAGCTTAGCTTCTGGGGCCGAAGTTTTCCCTGATCTTAACCTGCGGACACACTTCCCGGTTTTTCGTTCTCTCGCCGCCCCGGTGACTCAACCCCGCCGACTTGTTGCGGCTCGCCCGGGAGGAGCACGAATGCTCAGCGTTTGTTGAAAACAGAAAAGAGACCAGCGGGCGTCTCCTTCCCCAAACAGACCTGCCTTCTCTGCCCCTTGCTCTGAAGCACCTCTGTTATTAAGCCCTCCCGGCAAAGCGCGCCTCACTCACCGTGGGACCACGATGCTCTGCAAGTCATGCGAGCGGCCCTCCGCCAGTCCTCGAGGAGCGAAAGGAGAAGCAGCCCGGACCCAGCAGGCAGGAGCGAGACTCTCGGGTGGCCTCGGGGAGACTTCCTCGAGTGACAGGCCCGCCCTATGTCAGCTGACGGATCTCGGCTTCATTCTTCACAGGCGGAAAGCACAGCTGCCTGTTGAAAGGTGCCCAGGGAGCAGAGCGACTGGCCGGCCGCCTCGACCGTCTGCATATTTTGTGACCTGCTCTGTTAGCATCTGTAGCCTGGAGGCTTCCCCACCCACTCCTGCTGGGAGGTTCAGCTCCAGACTTGACCAGACAAGGCCTAACCTGCATACCTGAGCGTGTGTATTTCTCTGCGTCGCTGGCGCCCACGGGGATGCCGGTGCAGGGCCTTGGCGGCAGCGGCGTCTGATTGGGCAGAGCATTTGGTTCATTTATTTATAATAATAATAATTTCTTATTTATACCCCGCCCATCTGGCTAGGCTTCCCCAGCCACTCTGGGCGGCTTCCAACAAAATATTAAAATACCATAATCCATCAAACATTAAAAGCTTCCCTAAATAGGGCTGCCTTCAAATGCCTTCTAAAAGTCTGGTAGTTGTTGTTCTCTTTGACATCTGGTGGGAGGGCGTTCCACAGGGCGGGTGCCATCACCAAGAAGACCCTCTGCCTGGTTCCCTCCTAACTTGTAAATTTACTGTATTTTTCCATGTATAATACTATATCCCCCCCCCCCACGTTTTTTTAGGTTTAAAATTGGGGCTTCGTCTTATACACGGAATGTTGCAATTAAATATATAAATAAATTTATTTCTTCATTTTGGGCTCAAAAAATAAGGGTCGTCTTATACATGGGGGCATCTTATACACAGAAATATATGGTACAGTGGTACCTCGGGTTAAGTACTTCGTTCCAGAGGTCCATTCTTAACCTGAAACTGTTCTTAACCTGAAGCACCACTTTAGCTAATGGGGCCTCCTGCTGCCGCCGCGCCGCTGGAGCACGATTTCTGTTCTCATCCTGAAGCAAAGTTCTTAACCCGAGGTACTATTTCTTGGTTAGCGGAGTCTGTAACCTGAAGCGTCTGTAACCTGAGGTACCACTGTATTTCATCACGTAGCGCAGCGGTTCTCAACCTGTGGGTCCCCAGGTGTTATTGGACTACAACTCCCATCATCCCTGACCACCGGTCATGCTGGCTAGGAATGATGGGAGTTGTAGTCCAACAACATCAGGGGACCCACAGCAGCGGAAAAAAAGGAGACAATAAAATTGTGGGTTGGAAACAGCTAAAAACAAACACTCGAAAGCGTTTGCACCGTTAAACCGAAAACAGGCAAAACTCACACATCAACAGGGTTGTGTTGCCTGAAGAAAAAATGCTTTTAGCGGGTGCTGAAAAGAGTACAGCGAAGGGGCCTGCCGGATGCGTCAATGGGCAGGGAGTTCCGAAGTACTTTTATATGGCGCCCCGCCATATTATTTCCCTGTTTTACGAGGTCTCGTAAGCGAAAGGGAAGAGGGGGGAAGGGAAGAGGATCTCTGCCCTCAGGGAGTTGACAATCTATGCTGGACGTTGGAATGTGGCAGAGGGGAGGGGACAGGAAGAGGTGAAGGCCGAACATGGGCCAAGGGACAAGTCTCTGCCCGCAAGGCGCTTACACAATCTCAGTTCGACTGTAAGAAACGGGTGGGAGAGAGAAAGGCGAGCAGTTCAAGGGCTGAGCATGAATGAAAAATCTCTCTCTCTCTCTCTGAGAGTTTGGTTCCAGTGTGGGGTGTGTGACAAAAATGGGGTTCAGCCAAAGACCTCGTGGGAAAGGAGGGTTGGAGGAGAAATTGTCTGGCCTGGGACTCTTACTCCCCTCCAACCTCCTAGGAAGGGGTCAGCCCACCACTGGGGTGTTATTTTGGGAGCCTCATTTGAAGAAGGACGTTGAACATCCTTAGTGTAACCAGCAGGGGTTAACCAGGTTGGTGAAGATAATGGCCCAATGACAGTCAGAAATCAGATTCAGGCCCAGAAGCGCAATAGATTTATAGCACGATGATAGCCCTTTAAACAGCCATGGCTTCCCCCAAAGCATTCTGGGAACTGTAGTTTGTTAAGGGCCCTATTTTATTTCCCAGGCCTACATTTCCCAGAGTTTCCTGGGAAGAGAGATTGGTTGTTGGAGCACTCTGGGAATTCTAGCTCTGTGGGGGGAATGTGTGTGTGTGTCTACTAACAACTCTCAGCTGCGCTCTTAACAAACTACAGTTCCCATGATTCTTTGGGAATGACTGTTAATGTGGTCTGTACAGTGCAAATGGGGACCTCAGTTTGGAGTTAAGGCTGAAACTATTTCCACTTTCCAAAACAATGCAGAAATGCAACCAGCCTTTGAAATTTGCATTTTGAATTTTGCAACACAGTTCTCTAGCGAGGTCTCCAGGGGTAAAGAGGGAACTTAAATCCTTAAGTATGAATGAGCCTCGCGTACAGAAATGCATTACGTTAGGGAAAATTGTGTTGGGTTCGGCCAAACCCCACATCCCAATGCGATTTGGGTCAGCTCAGGATTTGACCATAGAGGGGTTGGGTTAGGCTGGCCCAGGGTCACATCAGGGCTGCTCCAAAGCGCTGGATCTGGCCCCAAATTGGATTGTGTGTGTGTGTGTGCACACACACACAGCCCTAGTTTTTAAGCAGTGTCTGGAGGACTGTTGGTCAAGGATGTTGGAGTCTGCAAGAATCCTGCACACAGCCTTGGTTATCCGGATGACCTCTAAGGTCCTCAGGTCCTCCTGGTGGGCTTAGCCACTTCAGAGGTCCAGGTGCTGGATGAGATGGGTCTTTGGCCCCGATCCATAGAATAGAATCATTGAATCATAGAGTTGGAAGAGACCACAAGGGCCATCGAGTCCAATCCCCTGCCAAGCAGGAAACACCATCAGAGCACTCCTGACATATGGTTGTCAAGCCTCTGCTTAAAGACCTCCAAAGAAGGAGACTCCACCACACTCCTTGGCAGCAAATTCCACTGTCGAACAGCTCTTACTGTCAGGAAGTTCTTCCTAATGTTTAGGTGGAATCTTCTTTCTTGTAGTTTGGATCCATTGCTCCGTGTCCGCTTCTCTGGAGCAGCAGAAAACAACCTTTCTCCCTCCTCTATGTGACATCCTTTTCTATATTTGAACATGGCTATCATATCACCCTTTAACCTTCTCTTCTCCAGGCTAAACATGCCCAGCTCCCTTAGCCGTTCCTCATAAGGCATCGTTTCCAGGCCTTTGACCATTTTGGTTGCCCTCCTTTCCAGGCAGGCTCTTCACTTGCAACGATTTCTCTGTTTCTTCATTTATTCATCGCCTCTTAAACCACCATCTCAAGGCAGTTTGCATATACCATAATTAAAAACCAGAAAAACAACAACAGGAAATGCTTTTAAAGCACGACCGAAACCTTAACAAATGTGTCCCACCTCGTCTGGCTGGCGTGGGGTTTGATTCGGTAGCTGTTTCGCTTCACAGAAGCAGCGTGATTGATTGATTTAACGTTTTACTGATTCTCTCCGAAGCCGTCTTGTCCTCCCCTCCCGGAAATCGAAAGTTTCCGTGATGGACGAGTGAAAGGAGGGAGGCTGATTATTTTTCTGAGCACCGAGAAAGGCAGATAAATCTTTTTAAGGGGATGGAAACGCTTTCTCCCACGCTGTGCTGAAGAGGAGACCTGTTGAGCAGCGGCGCATGCTCGCCCCCAAATCACAGGGGCAATTTCACCCCCTTTCTTCTTCTGGCTGATCTTTGCTGATTGGGCAGATAGCTTTGGGGTTTCTAAATAAGACTCCTTCTAATGCTTGACACGCAAATGCGTGGTGGTGGTTGCGACTGCGTAGAGGAAGCACCCAGCAAAACCGCAAGAAGCCGAGAGGAAGCCACGAGGCAGGGTGAGGGGCAGATAAGGGGAAGTTTTGCTGAGCGGAGACTTCATAAAGCGGTGGGGGTTGTGTTTGTTTAATCAGTCCATCGGAACTGCAGAAAATGCAAAATATACAAGGGGAGGGGTGCCTCAGCAGAGGAGAAAGCCATTGGCAGCTGTGCGAAATAATAATAATAATTAATATTTTTTTTTATTTACATCCCACCCTCCCCAGCCAACAGAGCCTAGGACTTGCCGATCAGAAGGTCGGCGGTTCAAATCCCCACGACGGGGTGAGCCTCCGTTGCTTGGTCCCTGCTTTTGCCCACCTAGCAGTTCAAAAGCACGCCAAAGTGCAAGTAGATCAATAGGTACCACTCCAGTGGGAAGGTAAACGGCGTTTCCATGCGCTGCTCTGGTTTGCCAGGAGCGGCTTAGTCATGCTAGCCACATGACCCGGAAGCTGTACGCCGGCTCCCTCGGCCAGTAAAGCGAGATAAGCTCTGCAACCCCAGAGTTGGTCACGACTGGACCTAATGGTCAGGGGTCCCTTTACCTTTACCTTTACCTTTACCTTTACTCCCCAGCCGAAGCTGGGCTCAGAGCGGCTAACAACAATAAAAGTAACACAACATTCTAAAATCAATTCAAAATCAAATTAATGGCAACCCTGGGCTAGAGTTCTGTGAAGATTACCGAAGGAGAGAGGGGGTCAGATTCTGCCTTGGGCAAAGGCCTGGTGGAACAGCTCCATCTTGCAGGCCCTGCGGAAAGATGTCAAGTCCTGCAGGGCCCTAGTCTCTTGGGACAGAGCGTTCCACCAGATCGGGGCCACAGCCAAAAAAGCCCTGGCTCTAGTTGAGGCCAGCCTAACCTCCCTGTGGCTCGGGATCTCCAAGACGTTTTTGTTTGAAGACCGTAAGGTCCTCCGTGGGACATACCAGGAGAGGTGGTCCCATAGGTACGAGGGTCCTAGGCCGTATAGGGCTTGAAAGGTTAAAACCAGCACCTTAAACCTGATCCTGTACTCCACCGGGAGGCAGTGCAGCTGGTATAGCACTGAGTGAATGTGATCCCATGGCAGGGACCCCGTAAGGAGTCTCGCCGCGGCATTCTGCACCCACTGGAGTTTCTGGGTCAGTCTCAAGGGCAGCCCCACACAGGGTGAGTTACAAAGCAAAGACAGACCCCAGATTTCAGAAATGCTATGCGGAGTGTTCCACAAAACTGTTGAGCCAGATGCGGAAGTTGTTTGACCCTGCCCCTCCAAAGCTCCCATCAGTCCTATTGGCCAGTGGTCAGGGGTTTTGATAGGGACTGGGATTTCAGCAGCAGATGGAAGGCCCCAGGTTCCTCCAGGCCATTGTTAAAGGCTCTGCAGAGCCCAAAATGGAGGCGACCCGCAGAAGAGGTTCCCCGTCGCACCCCTGCACGAATAACCCCTGCCCTCTCCTCTTTTCTGTTCAGATTCTGCTGCGCCCATTTGCATGGCTGGGTCTATGCATTGCTGCAGAATGGTGCACCCTCAGGGGAGGGTGCCTGTCGCACCCCTGGCTGGCTGGTTGGCCCTTCTTGGCTTTCCATCCCGTGTACAAACAGGGAATGGAAATGTGCCTCCTCCTCCTCAGTGTGCACATCTATGTATTATCATAGATCTAGGGTATCGGAGTTTGTTAGCGAATGGTAGAAATTAATAAATGGTAGAAATTAACAATATTTGGGACAGGAAGCTGCAGAACTGCACCAGACAGGAAATTCCCAGTTAGCTTATGGAAACCAGACTGGCCAGGCTAGCTAACTGCAGAGCCATTGAGAAATAATGGGGAGTCAGGTGGTGGGCTGTTGGAAATGCAAAAAGCCACCCCCCATCTGAAGGCAGTCCTGTTTAGGGAAGTTTTTAATGACTGATGTTTTAATATATTTTTAATCTTTTGTTGAAAGCCTCCCAGAGTGGTTGGGGAAACCCAGCCAGATGGACAGGGTGTAAATAATAAATTATTATTATTACAGTGGTACCTCGGGTTAAGTACTTAATTCATTCCAGAGGTCCGTTCTTAACCTGAAACTGTTCTTTAACCTGAAGCACCACTTTAGCTAATGGGGCCTCCTGCTGCTGCCTCGCCTCCGGAGCACGATTTCTGTTCTCATCCTGAAGCAAAGTTCTTAACCTGAAGCACTATTTCTGGGTTAGCAACGTCTGTAACCTGAAGCGTCTGTAAGCTGAAGCGTATGTAACCTGAGCTACCACTGTATTATTATTATTATTATTATTATTATTATTATTATTATTATTATTTTATATTGCTCCCAGGATGTCACAGGAAAATGTGTCCCTTTTGAAAGCTAAAGGTGTTCTGGGAACAAGAAGCAGGAAGAAGCTAGAACCATCTTGACTGCTGGCTGGAGAAGACTGAACTGAGAGACTAGGGGGCATTTTGGGTCTCACAATCTCACCCTGAACAAAGCGCTTTCTTCAGGGGCGTGATCTTGCACAGCACCCACAAATGTGTGCTTTCGGGGCACCGTGCATCTTTGGGGGACCATGATCTCACGCTGGCCCCAGTTTTTCTCACACTTCCCATTTCCACCCCCTGCGTTCTGTTCAGAGGGGATGCTATCCCTGGTCTCAGAGAAATGCTGCCGGCCCGTGTAGACAACCCAGGGCTAGATGGGCCAGTGGGGTGACTCAGTTTAAGGCAGGTTCCTATGTTCATGTAAGATGGCTGAGGGTGACAGGAACCGTCGAGTTTCAGGGCAGGATAAGCGGAAGCAAGGGGACGCGGGTGGCGCTGTGGGTTAAACCACAGAGCCTAGGACTTGCAGATCAGAAGGTCGGCGGTTCGAATCCCAGCGACGGGGTGAGCTCCCGTTGCTCGGTCCCTGCTCCTACCAACCTAGCAGTTCGAAAGCACTTAAAAGTGCAAGTAGACAAATAGGTACCGCTCCGGCGGGAAGGTAAACGGCGTTTCCGTGTGCTGCTCTGATTCACCAGAAGCGGCTTAGTCATGCTGGCCACATGACCCGGAAACTGAACACCGGCTCCCTCGGCCAGTAAAGCGAGATGAGCGCCGCAACCCCAGAGTCGGCCACGACTGGACCTAATGGTCAGGGGTCCCTTTACCTTTTCCTTTAAGTGGCAGCAAACAGAAAGATACAGAGCAATAGCCTCATTCAACCACCTGGGGGAAAAACATGACCAAAAGAGGTAGCTTGAAACCCACCTAGCCTGTCCGGCAGCAACAAAGGCACCTCGAAGGCAATATTGAAACTCTCAAAAGTTTCACTGGAATGCAGTTTGCCTTCACGGTCCACCTGAAATTCCTTTCACAGAAGAAGCTGTGGCGTTAAGTCAGCTGCCGCAGTCACATCAAAGAGTCCTGTGGCGCCCTGGAGGCTGGCGCAATTTATTATGGTGCAAGTGCTTGAAACCGTTTCATCAGAGGTAGGAAGAAGGATCCTGAACTGATGGCTAGATACACAGTGGTACCTCGGGTTACATACGCTTCAGGTTACAGACTCCACTAACCCAGAAATAGTACCTCATGTTAAGAACTTTGCTTCAGGATGAGAACAGAAATCGTGCGGCGGCAGCGGGAGGCCCCATTAGCTAAAGTGGTGCTTCAGGTTAAGAACAGTTTCAGGTTAAGAACGGACCTCCAGAACGAATTAAGTACGTAACCCGAGGTGCCACTGTATATCTTTTTTCAAATAATTTTTCAAATTGGTTTTACACAATTTCATACATTTTAACTTTAACAGTTTCAAACCTTAAAGCAAAAGGTTCTTTTGAACCTTCAGACTTCCTCTCCCTCCCTCCACAGGTTCCAGATTTAAGATTAAATTTTCTGCCTCTTTTACCATTATCCATCTGTTGTATATCCATAGTTACCATAGTGAATTCCACATTACAAGTGTCATTGCATCCCTGCCAATGATTTTAACTGTTTACAGTGGTCTTTTAAAGAAATTTAGAATTTACTCCTGCTTTTTAAAAATACTCGATCTTCCTGGTTTCGGATCTTCCCCGTCAGTTTCGCCATCTCTGCGTATTCCATCAGTTTTGTCTGCCATTCTTCTTTTGTTGTTACTTCTCCTTCCTTCCATCTTCGGGCTGGTAGCATCCTCGCTGCCGTCATTGCGTTCATAAAAAGTCTTTTATCCATGACAGGAAGGATTCGAAACCTGCGGGACCAGAGATTAGCAGAAGATTGGAAGAAATATACGAACTATTTGAAGAGCAACTGTAATCAACAAATTACGCTAGTAGGACTGCAAAAAGTTTTGTAGGGAGGAATATATGAAATATTGCAAAGAAGAGAGAGATTAGTTATGATATTTAAATGTTAATAAATAAATAAAATGCAAAAAAGCAAAGTATTTTTTTAAAAATAAAAAAAATCTAAATTTTTATTTATACCCCGCCCTCTCCGGTTCAAAAACCGGGCTCCGGGTGACTAACAACAAATTTAAAACACTTAATTGTAAAAGCAGCATAAAATACAGTATAAAAACATGAATCACAATAAAATTCAAAGTTCAGAAATCAATTTAGGGGAAATCCATCTAATAAGCATTAGATAATCCCCAGGGCTAGCTGGCTGAATTAGTCCTACATGGGCCAGCGAGGAGGCCAGGGGAGAGTTAGCTGTGGGGTCTCAGAGCGGGTAATCTTCATAAAAGGGGAGGGGGAGGGAAGAGAAGGGAAATAAAAGATCAGGCTGAATTCAAATTAAAGGCCAGGCAGAATAGCTCTGTCTTACAGGCCTGACGGAAGGAGGTTAAATCCTGCAGGGCCCTGGTCTCCTGGGACAGAGCATTCCACCAGGTCGGAGCCATCGCCAAGAAGGCCCTGGCCCTGGTGGAGGATAATCTGACTTCCTTCGGGCCCAGGACCTCTAAACTATGGTTATTCACGGACCTTAAGGTCCTCTGTGGGGCAGACCAGGAGAGGTGGTCCCGTAAATAAGAGGGCCCTAAGCCACAAAGGGCTTTAAAGGTCAAGACCAGCACCTTGAACCTGGCCCTATACTCCACCGGGAGCCAATGCAACTGGTAAAGCAATGAATGAATATGCTCCCATGGCAGGGACCCCGCGAGGAACCTCGCTGCAGCATTCTGCACCTGCTGGAGTTTGTGGGACAGTTTCAAGGGCAGCCCCACATAGAGCGAATTACAGTAGTACAGTAGATGTGCAGATTCTGAGGCTCTCCTTATTCAGACTCAGAGAACGGAGGGCTGCTGGGCATAAATGGAGGAGAGATAGCAGAGGAAGAAGGGAGATGTGCAAAGGAACAGCCAAGGGCAATTGAGCAAAGGTGAGGCATTGGCAGCTGCAGGTGTCAGAAAAGATGAGCATCCGGGATCCAAAGCAAAGATGGTCTCAGGTGCTCATCTTTTCTGACACCTGCAGCTGCCAATGCCTCACCTTTGCTCAGTTGCCCGTGGCTGTTCCTTTGCACATCTCCCTTCTTCCTCTGCTATCTCTCCTCTATTTATGCCCAGCAACCCTCCGTTCTCTGAGTCTGAATAAGGAGAGCCTCAGGATCTGCACATCTTCCAGGGAGTTCCTAACTGGGAACTTTTTAGCCATCTGGGCCGGGACAAAGGGAAAGTCTGGGGAAAACCAACCACCAGTCTTCCTTCCTTCCTTCCTTCCTTCCTTCCTTGTGATGGACCACCTCTCTTTAGAGATATTTTGTTTTCTCACAATCTGTATCACCTCAATAGTGAATGTGCTCTTTACTCGGAATGGGATCTATTTATTCTTCTCCCGCTTAAACTGCTGACCACAGAGAAGGTTCCCTCCTTTCTTCTCCTCTATTAAAGCTTTGGAACTGGTGGAAATGACCGGCAGAATCCGAGACCAGGGAGAAGAGTCGGTGGAAGAAGATTGGAAGAAATTTAAAGACTATCTACAGAAATACTGCAAAATTAATGATTTTGGATTGAAGTGAAGTGGTTTTTAGCAGCAATGTTATAAAGGAATATGTAAAAATGGATTTGTTAACAGGTGATGATCTAAAGTTATAATATATTAAGATAAAAGATTAAGATAAAATTAAAGAGGGAAAGGATTTGCTGAATCAACTAATAGAACTGGAATATAAAAAAGGGAGGTGTGAGGAGGTCAGGGAAACAAGCAAATGAAGGATGATATGGAAAGACTGATCTGTTTTTAACTGTTTTTACCTTGTATTTTCATTTTTTATCTTCTTTTCTCTCTCTTTTTTCTTATTTTTGTAATATGTTGAAACTTTAATAAATATCTTTTTATACCTTTCTTCTCCTTTATTAAAGCTTCACTGCAGCATGACAGATGTGTCTTGTCTTCTGCCTTCCTGGAACTTGGTCCACTGTCGCCAAAACCCCCAAAGCCTCACCCCAAACCCGTGTCCTGTGATGTGTGAATGACCCGTGTCCTGACCCCCCATCAGTGATATCCCCAAAGATAAACTCTCAGGAAGTCCATGCCAAGCAGGCAGCGCTTGAGATGAAGGAGGAATTCCCAGCCACCGTTTGTGCCATTCCGGGCTCTGCAGTCCTGTCGAGTTCAACCCAAAGAGTACTTTTAACCTCAACTAGGAATCAGGCAGAAGGTCATTTCAGTTTGTATTTAAAAGTGAATATATCTAACTCACAGCCACCCTCCGGAATTTGCACTTATTTGAATCTGTGATGCAGTTCCCCATCCAAACATTATTTATTTAAAAAAGAGCATCTGTTAAGGGATAAGTGGGCACAACAATGAATTTATTAGTGCAGATTTGCAGATTAGTTGCTCTGCAGAAGACATGCTGGGGAGACCACACATTACAAGGAACGCAAAAATAACTTCTGCTAGGTTTTTTTTTTTTTTTAAATCATATTTATTGAAGTTTCCAAAAATATAAAAGTACAAAGAAAAAAGATAAAAGAAAGAAGATATTTAAAAACCTTACTTTCATTCCCTACTTTCTGGAACTCCCCCTCCCCCGGTTGTATTCCCCTTTCCTTAATTTGGTTCTACAAGATCTCACTCCCAAATTTAAAGCTTAATTTGTTTAACCCACTATCCAATTTGAATTGTACAAATCTTACCACCGTCCCACATCATTAACAGAAAAAGAAAAAGATTTTCCCCAAGATCCACCCCAGTTCCTTCCACAAATTCCCTTTTTTTAAACACGTCCGATCAAAGTAAAATAACATGCGTAAGTTATGTAAAGAAATAGAAAATAAAAGATATAGAAAAGTTCAAAAAATGGTTACACAGCCTTTGGATTTCAAATCTACCCCCTTCCCGGTTTGAATTCCCCATGTCCATCAGTCTATACATTATCAGCTTGGAAATCTCATTTCATGACCAGATTTCTCCCGATTCCATCTTGCCGGTTTTCTTTTAGTTTATTAATTTAAATAATATTTGACTTCAAATGTCCAATCTAACAAAGGCCTTTAATTTCCTTGATCTTTACCACTCCTCCCGTTGTTCTTTCCGTGTCGTAATCAGTCCTTTATTCTTCTTATTCCTCACTTTCTCAGGTTTCTTGTCCTGTTCAGCTGCTAAAACTTTCTAATTCAGAAATCTAGTGTCTCTGCAGAGGTTTGTTATTCAGGAACAAAAACTTACGTCCAGTCCCTTTCTTTCTTCAATAAAAATTCCATTGTCTTCCTCTGTAGACAAAATACTCTTTCAGTTTTGCAGCTTTCCCAGAAGATAACAAATCCTGTGCGAATCCCAGGGTATTTTTCCACTTACGACCGTTCTTGTAGTATCCTGAAACCCCTCTAGGGGATTGTAATAACTTTGTATCCTCTAATCCAAAAGTCAAATTGTTGCTTATTTTCCAACAGTTTATATCCATATTATAGCAAATTGTAGCAAAATTTACCAGCAAGGTCCTCATAAAGTCCTCTTTATATTCTCCAGCTTTGACAGCCACTTTGACAGCTGTCAAAGTCTCCGTCTCTCTTCACCAGGCTCCACGAATCGCCCCGGTTCCCAGGGGGGGGGTTGCATTTTTCTTCTCACCCTCCACTCTTCTCCTCCAGCACATTTCTTATAATTTCCCATCGTGAAATTAATGATTTTTATCAGAGACATACTTCCCTTTGGACCTTGGTTACCCAGTCCTTGTTTTGGAATGCTTACAATAGGGGGGGGGATTGACTTCCTTTTAAATCGCCCCGCTCGTGCCAAATCCAAAATTTTGAACCCGGTTTCCCAATTACTCACGGGTTGTTGTTAAAAGTCCAAATTTTCAATAGAAGAAGTCAGCGCTCTCCGTCGAATGGCATGCGGCTGCGCTCGGCAGGAAAGCAGTGGACTCAAAGCACCACGCCACTCCCGGCACCCGATCCGAAGCCTTTAAAAAGGCTCCTTCACGAGTCGGGAGGGCGCTAATGGTGCAAGCCGAGTCACCCATGTCCACGGACTCCGTGCCCGTGGTTTTTAAGGGTCCCCGCGTCGCCGGCGCGGTAGGACCCAGCCCCTGCCGAGCAGACTCCCTCCGGAGCTCGGAGGGAGTCCGCCATTCGGCGATGGCGCTAACCCGGAAGCCTCACTTCTGCTAGGTTTTAATAACAAAAACAAAAACTCCTTTTACAAAATATCAATAAGCGTGACCCGTCCACCAGAGTACTGAGAGAGCTAGGTGCTGCTCTTTATATACTATACCCAACAGCTTAATTAACATAACTTAACAGCACCTGCTATACTGCTTCACAGCTGTAAAACTAGGTCATGTTATTTGCTCTGGCCCTTAAAGGAATACACATCTTGTGGAACAATAATGAACCTTCGAATTTAAAGAGACCATTCAACACAGAAAGCATACAATAATGTATGGTACCAGGGGAATTTTGCATATTAGTCAAAATGTTCTTACTAGGAGAAATTTGCAAGTTTCACAAGGAGGTTTATAAAAATTGAAAACTGCTGCAGACCTGTAGGGAGCCGGATTTTCATTTTAAGAGAATGGGGAACAGAGAGAAGCAAAGCCGACAGATTAAATTCAACCAGTTTTCCTGGGCCAAAAGTACAGCATATTCCCCTTGTGTAATGCGCAGGATGGGAGTGGGTTTGGGGGCAGCAGCGAGCTTGACAGGTGGGCTCCCTGTGTCTGTTCTGCACCTGAGCAGCAGCCTCAATGTGCAATATGGCCTCTCTTGCAACCTTCTTCTGGGATCTGCAGTCAGCTTGGCAGTTCTTTAAGACACTGAGCACTTCTGGGGGCAAAGACATCACTTTGCCATGACCCGGCTGCTTCAAAACCCACCTGAGGACCAGGACACGTCCCAGGCAGGAGCACCTCTGACTTTTTGGCCCCTGAGATCACAACCTCTATCCAGGTTTGCCACATCACTTTTCAGACTGGGGCCCTTCTTTTAGGATAAGTATTTTGGACTCTTTACAGTAGGCTTCGTAAAGTTGAGGCATCTGATCAAGGCCTGTATTTTAAAATGAGCTTAAAAGATATATTTGCAAATGTTTGTATGTTTCATGCCAGGCATAAAGCAGCTGGCTGAGTACTCTGGCAGTTGTTTATCTTCCTGCTCAAGGGCCCCCCTGATTTATAGCAGGAGCAGGAGACACGTTTCTCAAAGTTGTAAAAGGGAAATACAGGCTGGGAGCAAAGGTTACATTGACCCTACAAATTACAGAATACAATCAAGCTGCAAAAACACTAATTAAGAGTTGGTAAATAGTAAGAGTTATTGTTTATTAGAAAATAATACCATGTGCCTCCCATTAGACTCGAGTCATATTTTCCTAAGGTTAAAGGGCAAGAACTAATGGGGAAAGCAGCTGACTGGGAAAGGAAGTTGTAAATTGAAGAGGTTGCTTTTGAAGCTGTTTACCGAGTTCCTTTTCTACTAAAAAGCTATCTATGTTAATGTATGAGATTTGTTGGCTTAAATGTAATTATGCAAAGGATTTAGAAAGTAAGAAATGTTAGATTCTTATGTTAGATTCTTATTTCATTGATGGTGTGTGAGAAGGTGAACCCAAGATCTCTGTTTAAGACAGGATTTAAAACCATGAGCCATCTGTTTTAGCCATTTGTTTTGGAGTGGAGGGGCAATAGGGCAAAAGGTGATCTAGTAATTAAGGTGCCTTGTCGAGGCAAATGTAAGATATATGGCTACTTGTCTGCCATTTATGGATAGAAGGAAATATAGCTCTTTGTCTCCCCTAAAAGGTAATAGGAAATGGGTGTATCTTTTATGATTGGTTCCAGGGGGGGGGGGGGGGGGGGGGGGGGGGGGGGGGGGGGGGGGGGGGGGGGGGGGGGGGGGGGGGGGGGGGGGGGGGGGGGGGGGGGGGGGGGGGGGGGGGATGGCCTCTGAGGGAATGGAGGACCCATTGCCTGCAGGTGCTCCACTCTCAGCCCCGTCAGGGGAAGAGGAGGTTGCCTCTGGGTCCGGTAACCCTCCAGCCTCTCCTGAGCTGCAGAGGCTCAGGGCAGAGAGCGGAGGGAACTAAGTTCCTGCAGGAGGAGTGCTCGCCTCCAGGCCAGGAGGGGCGAGTCACCTGTGGGCCGGGGCCGCCCTATGCCTCGGGGCAGATAAAAGCCAGCCAGCCCCAGTCCCAGGTGGCGGGAGCAACATTGTTGGTAGCCTGTTCCTGCCTGCAGCCTGTCCTGCTCTTCTGCCAGAGTTCCTGACCCCACCTGACTCCCTGCCTTGGACCCAGCTTCAGCTTTGATGAACAGCCTCCATACCGCACCAACGACCTCGGACTGGACTCGGACCTTACCTCTCGGTTAGCCCCCAGGACCAGCACAGACAGCAACTGGGATGGCTTTCAAAGAGGATTAGAAAAAAATTTAAAAGAGGAGGAGGAGGAGGAGGAGGAGGAGAAGGTGGAGAGGGCTATTGATGGCTACCAGTCACCAATGTTATGCTTTCCCTGCACAACTGGGGCCAGCAATGCTTCTGAACATTAGTCGCTGGAAACCACAGCAATTAAGCAATGTTAATTCAAATTCTTATTTCTTTAGGAATCCACATATTTCTGAAATTATCTATGAAAATGTCTCATTTCAGATTTCAAAGCTTCCTCCAAGATGTCCAGTATCAGCCCCTCTCCGCTGCAGCAATTGCCACCCATGGATGGAACTGTTACTATTACTGTCATAACTCCAACAGGAACCTATGTTATCCGGGTTTAACCTCTTCCTCTCTGAGTATTCCCTTCTGCTGCCTCCTTGGACGCTCCAGGTGACCTCATGTTCTGAAGAGAAGGCAGAGTTTCAGTGTCACTCACAATATGGACCCAACTGAGAATCGTCCACGTTCCCCATCCTAAAGGGAAGCTCCAAGCGGAAAACTGAGATGACAAACCTGGATATGATTTGCTTTCTTTTCTGGGCAGGAATTCAGGAATGATGACCATCTGGGATCCAAAGCAAAGATGGTCTCAGGTGCTCATCTTTTCTGACACCTGCAGCTGCCAATGCCTCACCTTTGCTCAGTTGCCCTTGGCTGTTCCTTTACACATCTCCCTTCTTCCTCTGCTATCTCTCCTCTATTTATGCCCAGCAACCCTCCGTTCTCTGAGTCTGAATAAGGAGAGCCTCAGGATCTGCACATCTTCCAGGGAGTTCCTAACTGAGAACTTTTTAGCCATCTGGGCTGGGACAAAGGGAAAGTCGGGGGAGAACCAACCACCAGTCTTTCTTCCTTCCTTCCTTCCTTCCTTCCTTCCTTCCTTCCTTCCTTCCTTCCTTCCTTGTGATGGACCACCTCTCTTTAGAGATATTTTGTTTTCTCACAATCTGTATCACCTCCATAGTGAATGTGCTCTTTACTCGGAATGGGATCTATTTATTCTTCTCCCGCTTAAACTGCTGACCACAGAGAAGGTTCCCTCCTTTCTTCTCCTCTATTAAAGCTTTGGAACTGGCGGAAATGACCAGCAGAATCCGAGACCAGGGAGAAGAGTCGGTGGAAGAAGATTGGAAGAAATTTAAAGACTATCTACAGAAATACTGCAAAATTAATGAATGTTAGAATGATTTTGGATTGAAGTGAAGTGGTTTTTAGCAGCAATGTTATAAAGGAATATGTAAAAATGGATTTGTTAACAGGTGATAATCTAAAGTTATAATATATTAAGATAAAAGATTAAGATAAAATTAAAGAGGGAAAGGATTTGCTGAATCAACTAATTGAACTGGAATACAAAAAAGGGAGGTGTGAGGAGGTCAGGGAAACAAGCAAATGAAGGATAAGATATGGAAAGACTGATCTGTTTTTAACTGTTTTTACCTTGTATTTTCATTTTTTCTTCTTCTTTTCTTTCTCTTTTTTCTTATTTTTGTAATATGTTGAAACTTTAATAAATATCTTTTTATACCTTTCTTCTCCTCTATTAAAGCTTCACTGCAGCATCACAGATGTGTCTTGTCTTCTGCCTTCCTGGAACTTGGTCCACTATCACCAAAACCCCCAAAGCCTCACCCCAAACCCGTGTCCTGTGACGTGTGAATGACCCGTGTCCTGTGATGTGTGAATGACCCGTGTCCTGACCCCCCATCAGTGATATCCCCAAAGATAAACTCTCAGGAAGTCCATGCCAAGCCGGCAGCGCTTGAGATGAAGGAGGAATTCCCAGCCACCGTTTGTGCCATTCCGGGCTCTGCAGTCCTGTCGAGTTCAACCCAAAGAGTACTTTTAACCTCAACTAGGAATCAGGCAGAAGGTCATTTCAGTTTGTATTTAAAAGCGAATCTATCTAACTCACAGCCACCCTCCGGAATTTGCACTTATTTGAATCTGTGATGCAGTTCCCCATCCAAACATTATTTATTTAAAAAAGAGCATCTGTTAAGGGATAAGTGTGCAAAACAATGAATTTATTAGTGCAGATTTGCAGATTAGTTGCTCTGCAGAAGGCATGCTGGGGAGACCACACATTACAAGGAACGCAAAAATAACTTCTGCTAGGTTTTAATAACAAAAACAAAAACTCCTTTTACAAAATATCAATAAGCGTGACCCGTCCACCAGAGTACTGAGAGAGCTAGGTGCTGCTCTTTATATACTATACCCAACAGCTTAATTAACATAACTTAACAGCACCTGCTATACTGCTTCACAGCTGTAAAACTAGGTCATGTTATTTGCTCTGGCCCTTAAAGGAATACACATCTTGTGGAACAATAATGAACCTTCGAATTTAAAGAGACCATTCAACACAGATAGCATACAATAATGTATGGTACCAGGGGAATTTTGCATATTAGTCAAAATGTTCTTACTAGGAGAAATTTGCAAGTTTCACAAGGAGATTTATAAAAATTGAAAAGTGCTGCAGACCTGTAGGGAGCCGGATTTTCATTTTAAGAGAATGGGGAACAGAGAGAAGCAAAGCCGACAGATTAAACTCAACCAGTTTTCCTGGGCCAAAAGTACAGCATATTCCCCTTGTGTAATGCGCAGGATGGGAGTGGGTTTGGGGGCAGCAGTGAGCTTGACAGGTGGGCTCCCTGTGTCGGTTCTGCGCCTGAGCAGCAGCCTCAATGCGCAATATGGCCTCTCTTGCAACCTTCTTCTGGGATCTGCAGTCAGCTTGGCAGTTCTTTAAGACACTGAGCACTTCTGGGGGCAAAGACATCACTTTGCCATGACCCGGCTGCTTCAAAACCCACCTGAGGACCAGGACACGTCCCAGGCAGGAGCACCTCTGACTTTTTGGCCCCTGAGATCACAACCTCTATCCAGGTTTGCCACATCACTTTTCAGACTGGGGCCCTTCTTTTAGGGTAAGTATTTTGGACTCTTTACAGTAGGCTTTGTAAAGTTGAGGCATCTGATCAAGGCCTGTATTTTAAAATGAGCTTAAAAGATATATCTGCAAATGTTTGTATGTTTCATGCCAGGCATAAAGCAGCTGGCTGAGTACTCTGGCAGTTGTTTATCTTCCTGCTCAAGGGCCCCCCTGATTTATAGCAGGAGCAGGAGACACGTTTCTCAAAGTTGTAAAAGGGAAATACAGGCTGGGAGCAAAGGTTACATTGACCCTACAAATTACAGAATACAATCAAGCTGCAAAAACACTAATTAAGAGTTGGTAAATAGTAAGATTTATTGTTTTTTGGAAAAAAATACCATGTGCCTCCCATTAGACTCGAGTCATATTTTCCTAAGGTTAAAGGGCAAGAGCTAATGGGGAAAGCAGCTGGCTGGGAAAGGAAGTTGTAAATTGAAGAGGTTGCTTTTGAAGCTGTTTACTGAGTTCCTTTTCTTCTAAAAAGCTATATATGTTAATGTATGAGATTTGTTGGCTTAAATGTAATTATGCAAAGGATTTAGAAAGTAAGAAATGTTAGATTCTTATGTTAGATTCTTATTTCATTGATGGTGTGTGAGAAGGTGAACCCAAGATCTCTGTTTAAGACAGGATTTAAAACCATGAGCCATCTGTTTTAGCCATTTGTTTTGGAGTGGAGGGGCAATAGGGCAAAAGGTGATCTGGTAATTCAGGTGCCTTGTCGAGGCAAATGTAAGATATATGGCTACTTGTCTGCCATTTATGGATAGAAGGAAATATAGCTCTTTGTCTCCCATAAAAGGTAATAGGAAATGGGTGTATCTTTTATGATTGGTTCTAGCAAACAGCCAATAGGAATTTCAACCAGGCTGATTGGACAGAGGCAGCCAAAGGAGGAGCAAGGGGGCTGGGCTGAGGAAATATAAGTGCTGGCCATCAGGGCTGGAGGGGGCAGAACTTTGGTAACCATATACCACTGTGTCTCCTTTATTTGTCTGACAAATAAGCTAAGCGTTAACCACAAGCAGGGTGCTACAAAGTCAGGGATAGGATTTTTTCTCAAAACATGAGTAGCCCTTGTAGTATTCCAAAAGTGAATCCTTAGCCACAAGGAACAGAAATCAACACAGAGGCCGATGGTCCGGCCAAGATGACCAAAACACGAGAAACTTCTGTATATATTACTTCTTCTTTTTTTGAGAATAATTTTTATTAGTTTTCAATTACAATCCATTAATAGACTTGTTACTACAATACTAATTTGTAATACATTAATACCAATAGTTCGAATACCGAATTATATAATTTAGATAAGGTGGCCCCCATGTGCTAGAATTGATGGCTTGATTACATAACAGAAACCTTAGCTAAAATCTTGCGTGGTTCTTGTATGCTGTTTTCAGATATACTCATTTTTATACACACTTTCTCCTAAGAAACACATTTCAAATTCGTTGTGGTGCAGAATCGTAGAATTGTAGAACCATAGAATTGTAGAGTTGGAATTACCCAAAGGTAATTCCAGTCCAACCCCAGGAAAAGACATCCAGCCTCTGCTTAAAAATCTCCAATGAAGCAGAGTCCACAAACTTCTGAGGGCGTTTGGTCCACTGTCGAAAGCCTCTTACATTGGGAAGTAGAACTGGGCCCGAAAACCTGTAAAAAATGGAGTTGTCGAACCAGGGCGTAGTATCATGGGTCGTGGCATGGGAATCATAAGACTTGCTCCAACGTTGGCACTGGACATCTTGGAGGAATGTTGGGGAATCTGAAATAAATCATTTTCAAGACACATGTTCACAAATATGTGGAAACAGAGGGAAATTAGTCATTAGCCTTCAGATTGCCAAACAGATGAAAAAGTATTTGACCGTTGGGCATTATTTTAAGCAAGGACAGGTAGTAACTTAAAAGTATTATTATTATTATTATTATTATTATTATTATTGCTATAAAAAACCCTGAGGCCAGCTCTCTGTTCCTGTTCTCCTTCTCTCCCAGTCTGTGCTGAAATCCAGCGTTCTTCTCAGGCTGGGCTTGCAAGAAGCTTCCTCTTCCTTTAGACCATCAAGAAGAGCCTTGACCCAACAGCAGGGAGGGGAAGCATCGGACTTCCGTAACCTATGGAACTACAACTCCCAGAATCCCGGCAGCCAGCATGGCCAAATGCCAGGGGAGACGGGAGTTTTAGTTTGGCAACACCTCAAGGGCACGGGGCTCAGCCAGGAATGGGATTCCCTTCCCAGAGTTTGAGGTGAGCATCTCTCTCTGCCAGACCTGCCTCACCCCAAAAAGGGCAAGGCTGGAAAAGTGGATCCAGGGATGCTCTCATGCCATACACCTGCTCTTGCACACAGAATCCTAGCAGATCCAGGACAGGGAATCTTCCCCTTATCTGCTCTGATCTCTTAGGAGGAAGAGATCCTCATTCTTCACTCTCATCAGACTCCATTCCCCAAAGTGCCAGCTCCACTTTTCAAAAGCCCTCTTAGATGTGAAATTTCTGTCTGAGCCCAAAACACTGCCAGCGGCACAGGGAATTACATGTAAACCTTTCAGGGTCTCTTCCCAAATCTGATTTTTATGTGGAACTAAGTAGGAAGGCATGTTGAAAAGAAAAGCCCCCAATAAATAGCTGCCCCATGGTCTGTGCTTTTATCTTTGTAAATATTTAGGGTACTCTCATTCCGTCTGAGACTCAGGAAACACCGTGACAGGAAATGAGGCCGCCATCAGAGGCGGCACCGGAACTGACGATTCACCGCGCTAGAGAAGAAACTAAAAATTTCTTCTCCCTTTAGATTCACAAAATGTTTAGGGGTATGCGTCCCCCTGCTTCCCCCCAGGAAAAAAGGACCGTCCATAGTCATTCACTTCCTACCTTCCCTGGTCTATGAATCAATTTAAAGGTAAAGGGACCCCTGACTGTTAAGGCCAGTCAAGGACGACTCTGGAGTTGTGGAGCTCATCTCACTTTACTGGCTGAGGAAGCCGGTGTTTGTCCGCAGACAGTTTTTCCGGGTCATGTGGCCAGCATGACTAAGCCACTTCTGGCGAACCAGAGTAGCGCACGGAAACACCATTTACCTTCCCGCCAGAGTGGTACCTATTTATCTACTTGCACTTTGACGTGCTTTCGAACTGCTAGGTTGGCAGGAGCAGGGACCAAGCAACGGGAGCTCACCCCGTCGCGGGGATTCGAACCACCGACCTTCCGATCGGCAAGCCCTAGGCTCTGTGGTTTAGACCACAGCGCCACCCACGTCACAAATCGGTTTACTTAAAAGGAACTTACCAAAAGCTGAAGAAGCTGAGCAGTTGAAGAGAGGAGATCTTCAAAAGCACTGGTGGAAAAGCCCTACGCACTGAGCCCTTTTATACAGTTTCTCTCTGCAATTGGAGCAAATACTTTGGTGCAGCATCACTAATTTGGCTAAGTATGGGCCACCTCCACTTTTGGGGCTGAACGTTCCTCGCCACTGAGACTCCATCCGACTGCAATGTCATGTGTTCCAATAAATTAGCTGTCCTGTCAACCGCCTCCTCCTCTCAAGGCAACGCTTCGCTTTCTTTTAACTCGGGTTCACCTTGGGTAATGTTCTTAAGGAATTTGGGGCATTTTCTTGACTCAATCCTCCTTTAGGACCTATGGCTTTGCACCTACGAACACACTGGATGTTGCAATCGCAGGTGAAGCACATTTTCTCCCTCAAAGGACACTGGCCCCTCCAGATTGCTAAGGGTGCTGGGAAGCAGAGCTCAGAGCGGGAGCACCAGCCAAAGCTTTGCAAAGCAAGTCACGACAGCAACCATGAATGGAGCACCCCAGAAGGGGGGTGGAATGGGCCCAAGGAGCTCCCATGACGCACACCTGATCTTTCAAACATAGGCCATCCAGATCCAGAACAGGACACACACACACACACACACACACACACACACACACACACACAGCCAGCCTGCAAGTTCTGCTCTGTTGGGAGCAAGAGATCCTAATTCTTCACCCTCATCTGTTTCCACCCACAAAAGTGCCCAGCTGCATGTTTCTAAGAGTCTAATGAGAAGTGTAAGCTCAAATTTGAGTGAAATTCCTTGTGAAAAGACCCTGATGTTGGGAAAGATGGAGGGCACAAGGAGAAGGGGATGACAGAGGACCAGATGGTGGGACAGTGTTCTCGAAGCTGCCAACATGAGTTTGACCAAACTGCAGGAGGCAGTGGAAGACAGGAGGGCCTGGCGTGCTCTGGTCAAGTGGGTCACGAAGAGGCGGACACGACTAAACGACTAAACAACAACGACAAACTTCAGATCACTCTTCCAAAGTCTTCCCCAGAGATTAAATTCTGTTGTTCCGGGGTTGCACCCAGGAGGGAGAGGAGCTGGCACTGTTAGCATTAATACCTTCCCATCCCCACGATAATGCAAAATGCAAAATGCAAAAAAAAGAAAAGAAAAAAAAAAGCAGTTTACAGCACATTGGAACCACAACTTCCACAGGTCCTAATCTCCCTCTGTCTGTAGTTTCAAATCTCAGAGTTCGGCATGGAAGTTGTGGAAGTTGTGCATGGAAGTTGGCATGGAAGAATCAGCCCATTCTGGTCCTCTCTGTTTCTCACTTTTCTAAATTCAGTTCTCTGCGGTTCTGCAGCAATTTTGCAAGCCGCTTCACCTAATGCGTTTTGGTATGTTGTTTTCCCCAATATTCTCATTTTTATGCCCCCTTTCCAACAACACGTGCATTGTTCCCAAGCATTGCTTTGTTGGGAAACTGCATTGCAAATTCAGATACGTGTCAATATCAGAGGGAGGCTGGAAGTTTGGTTCTCATGTTGTTTTGGAAAGCAGAAATTCAAATGCACGCTGAATTTAATTTCTGCCGCAATCCTAGCCAGGGACAGAGTCCTCCTGGAAAAGTCCTCTTTCTATAGGAGTACAGGGACAAAACTAGAATGAGTTGGTTCTGGCTCCCCCTGCCTTTGGTCTTCCTGTCTTCTGCCCCACCAGCCCCAACCACCCCTTTAACTGAGTTGCCTTTCTCCCACCTTTCCTGCAAGAATAATTACCATACTGGCCCGAATATAAGCCACACTTTCCCCCCTGAAATTCCGACTGCGAAAAGTTAAAGTGTGGCTTAAATTCGCGGTCTTACAAAAATGGGCTTTTATGATATCGCTGTAGGATTTTCTTCTACATTTGCCATTTAAATTATCTATTGTGCTTGGAATTGCTATTTTTGAGTACAGTCATACCTTGGGTTACAGCCACTTCATGTTGTGTTTTTTTTCGGGTTACGGACTGCCGAAACCCAGAAGTACCGGAACAGGTTACTTCTGGGTTTCGACAGTCGTGCATGCTCATAAGCGCTGAATCGCAACCCACATGTGTGCAGACGCTCCTCTGCGGGTTGCGAACGCTGCAGGTTGCGAACATGCATCCTGCACGGATCACATTCGCAACCCGAGCGTCCACTGTATGAAGCTTTTGGAATCTTCTGGAAGGCCACTGTTAGTTGCTGTGAAGGCAGCATATTGTAGAACAGGTTGTTTTCCTTCAGCTCTGCTGAGTTGACAGAGAATTTTCACTACTCAGAGCCAAAATCCTTGGTCGAAACCCTGAATTATAGTCCAATTAGTCTCTTTAATTTAAGGATATTAAAGAGCTAAATAGGACGCACAACCTCCCTCTCTGTTGCAATTAATTGATTCCATTTACAACAAAGGAGATTCCGACTAAACATCAGGAAAAACCCTCTGGCAGAAAGAGCTGTTTGACTGTGGAAAAGATTCCCTTGGAAGTTTTTCAGCCGATTGTTGATTTGACTTCAACCTTCGACAAATTAGAAGGCATTCCACATACCAAAACAATTTCAACAACACAGAGTGGGATAAAGGTATGCATTTAAAAGGCTGTTTGGAAAAGGAGCGTCTCCTCTGAAACAGCCACTTCACTTCTGTAACTTCAGATCCCACATGAATTCATGCAGCCTTTAAGTCAAGATACTAGACTTGTAAAATTTTGAGCAGGTGTGTGTGTGAGAGAGGGGGGTGTAACAGAAAGAGGCCTCTTCCGAAAGTAATACAGTTGTACCTCAGCTCCTGAACGCCTTGGGAGTCGAACGTTCTGGATCCCGAACGATTGAAAACCGGAAGTGAGTGTTCCATTTTCCAAACGTTCTTTTGGAAGCCATACGTCCGATGGGGCTTCCGATTGGCTGCAGGAGTTTCCTGCAGCCAATCAGAAGCCACACTTTGGTTTCAGAAGTCGAACGGACTTTTGGAATGGATTCTGTTCGACTTCCGAGGTACCACTTTACCTTATTGGTCCGAATATAAGTCACACTCGCAAATAAGCCGCACCTTTAAAAAATTTTTTTGGGGGGAGAGAAAAGACAATACCTGAATATAAGCCGCTCCCCTACAATTCTGCAGGCACTGAAACTCTGCCTTGTCTTCAGAACATGAGGTCACCTGGAGCGTCCAAGGAGGCAGCAGAAGGGAATCCTCAGAGAGGAAGACGGTAACCCGGATAACGTAGCTTCCTGTTGGAGTTATGACAGTAATAGTAACAGTTCCATCCATGGGTGGCAATTGCTGCAGCAGAGAGGGGCTGATACTGGACAGCTTGGAGGAAGCTTTGAAATCTGAAATGAGACATTTTCATAGATAATTTCAGAAATATGTGGATTCCTAAAGAAATTAGAATTTGAATTAACACTGCTTAATTGCTGTGGTTTCCAGTGACTAATGTTCAGAAGCATTGCTGGCCCCAGTTGTGCAGGGAAAGCATAACATTGGTGACTGGTAGCCATCAATAGCCCTCTCCACCTTCTCCTCCTCCTCCTCCTCCTCCTCCTCTTTTAAAATTTTTTCTAATCCTCTTTGAAAGCCATCCCAGTTGCTGTCTGTGCTGGTCCTGGGGCTAACCGAGAGGTAAGGTCCGAGTCCAGTCCGAGGTCGTTGGTGCGGTATGGAGGCTGTTCATCAAAGTTGAAGCTGGGTCCAAAGCAGGGAGTCAGGTGGGGTCAGGAACTCTGGCAGAAGAGCAGGACAGGCTGCAGGCAGGAACAGGCTACCAACAATGTTGCTCCCGCCACCTGGGACTGGGGCTGGCTGGCTTTTATCTGCCCCGAGGCATAGGGCGGCCCCGGCCCACAGGTGACTCGCCCCTCCTGGCCTGGAGGCGAGCACTCCTCCTGCGGGAAAATTAGTTCCCTCCGCTCTCTGCCCTGAGCCTCTGCAGCTCAGGAGAGGCTGGAGGGTTACCGGACCCAGAGGCAACCTCCTCTTCCCCTGACGGGGCTGAGAGTGGAGCACCTGCAGGCAATGGGCCCTCCATTCCCTCAGGGGCCAGAGCAGACTCAGCTGGTACCTGCACCTGAGGATCCAGCACAGGTGAGGACCCTTCAGGCTCAGCCCCAGCCCCGGCTCAGCTGGTTCTGGAGGCGGGGACTCCTGTGCGGGCTGGGATTCTTCAGGTTCAGCCTCTGAGTCCGAATCCCAGGCCATCACATTGTCCTTCACTGCCTCCCATGGGAAAGACTTGCCCAGTTTGACTCTGTTCTGTGTGAATAAGTCCTTTCTGTCCAAATTTTCCAACATTTCAGCTTGATTGGCTGTCCAGGAATTCTAATGTTATGAGAGAGGAAGAAAAACCTTTCTCTGTTCAACTTCCTCATGCCCTGCCTGCTTTTATAAACTTCTGTCATCATGACTCTTACTCGCTTTCCCCCAAAACCAAAAACACCCAAAGACTGCAAACTCTTCATAGCTCCATCCTCCTGATCATTCTTCCTGCCCTTTTCCACTCTCCGATATATTTTTTTAGGTCAGGCGACCCAATCTGTACCCTGTATTACATTCAGAAGACAGGGAGCTCCTTTTAATGCGTCCGACCTTCTAGCCGTTTATCTCTTTGACATCTGATGGGAGGGCGTTCCACAGGGCGGGCGCCACTACCGAGAAGGCCCTCTGCCTGGTTCCCTGTAGCTTTGCTTCTCGCAATGAGGGAACCGCCAGAAGGCCCTCGGCGCTGGACCTCAGCTGGACCTCCAGCCATGAAAGTACCCAGTTTCACATTTCTAAAAACCCCAATACAACTCTAGGTTAAAATTTGTGCAGATTTTCTGTTGAGCCCTAAACACTTAAAGACAACTTACCAAGTGATGGAGAAGCCGAGTGGCGGAAGAGAGGAGATGTTTCAAGGCACTGGTGGAAAAGCATTTTATACAGTTTCTCTCTGGACTTTTCGGGCAACAGTTTGGCATGGCGTCACTAATTTGGCTAAGTATACCCCGCCTCAGTGGGACGCGGGTGGCGCTGTGGGTAAAACCTCAGCGCCTAGGGCTTGCCGATCGTATGGTCGGCGGTTCGAATCCCCGCGGCGGGGTGAGCTCCCGTCTTTCGGTCCCAGCTCCTGCCCACCTAGCAGTTCGAAAGCACCCCTAAGTGCACGTAGATAAATAGGTACCGCTTTATAGCGGGAAGGTAAACGGCGTTTCCGTGTGCTGCGCTGGTGCTGGCTCGCCAGAGCAGCTTCGTCACGCTGGCCACGTGACCCGGAAGTGTCTCCGGACAGCGCTGGCCCCCGGCCTCTTAAGTGAGATGGGCGCACAACCCTAGAGTCGGACACGACTGGCCCGTACGGGCAGGGGTACCTTTACCTTTGACCCCACCTCAATCAAGTCTAGACTTTACCAGAATGCTCCTGGCCACCCTCCCAGACCATGTAACCCAATTCTAAGATGCTATCTTTCATGTCAGGCGACGTCTTGGCTCAGGAAACTGCTTTGCTTTGTTTTGGCTCAGCTTCATCTTGGAAGTTCTTCGTGTTCCTCTTTATGGGATTTGGGGTTCCTCCTTCTCCTCATGGCCTATGAAGGCATCCCTGCCCTGGATGGCCAAGAGGGAGGGAGGGAGCAGTCTGAGGACAATGAATGGAAGGCACCTGCCTCTCCTGCTTCATCTTCCTCACGTTGCCTTCCTCCCACCCTAGGCCCACCGACAATCACCCGTCCTGGGCCCCAGGAGACACGCTCCACCACTGCTCTCGAGGCTTCGGAACAGGAACAAAGCCTTATTGTGCTGTTGGAGAAAATGTCTTGAGGGCTTTAAGTGCAAAGGTGGAATGTTCTGGAGCAGGCTCTTTGCCTTCAGGAGAGTCGGTGGAGAACATTCCCTACTTGGAGCCAATTAACTCGCTTTCATTTCAGGTAATTAAAAAGCTAAGGACAGCCACCCTGTTGCAATTAGGAATTAGGACTAGACGTTATGGCTTCTAAAATGTCGTCATCATCAGGCCCAACAACAGCAACACAACATTTTGGCACTTGTACCATCTGGGTAACAGGATCAGGCAAGAAATGTACAGGGTAACTGTTGGACCTCAACCTTCAACAAATTAAAAGGCATCCTATTTAACAAAACCATTTCAAATCCAAAACAGATAAAGATACCCGCTTAAAAGGCTGTTTAGAAAAGGAGTGTCTGCTCTAAAACGCCATGTAGTTTTCCCCTTACAGAACTATAATTCCCAGCGCCCTTATCAATCTAGAGTTCTTTCGGGGGTGAAATCTGCTTGAAAGGTATAGTGTACCTGTAACTGTCATGACTTCCCCTCCAAATGTGGCGCTTCAGAAGCATGAAGGATTTTGGGACGAATCCCATTAAAAGGCACACAAATTACATCCCAGATGAAGCTGAGCCGAAATAAATCAAAGCAGCTGCTGGTTCGAAGCAGGAGCCTGGCATGAAAGATAACATCTCTGAAAACATTACATCAAGAGGTGTCTTAATGGCTAGGAATATTCTGGCCAAATTCTGAGCTGTGGTTGGGTATACTTAGCCAGATTACTACCGCCAGGCCAAACGATTAGCTTCCAGGGCCAAGAGGAACCATAGAGAAGGGGTCACCTCCTGGCTGAGCCCCTGGGACTCCTTTGCGCCCAGAAGGAATTTCACTCAAATTTGAGCTTGCACTTCTCATTAGACTCTTAGAAACGTGCAGCTGGCTACACGGATGTAGCATATGTACATAACCAACAGTGCGCTTAGACTACTGCAATGCACTCTATGTGGGGCTACCTTGGAAGGTGACCCGGAAACTACAACTAATCCAGAATGTTGCTGCCAGACTGGTGACTGGGAGCGGCTGCTGAGACCACATAACACCGACCTTGAAAGACCTACATTGGCTCCCAGTACGTTTCTGAGCACAATTCAAAGTGTTGGTGCTGACCTTGAAAGCCCTAAACGGCCTCGGTCCAGTATACCTGAAGGAGCGTCTCCACCCCCATCGTTCTGCCCGAACAATGAGGTCCAGCGCCGAGGGCCTTCTGATGGTTCCCTCACTGTGAGAAGTAAAGCTACAGGGAACCAGACAGAGGGCCTTCTCGGTAGTGGCGCCCGCCCTGTGGAACGCCCTCCCATCAGATGTCAAAGAGATAAACAACTACCTGACATTCAGAAGACATCTGAAGGCAGCCCTGTTCAGGGAAGTTTTTAATGTGTGACATCTTAGTGTATTTTTGGTCTCTGTGGAAGCCACCAGAGTGGCTGGGGAAACCCAGCCAGATGGGCAGGGTACAAATAATAAATTACTTTTATTATTATTGTTATTTCTTGTCTGTGTTAGGGACTGGAGTGTCTTCTCTCCTCTGCAAAGCCAGGAGGCCCCTTTGCTATGTGGACTACCCCATGGGACTCTTGTGAAGATAAAAAGAGGAGCTGAAGGAAACGTACACATGGGAAACCCGTGCCCGTTGAGGAAAGCCATTCAAGAGCTGATTCCTCACGATGCAGCTGCAAGGCACTTTGTGACTGCCTTGGCCGTGTTGCTGGGCAGAACTGGCACAGTCAGGCTGGGTAGGAAAGGGGCTCAAGTTACAGCATTCAAGGGCAGAGAGCGTAGAGCACTCTGGAGAGAAGCATTGGAGCTGAGGCCTTTGAGGAAGAGTTGCAGGACTCCATTGCAGGAGAATTGCAAGAGAACTCTTGCCTTGCGGACTTTGGCACAGCAAGGGCTTCGTAGCAAAGAAACCGTCCGAGCTCAGAGAGGGAAAGTTGGTTGTAACATCTTGTAAATAAATACGTGTGTGAAAGAAAGAAAGAAAAAAGGAAGGAAGGAAGGAAGGAAGGAAGGAAGGAAGGAAGGAAGGTGCAGCTGGGCACTTTTGTGGGTGGAAACAGATGAGGGTGAAGAATTAGGATCTCTTGCTCCCAACAGAGCAGAACTTGCAGGCTGGCTGTGTGTGTGTGTGTGTGTGTGTGTGTGTGTGTGTGTGTCCTGTTCTGGATCTGGATGGCCTATGTTTGAAAGATCAGGTGTGCAGCATGGGAGCTCCTTGGGCCCATTCCCCCCCCTTCTGGGGCGCTCCATTCATGGTTGCTGTCGTGACTTGCTTTGCAAAGCTTTGGCTGGTGCTCCCGCTCTGAGCTCTGCTTCCCAGCACCCTTAGCAATCTGGAGGGGCCAGTGTCCTTTGAGGGAGAAAATGTGCTTCACCTGCGATTGCAACATCCAGTGTGTTCGTAGGTGCAAAGCCATAGGTCCTAAAGGAGGGTTGAGTCAAGAATATGCCCCAAATTCCTTAAGAACATTACCCAAGGTGAACCCGAGTTAAAAGAAAGCGAAGCGGTGCCTTGAGAGAAGGAGGAGGCTGACAGGACAGCTAATTTATTGGAACACATGACATTGCAGTCGGATGGAGTCTCAGTGGCGAGGAACGTTCAGCCCCAAAAGTGGAGGTGGCCCATACTTAGCCAAATTAGTGATGCTGCACCAAAGTATTTGCTCCAATTGCAGAGAGAAACTGTATAAAAGGGCTCAGCGCGTAGGGCTTTTCCACCAGTGCTTTTGAAGATCTCCTCTCTTCGGCTGCTCAGCTTCTTCAGCTTTTGGTAAGTTCCTTTTAAGTAAACCGATTTGTGACGTGGGTGGCGCTGTGGTCTAAACCACAGAGCCTAGGGCTTGCCGATCGGAAGGTCGGTGGTTCGAATCCCCGTGACTGGGTGAGCTCCCGTTGCTCGGTCCCTGCTCCTGCCAACCTAGCAGTTCGAAAGCACGTCAAAGTGCAAGTAGATAAATAGGTACCACTCTGGCGGGAAGGTAAACGGCATTTCCGTGCACTGCTCTGGTTCGCCAAAAGCGGCTTAGTCATGCTGGCCACATGACCCGGAAGCTGTACGCCGACTCTCTCTGCCAGTAAAGCGAGATGAGCGCCGCAACCCCAGAGTCGTCCTTGACTGGACTTAACAGTCAGGGGTCCCTTTACCTTTAAATCGATTCACAGACCAGGGAAGGTAGGAAGTGATTGACTATGGGCAGTGCTTTTTTCCTGGGGGGACGCAGGGGGACGCATACCCCTAAACATTTTGTGAATCTAAAGGGAGAAGAAATTTTTAGTTTCTTCTCTAGCATGGTGAATCGTCAGTAATTCCCTGTGCCGCTGGCAGTGTTTTGGGCTCAAACAGAAATTTCACTTCTTAGAGGGCTTTTGAGAAGTGGAGCTGGCACTTTGGGGAATGGAGTCTGATGAGAGTGAAGAATGAGGATCTCTTCCTCCTAAGAGATCAGAGCAGATAAGGGGAAGATTCCCTGTCCTGGATCTGCTAGGATTCTGTGTGCAAGAGCAGGTGTATGGCATGAGAGCATCTCTGGATCCACTTTTCCAGCCTTGCCCTTTTTGGGGTGAGGCAGGTCTGGCAGAGAGAGATGCTCACCTCAAACTCTGGGAAGGGAATCCCATTCCTGGCTGAGCCCCGTGCCCTTGAGGTGTTGCCAAACTAAAACTCCCGTCTCCCCTGGCATTTGGCCATGCTGGCTGCCAGGGCTTCTGGGAGTTGTAGTTCCATAGTTTACGTAAATCCGATGCTTCCCCTCCCTGCTGTTGGGTCAAGGCTCTTCTTGATGGTCTAAAGGAAGAGGAAGCTTCTTGCAAGCCCAGCCTGAGAAGAAGGCTGGATTTCAGCACAGACAGGGAGAGAAGGAGAACAGGCACAGAGAGCTGGCCTCAGGGGTTTTTATACCAATAATAATAATAATAATACTTTTAAGTTACTACCTGTCCTTGCTTCAAATAATGCCCAACAGTCAAATACATTTTCATCTGTTTGGCAATCTGAAGGCTAATGACTAATTTCCCTCTGTTTCGACATATTTGTGAACATATTCTTGAAATTGATTTATTTCAGATTCCCCAACATTCCTCCAAGATGTCCAGTGCCAACGTTGGAGCAAGTCTGATGATTCCCATGATATTACGCCCTGGTTCGTCAACTCCATTTTTTACAGGTTTTCGGGTCCAGTTCTACTTCCCAATGTAAGAGGCTTTCGACAGTGGACCAAACACCCTCAGAAATTTGTGGACTCTGCTTCATTGGAGATTTTTAAGCAGAGGCTGGATGTCTTTTCCTGGGGTTGGACTGGAATTAGCTTTGGGTAATTCCAACTCTACAATTCTATGATTCTACAATTCTATGATTCTGCACCACAACAAATTTAAAATATGTTTTTTTGGAGAAAGTGTGTATAAAAATGTGTATATTAGTGAAAAGAACACACAATAATCACGCAAGATTTTAGCTAAGGTTTCTGTTATGTAATGAAGCCATCAATTCTATCACGTGGGTGCCACCTTATCTAAATTATATAATTTGGTATTTGAACTATTGGCATTAATGTATTACAAATTGGTATTGTTGTAACAAACCTATTAATGGATTGTAACTGAAAACTAATAAAAATTATTATCAAAAAAGAAGAAGTATATACAGAAGTTTCTTGTGTTTTGACCTGACCATCGGCCTCTGTGTTGATTTCTGTTCCTTGTGGCTAAGGATTCACTTCTGGAATACTACAAGGGCTACTCATGTTTTGAGAAAAAATCCTATCCCTGACTTTACGAACCCTAATGTAAAGAGTCCAAAATACTTATCCTAAAAGAAGGGCCCCAGTCTGAAAAGTGATGTGGCAAACCTGGATAGAGGTTGTGATCTCAGGGGCCAAAAAGTCAGAGGTGCTCCTGCCTGGGACGTGTCCTGGTCCTCAAGTGGGTTTTGAAGCAGCCGGGTCATGGCAAAGTGATGTCTTTGCCCCCAGAAGTGCTCAATGTCTTAAAGAACTGCCAAGGTGACTGCAGATCCCAGAAGAAGGTTGCAAGAGAGGCCATATTGCGCATTGAGGCTGCTGCTCAGGCGCAGAACCGACACAGGGAGCCCACCTGTCAAGCTCGCTGCTGCCCCCAAACCCACTCCCATCAACAAGACACGTCTGTGATACTGCACTGAAGCTTTAACAGTGGACTTCCTGGGAGTTTAATGGACTTCCGGGGAGCTGGTCTTTAGGGATATCACTGATGGGGGGTTAGGACGCGGGTCATTCACACATCACAGGACACGGGTTTGGGGTGAGGCTTTGGGGGTTTTGGTGACGGTGGACCAAGTTCCAGGAAGGCAGAAGACAATCTGTGATGCTGCAGTGAAGTTTTAATAGAGGAGAAGAAAGGAGGGAACCTTCTCTGTGGTCAAGCAGTTTAAGCGGGAGAAGAAAAATAAATAGATCCCATTCTGAGAAAAGATCATATTCACTATTGAGGTGATACAGATTGTGAGAAAACAAAATATCTCTCAAGAGAGGTGGTCAAGCACAAGGAAGGAAGGAAGGAAGGAAGGAAGGAAGGAAGGAAGGAAGGGTGGTTGGTTCTTCCCAAACTTTCCTTTAAAAAAAAAAAAATTCCACTGTCAAACAGCTCTTACTACCAGAGTGTTTTTCCTGATGTTTAGTCGGAATCTCCTTTGTTGTAACTGGAATCAATTAATTGCAACAGTGAGGGAGGTTGTGTGTCCTATTTAGCTCTTAATATCCTGAAATTAAAGAGACCAATTGGACTATAATTCAGGGTTTGACCAAGGATTTTGGCTCTGAGTAGTGAATGTTCTCCATCAATAGAGCTGAAGGAACACAACCTGTTCTACAATATGCTGCCTTCTCTGCTTCAACCCTCAAGGCTTTTAAACTCCTGAGCAAGGCTTTTACGTTCCAGATTCTGCAAATGACTTTGGCTCACAGCAGCAGTGTGCTTCCAGAGGACTCCAAAACTCACATATAGCAATTCCAACCACAATAGATATTATCATTTTGATTCGGCAAGGCATTTGATTCATCTCAGTCAGAGATACCCATTTCCTCAGCCTCACTTTTAGAAACCCAGATTTATCTAACTTTTTGGATTTTCTGCCACCCCCACCAGTTTCCTCCAAATGCAGTTGGTAAGGAAGGCTTAGGAATGAGCTGATCCCCATTGCTAGAGACAAGATGAATTTTGAACTCTGGTTCTGCTCTATTAAATGGATAAAGGTAAAGGGTAAAGGGACCCCTGACCATTAGGTCCAGTCGTGGCCGACTCTGGGGTTGCGGCGCTCATCTCGCTTTATTGGCCGAGGGAGCCGGCGTACAGCTTCTGGGTCATGTGGCCAGCAGGACTAAGCCGCTTCTGGTGAGCCAGAGCAGCGCACGGAAACACCATTTACCTTCCCGCTGGAGCGGTACCTATTTATCTACTTAAATCTACCTAGTAGATCTATCTACCTAGCCCTAAACACTTAAAGACAACTTACCAAGTGATGGAGAAGCCGAGTGGCGGAAGAGAGGAGATGTTTCAAGGCACTGGTGGAAAAGCATTTTATACAGTTTCTCTCTGGACTTTTCAGGCAACAGTTTGGCATGGCGTCACTAATTTGGCTAAGTATACCCCGCCTCAGTGGGACGCGGGTGGCGCTGTGGGTAAAACCTGAGCGCCTAGGGCTTGCCGATCGTATGGTCGGCGGTTCGAATCCCCGCGGCGGGGTGAGCTCCCGTCTTCGGTCCCAGCTCCTGCCCACCTAGCAGTTCGAAAGCACCCCTAAGTGCAAGTAGATAAATAGGTACCGCTTTATAGCGGGAAGGTAAACGGCGTTTCCGTGTGCTGCGCTGGTGCTGGCTCGCCAGAGCAGCTTCGGCACGCTGGCCACGTGACCCGGAAGTGTCTCCAGACAGCGCTGGCCCCCGGCCTCTTAAGTGAGATGGGCGCACAACCCTAGAGTCGGACACGACTGGCCCGTACGGGCAGGGGTACCTTGACCTTTTACCCCACCTCAATCAAGTCTAGACTTTACCAGAATGCTCCTGGCCACCCTCCCAGACCATGTAACCCAATTCTAAGATGCTATCTTTCATGTCAGGCGACGTCTTGGCTCAGGAAACTGCTTTGCTTTGTTTTGGCTCAGCTTCATCTTGGAAGTTCTTCGTGTTCCTCTTTATGGGATTTGGGGTTCCTCCTTCTCCTCATGGCCTGTGAAGGCAACCCTGCCCTGGATGGCCAAGAGGGAGGGAGGGAGCAGTCTGAGGACAATGAATGGAAGGCACCTGCCTCTCCTGCTTCATCTTCCTCACGTTGCCTTCCTCCCACCCTAGGCCCACCGACAATCACCCGTCCTGGGCACCAGGAGACACGCTCCACCACTGCTCTCGAGGCTTCGGAACAGGAACAAAGCCTTATTGTGCTGTTGGAGAAAATGTCTTGAGGGCTTTAAGTGCAAAGGTGGAATGTTCTGGAGCAGGCTCTTTGCCTTCAGGAGAGTCGGTGGAGAACATTCCCTACTTGGAGCCAATTAACTCGCTTTCATTTCAGGTAATTAAAAAGCTAAGGACAGCCACCCTGTTGCAATTAGGAATTAGGACTAGACGTTATGGCTTCTAAAATGTCGTCGTCATCAGGCCCAACAACAGCAACACAACATTTTAGCACTTGTACCATCTGGGTAACAGGATCGGGCAAGAAATATACAGGGTAACTGTTGGACCTCAACCTCAAGCTCACCTCGTCGCGGGGATTTGAACCGCCGACCTTCTGATCGGCAAGTCCTAGGCTCTGTGGTTTAACCCACAGCGCCACCCGCGTCCCAGTATTAAATGGATATCATGTACCAAAAAGATGGATCCCTCTAACTGTAGCTTTCATGGCAATTTCTGAGAGTTTCTGAATTCTCTCTCTATCTCTTTAATATATAAACTTTATTAAACAAGAAAATATCTTAAAATACACACAAAACAAACATACAGTACAAACATTCTATAAGAAAAAAGAAAAAAGAACCTAATTCCATATAGAATAAAAAATAGTAAAAGAAAAGAAACGTCCGACTAAACCCATTGTACTATTTTGCATTCAAATTTTTTTACCTAGTTTCTTATTAATATTTTTCTATATCTTAGTTTAAACTTTTTCTATCACTTCCTCATATCCCAAGACTCATTTGATACTCACAGTGCTACAGTTCCCAGCACCCTTAATGATATACAGCGCCCAGAGTTCTGTGAAGGGGAAAAGGTGCGTTGTTAATCTGGGAGGATTGCTCTTTCAGAGCTCTGCCATCACCAGCGATCTCCGGCATTGAATGTGTTGGTCTCGTGTGGGGCACCAAGGAGAGCTTGGCTGGTCTGGCTGGGGTACCGACCACCCAGCACACCGGCAGCCACCCTGTCAGACCTGCTGGAGGTGGTGGCGGGCTGGGCCTTGGAGTTCCCAAGCCTACTGGTTTGGGGAGACTTCAACGTCCATGCCGATGCCGCTCCCTCCTCACAGGCTCTAGACTTAGTGACTTCCATGGCAACACTAGGGCTCTCCCAGTTTGTTTTGGGCCCCACTCATCAAGCAGGCCACACATTGGATCTGATCTTTGGGGCTGGCATAGATGTGATCATGCTCCCCCCCTGTGGAAGTGCCATGGTCTGATCACTTACGCTCTGAAAGCCAAGATTGACTTCCCGCTCCTCCCCTGCTCGGGTGGCAAGCCTATTTGGGCTCGCCTGAGAAAACTGATGGATCCTGATAGATTCCGTCAAGCCTTGCGGGACCTTGCTCCCCCTGGCGACTCATTGACTGAGCTTGTTGAGGGCTGGACAACCAAATTTAAACACAACCAAATTTAAACACAAATTCGACCCACAGCTGTGAGGCATTCGCGAGCTTTTTTGCGGAGAAAGTCCTGTTGCTCCGTCGTGACCTCCCTGCCAATTTAGATACAGTGACTGAACTGGAGGCCCCTCGACTGACTTCAGGTCCAGTGTTGGACCATTTTGATTGGATACTCCCTGCTGATGTGGATAGATTCCTCCAAGTTGGTAGGCCCACCACCTGCCTCCTCGATCCGTGCCCGTCTTGGCTGATAGGGAGTGTCGAGATGTCACGCAGACCCCCCTGGTTGAAATTATCAATTTGTCCCTTGACACGGGGACATTCCTTGGGGAACTGAAGGTGTGTCCACTCTTAAAGAAAAGTTCACTAGATCCCTTAGACTTATCCAATTACCGTCCAGTTTCAAATCTTCCATATCTGGGTAAGGTAGTTGAGAGAGCGGCTGCTGAACAGCTTGGTAGGTTTCTGGAGGAAACATCGGCTTTAGATCCATTTAAGTCCGGTTTCCGTCCTGGTTTTGGGACCGAGACGGCTCTGGTTGCCCTCACAGATGATCTCCGTAGACAACTGGATCGAGGCGGGTCAGGACTGCTGATCCTTTTAGATTTGTCAGCAGCCTTTGACATGGTCGATCATGATCTTCTGGACCACCGCCTTGCAGACGTGGGGATACAGGGCATAGCCCGTAACTGGCTGTGCTCTTTTATCTCTGGTTGGGGACAGAGGGTGGCACTAGGGAGGGAAATGTCGTCGCGCCACTCCTTGGTGTGTGGAGTGCCGCAGGGCGCAATTCTCTCCCCGATGCTGTTTAACATCTTTATGCGCACCATTGCCCAGATTATCCGGAGCTTTGGACTGGGCTGTCACCAATATGCTGATGACACTCAGCTCTATCTGCTGATGGATGGCCACACCGACTCGGCCCCGAACACACTGACCAGATGCTTGGAAGCTGTGGCTGGATGGTTTCGTGGGAGCCAACTGAAACTAAATCCTTCGAAGACAGAGGTCCTATGGCTGGGTCGGGATGGCATGGGGATGAGGGACCAACTCCCTTCTCTTGCGGGGGCCCAATTAGTGCCATTGCCTTCTGTTAAGAGTTTGGGTGTAATCCTTGATGCCTCCCTTTCCATGGAGGCACAAGTTACAGCAACAGCCAAGGCGACATTTTTCCACCTTCGCCGCATCAAGCAGTTGGTCCCTTACCTTTCCCGCCCCGACCTGGCCACAGTGAGCCATGCAACGGTCACCTCCAGGCTTGACTACTGTAATTCGCTCTACACAGAGCTGCCCTTGAAGCTGTCCCAGAAACTCCAGCGAGTGCAGAATGCTGCAGCGAGGCTCCTCACGGGGTCTCTGCCATGGGAGCATGTTCACCCAGTGCTTTTCCAGCTGCACCGGCTCCCAATGGAGTACAGGGTCAGATTTAAGGTGCTGGTTTTGACGGCCCTTCACGGCCTAGGACCCCCGTACCTACGGGACTGTCTCTCCCAGTATGCCCCACGGAGAGCCTCAAGGTCCATAAATAGCAACACCCTAGAGGTCCTGGGCCCTAAGGAAGTTAGATTAGCCTCAACCAGAGCCAGGGCCTTTTCAACTCTGGCTCCGGCCTGGTGGAACACTCTGTCTCATGAGACCAGGGCCCTTCAGGATCTGATTTCTTTCCGCAGGGCCTGTAAGACAGAGTTGTTCCGCCTGGCCTTTGGCTTGGAGCCAATTTGATTACCTCCCTCCCTCTCTTTCTTTTCCTTTCTCCTCCTGCGACGAGGCTACATTTTAATATTTTAATGTTTCAATATTTTAATGTTGTATTTTAATTTTGTTTTTAAGTTGTAATCATTCAACTTGTTTTTATTATTGCTTGTTAGCCGCCCTGAGCCTGGCTTTGGCTGGGGAGGGTGGGGTATAAATAAAAATTATTATTATCATTATTATTAGATGTGTTTTAAAGATGAAGTCTGCATGTAGCAGCCATCATTTATGCTCCAAATATGATGCTTTAGATGCATGAAGGATCCAGGAGAACGCCCAAAGTTTCATTAAAAGGAACATGAAGAACATCGAAGAACAGCTTCATCCAAGGTGAAGCTGAGCCAAAATAAAGCAAAACAGTGACCAGAGCCAAGGAGAAACCTGAATCATAGAATCATAGAATCATAGAATCATAGAATCATAGAATCATAGAATCATAGAGTTGGAAGAGACCACAAGGGCCATCGAGTCCAACCCCCTGCCAAGCAGGAAACACCATCAGAGCACTCCTGACATATGGTTGTCAAGCCTCTGCTTAAAGACCTCCAAAGAAGGAGACTCCACCACACTCCTTGGCAGCAAATTCCACTGTCGAACAGCTCTTACTGTCAGGAAGTTCTTCCGAATGTTTAGGTGGAATCTTCTTTCTTGTAGTTTGGATCCATTGCTCCGGGTCCGCTTCTCTGGAGCAGCAGAAAACAACCTTTCTCCCTCCTCTATGTGACATCCTTTTATATATTTGAACATGGCTATCATATCACCCTTTAACCTCCTCTTCTCCAGGCTAAACATGCCCAGCTCCCTTAGCCGTTCCTCATAAGGCATCGTTTCCAGGCCTTTGACCATTTTGGTTGCCCTCCTCTGGACACGTTCCAGTTTGTCAGTGTCCTTCTTGAACTGTGGTGCCCAGAACTGGACACAGTACTCCAGGTGAGGTCTGACCAGAGCAGAATACAGTGGCACTATTACTTCCCTTGATCTAGATGCTATACTCCTATTGATGCAGCCCAGAATTGCATTGGCTTTTTAGCTGCCGCGTCACACTGTTGGCTCATGTCAAGTTTGTGGTCAACCAAGACTCCTAGATCCTTTTCACATGTACTGCTCTCAAGCCAGGTGTCACCCATCTTGTATTTGTGCCTCTCATTTTTTTGCCCAAGTTTTAATTGACTTGCTGGATCACGCCCCCAACACTCGCGTGGTGGCTGGCATTCAGCCCTGCGTGACCAGGGGAATCCTCGGCTGGCTCTGGGGGCGTGGCCTGGGCCATTTAAGGCTGGCGCGGCCCCGGAATCTCCCGTTTTCGACCACGCAGCTGATTAGGTTTCCCACCCACCCACCTTTTAAGGTGTCCCTTCTGACCATCCTATGGACTTCGGTTGGTCGCCGTTGAGGGGCCTGGTAGGAATTTTTTCCACTTGGCGAATTGGCACCAGCCATTTGGTTTTTCGCCTACCTCGTAGCAAATCGTCACAACATCTTTGGTTCTGGCAGTTAGGCATTGGTAGGGGTATTATTATGTAGATGTGTTGGGGGGGGAGCGCCATCACCCCCCCCAAATATTTCAGGGTAGTCCGGTAAAGGATTCTGGGGGGCGTTGCCTCGTCCAAAACCTATGGAGGCCAGGGCCTAAAGCACGCCCCCGAGCGGTGACCCCGGGGGAGTTCCTAGTTGATGTGCATCACAGGACTCCCCCTGCTGGGGTTAATCGTTTCCGGTTTTCATGCTAATAGCCTGAAGCCGGATAGTCTGATAGGACCAATGCCTAAGCCAATACCGCTCTTATCTGTAACCAATAAAGTTGTGGCCAATTTTTGCCCATTAACCTAAAATAATGGTGTCCTGTGTCTTTATTCCAAATGGTGGGAGGCGGGAATCGCCACGCAAAACCTTGCCTAGTGCTCCTGTTCCCTGTCTTTCTGGAAAAAGCTGCTCTGGCCATGGTCAGACCTGCTGCCCCTGTTGCATCTCGACTGGATTACTGAGACTCAGGGCTCCCTTGTTCCGGCCACACTGACCCTTTCTTGCAG